ACCACGGCCTATTTTCATCCCATATCCTTTGAAACAATCGGCCATCTGCATTTTATCAACACACATTTTGACATAGCTGGCATCACACTTGAGATAAAAAGCTTGGTTGTGGGCAGAATCTGTAGGATACGTCAAGAATGCCAGTTTCGACGGGGCCTCAACTACATTAGTCGTCGTTTCCTCAACCTCAACCCTCCTCTATGACTTCCTCATACTCAGCATCCTCCATCATTTCCTTCCTGTGGCTTCATCCTCTCCAACATAGACAGTCAATAATTGATCATCTGTGGCCTCTCTCTCAGGTGAGGCCTCCTCCTCTCTCTCTGCTGTCAACACTCTCAAAGTCAGAGTCTGGTTCTCTCTTGTATTTGATTTAACCATGCATTAAGAGACTTGCCACCCTCAGCTGCTTCATTTCGCTGCTTCTCCTTCCTTTACTGAGGTCTTTCTTTTTTTAGCATTGCGCTGTAGGCATGATTAAAATGAATCCTGGTTAATTACTTTGTAATGTTTCACAACTCTGATAACCTTCAGCTTATCTCCCCATGCACCGGAATGCTTACTATATTATTAATTAATTGTATAATGTATTGCTATTATTATCATTGTTATTTAGTTTTTACCATCCTAATGTTATTGTTCACCACCTTATGCTCCCTGCAAGGAAGCATTTCATTTTCATTTAGTGCTGACTAACAATTCGTGTCCAAATACATGAGATCAATAGACTAACTGGACACAAACTGATGTGAGCCTGCATCGGCTCTTAGCAAAGCGGCTATTAGTCCGGTGGCAAAATCAAACTGAGCTCATTCGCTGAGAATGAAAGCAGAGATGTTTGGGTTGATACAAACAGCAAGAGTTCACTCTCTCCAACAGACGAAAACACATACTTGCCAACACTCCAGTTTTTTCCCGGGAGTCTCCCGTATCTTTAAGTTTTTAGTAAGTTTTGTTAGGCTTGTTAATTTTATGTTTATGTGATTTTTACCTAATGATTAATAAATATCAACTTAAGTGATGGAATTTAAATGTAAAAATTTAAGTGAATCTTGTTATATGTTTACTATGCATGTATGTTATGTATATAATTTCTTTATTTACTTAAAATAAGTAGAGAAAACCAAAAAAAAAATCCGCCCTGAAGCAAACTGCTTGCTGTTTCTTTCCCCCTAATATGTCTATATAGAAGACAGACTTGAATGACCTTTAAATTTAATAAGATTCTACATATACAGCTAGAATTGTATAGTTGCATTTAGATATAATATAAAAGAGATAACAGGTGTTCACATTCCTCCATTTTCCAATAAATGATTCTTTTTTCCTGTGTAATCTAGTATCTGATGAAGGAGACAGGAGTTGATAAGCACCTGTCAGAGTCTCTAGATAGAACATACTGTATGGTTCACATTGTAACCGTGGAATTAAAGTGAAATAAAGTGTGGGTGAAAAAAAAAAAAGTGATCTGAACAGAACAGACCTAGTTTGGAAAGTAACTTTCTCAGTGCAGTTTTCCCAGCGAGCATTTCTGTCATTGATTGAAACGTATCTGTTGGAGTTTTTAAAGCAGTTTCCTTTTAAAGCAGGAAACTTTTGTGCATCACTAAACTGCAGCTATGAGAGACACATTATTATCAGATGTGGCGTAAACATTACACTAACTCTGCAGACAGCTACTTCATTAACAGCGCTGCGTCTGATGGATTTATGGAAAACAAAGGCTGTTTCACCGCCACAGTCGGGTTTAGCCTGTCTGATACAACAAAGTGTCAGTGCCTGCGGCTACAATTAAAGGAAATCCAATCCATCAGTGGGGGTTTGGAGAGCAGCTCAGAGTGGATGTGACATGTACAGTAGGTGAGGAAGAGTCGGCGCCTGCTTAGTTTTAATGAAACATAGCCTGCAAGCTTTCAGTTCAGGCAGAAGACTCCAGAGGTACACACAACATCACCATCTGGTTGTTCCTGCACACAGTGTCTGACTGTGTCTTTTCCCCCAGTCCTATCGACGCTCGAAGAGCTCCAGAGCAGAAGTGCTGTTCTGGCTGAGAACTCACCAATTACAGAAAAAAGAATAATTAGTTATTCTATAGTATACTGGACCTGCCATAGCATGCCAATTACATTCATTATGACTCCAAAGGAATAATAAGGTTGCTCTGTAACTGCAACCGTTTTCTAACAAGTTCACCATATCAACTCAATATGGTGGCCACAACACGAATGCAGAAGCCACAACGCAAATGCAAATTAAACCACAACACCGATACAAAACCTACAACACAAATGCAAAAGCCACAACACCGATTGAAAAGCCGTAACACAAATGCAAGAGTCACTACACAAATGCAAAAGCATTCATTTGAGTTCATATTGACATAACAATGTTACGTTGTTATGTCAATATGAAATCAAATGGATGCAGACAAGAATGAAACTGAAATAAAAAAAAAATGCACCAGAACACTAAAATGGACAACTAATGATTATTAAAGATAGCTGAATGAATTACAACACACAACTATCAACAGATACCCAGCAAATAGAAAGAATATGAGTCATTGTAAGTAATAGTGAGGATAATGAGCCTCATATTTTTTTTTATTTTTTATTAAACAAATACAGGCTCTCCAGCAGACTGGAGTCTCACCTTCCTGTTATGACATTCTTGACTGAAAATAGGAACCTGGTGCACTTGTTTGGCTCCGCAGGGGCAACATGAAACACTGAACAGACCGCTGCCCAGAAGCTCCGGAAACTCCACTTTGAGTGATTAGACGCGGGAACCAGATTCTTTCTCCATGCTCGGGCACCTGAGGCACCGGCCGTGAGTCTACATTTTTGTAAATGGTATTTAGAAAAGATATTGGAGGCTGAAAACTAGATTTTAATTTGAGGACTGGAGAGGGCATATAAGTGATGTTTCAGTAAACATCAGAGCATTCATTCTGAAAAGTGTTAGTAGCTTTGGCAACACCTGTCGATGCAAGGTCTCACAAAAAAGTTTTTTTCTTTTACAAAACATAACCCAGCATTCAATTTTAAAATGAAACACTTAGCTTTGATTGTTTGGGGCAGCAACACACCTTGCAGCATGTAGCTTGCCAGAAAGTTAAGGTTAGGGGTTGAACTTCTCCCCGGACTCAACCATTTGTGGCACTTTTCATGTGCGCAACAAAGTATAACACTATGAATGTCTTCCAGGAGAGACTGTCTGAAGATGTGTGCAGTTTTCTTTTGTATTTAAAGCCAGTTTTTTTTTTGTTGTTTTTCTTTTACTTTGCCTTCAAGTCAGGATGTTCATATCAGGTACAAACACAGCACAGCAGACCTTGTAAACTAGTTCTGATGGAGAATAAATCAGAACCTGTCCACAAACAGGATCCTGGCGTAGGTACCTGACGAGTCCAGGTGCTCAAGTGGCTTCGTTATCACAGACGTCACTGTCACGTCAAAAGTCTTGTCGTCCTTGATTCTTTGTTGTTTTTTTTTTTGAGAACAGGAATGATGGTGGAGCTTTTGAAGTGGGCTAGTATGTGATATGTCTCCAAGATGTCTGGACACAGCTGGTCAGTAAGTGCTTCAGGATAACAATCACATCATTACAACATTCATATTTAGTGCAAAAACAGATGTCTGTATCTGCTCTGAAAAGCTGCCTGGACTCATGTGGGTCTGAATGTTAATTTAAATGATGATAGAACAGGTCCTTATTATAAGTCCTAGATTCTCGAATGACACTCTACAACAGTCTCTTTCAACCTCTAATATCCAGCTTCTTGTCTGGACTTTTCCATTCATGTGTAGACAATACAGTCACAATGCCTTTTCCAGTTGTGCTGAGAAGTTAATCCATGCACTGTAATTCTCCTGCCTCAGCCAGGGATTTGTAGCTTGTGCGCAAGGTCGAAGGTCAGGATCCACTCAGGAGTTTTCATCGTTTGAGCTGGACAGCCTCAACTCAACCTTTTTTTTTATTATTGTTATCTCCACTGAGGTACAACAGCTGCATGTTCAGGGAATCAGCTTTTACATTTCCAGTGTTCCAACTCCAGCTGAAAAAAAATCTCATGGTTTAGATGAATTAATAACTGTTTATCTAACATAACTGCACTGAGCAAGAACCTTTGGCATAAACATAGAGCATTTCCTCACATTGATGACGGTTCAGTGGAGCTCTCTCGCCCCCCAGTGGTAGTACAGTTTATCGCAACTTGAAATGTGGATTCCAACATTAAGGTCATTCCCATCATTACAGTCTTTAAGCTATGCTCTCTTCTGGTGCCATCCAATAAGTGTGCTGTGTATAATATATATTTAATTTGACATGAGTGCATTGGCAAACACTAATGCTACACATCAAAGTTAAATGTGGAATTTGATGAGAAATGTAATCATTTCCAATTTATTCACTATTTTATTCTCTTTCTCTTTTATTCACCCTTTCTCTTTTCTCCCATGTGAAGCACATGTTTTCAAATATAAATTTAAATGGAGTTTGGTTGTTTGACACAGTGTTTGTATTCATATGAAGAATAGATACCTATAGAGAGAATATAAAAATAACATAACAACCCTTCTTATAATGAAATATTTTATGTTTGAGTGATTGAAATAACTTCACATGTAGCTGCTGTACTAGTTTTTGTTCTAATCTTCACTGCACAGTGAAAAGGACAGTGAAAGTTGCACTATCCCTTTAAGAGAAAAAACCCTGCTGTTGAAATGCATCAGCGTGAAAACCCCTCCCTCTTCATCCTGCTCTCACACACAGCGAGCTCCACTCTGTCCATGTGCTTCCTCGTTCCCTCCTCATCACTGATTTGCAAGTGTGCAGATGGGTGTAGCCAACATGTGATACAGCGGGAGCTGATGAGCCCCATTCAGTGAAGATTAGCAAATGAACAGGAGCAAAAGAAGCAGAGGTTTGTTTTGGATTAGAGCACAGACTTTTGTTTCTGTTCAGAGAAAGTGAAACTCTCATACAGGTCACTGCTACAGGGTGAAATGGAGCAGAAAGGAGTTCAGCTGGACTGGGGTGCTTTCTGCTGTTCAGTCTGTCTGGATCTAATGAAGGATCCGGTGACTATTCCCTGTGGACACAGCTACTGCATCAACTGTATTAAAAGCTTCTGGGATGGAGAGGATCAGAAGAGAATCCACAGCTGCCCTCAGTGTAGGCAGACCTTCACACCGAAGCCTGTTCTGGTGACAGTCTCAGCTGCAGCAGAAAGGACTGAGAGGCAGAGAGAGCTCCAGCTGAGTCGACAACAAATCCAGCAGAGAATCCAGGACAGAGACAAAGATGTGAAGGTGCTTCAACTGGAGGTGGAGGCTATCAATGGCTCTGCTGATAAAGCAGTGGAGGACAGTGAGAAGATCTTCACTAAGCTGATTCGTCTCATGGAGAAAAGAAGCTCTGATGTGAAGCAGCAGATCAGATCCCAGCAGAAAACTGAAGTGAGTCGAGTCAAAGAGCTTCAGGAGAAGCTGGAGCAGGAGATCACTGAGCTGGAGAGGAAAGACGCTGAGCTGAAGCAGCTCTCACACACAGAGGATCACAACCAGTTTCTACACAACTACCCCTCACTGTCACGACTCAGTGAATCTACAGACTCATCCAGCACCAATATCCGTCCTCTGAGCTACTTTGAGGACGTGACAGCAGCTGTGTCACAGCTCAGAGATAAACTACAGGACATTCTGAGAGACACATGGACAAACATCTCACTGATAGAGAAGGACATGGAAGTTGTTCCATCAAATCCAAAACCAGAGCCTAAGACCAGAGCTGAATTCATACAATATTCATGTCAAATCACACTGGATCCAAACACAGTAAACACACAGCTGTCATTATCTGAAGGAGACAGAAGAGCAACATTAATGAGAGAAGAACAGTCCTACTCTAGTCACCCAGACAGATTCATTAGATGGCGTCAGGTCCTGAGTAGAGAGAGTCTGACTGGACGTCGTTACTGGGAAGTGGAGTGGAGAAGGAAAAGAGTCATAGTAGCAGTCACATACGGGAATATCAGCAGGTCAGGGCCCATGAATGAGTCTGTGTTTGGATTCAATGACAAATCTTGGGCTTTAGAGTGTAACAGCAGCAGTAGTTATAAATTCAGACACAACAGCATCAAAACTCCAGTCTCAGGTCCTTGGTCCTCCAGAGTAGGAGTGTACCTGGATCACAGAGCAGGTGTTCTGTCCTTCTACAGCGTCTCTGAAACCATGACTCTCCTCCACAGAGTCCAGACCACGTTCACTCAGCCTCTCTATGCTGGAGTTTGGTTTAGTGGATATAATGGAGCTACTGCTGAGTTCTGTGAGCTGAAGTAGATGAAAGATATAAAAGAGGGAAGCTGGGAGGAGGAGGACATACTTTTTCTTTCATTTTGGATTTTCATTTTTTTGTGCTATTCTAAACAAACCCAAATTGTCACATAAGGATAGTCTTGCGGAAGAGCTTTCAGACAATTTCTATATCTGTAAACACTTTTCAGTGACATTATAAACTATTCTAGCACATTGTATTCGAGCTCAAACAGTGACTGATGTGAAAGTGCTGACTTTCTCTGGGTTCATTTGTCCCATCCCATCCGTCTACATCATCATCAACTCTGATAGTATTCAGATCTTTTACTTAAATAAAAGTATCAAGGAATAACTGTAAAAAAATTTTTTAAAAAACCCATTACAAGAAGAAGAAAACTAACTGACCTTCATTCAAGATGCTACATAAAGTAAAAGTACAGATCTACTATCAAGAAAACATACTTAAAGTATCAAAAGTATTCGTTTTGTAAAACAAAATGCCACCTGTGACTGGCATGAAATAATTCATACTGATGCATCAGTGGAGTATTTGACCGCTGTAGCTGGATGAGGTGGAGCTGATATGATCTACTTTATGGTATATACAGATTGTGTGAGTCGTGACATGATAAATGGGAGAGAAAACAAGAAAAAAGAAAGTTCTGCTTCATAGATTTGTATCCATGTTTTGTATAATTCTGTCATTTTTGCTTTTTGGATTGTTGTAGCTGTTTGGGCCTCGGACAGTTATATAAATGAGACCATGTGTGACGTTTAGAGAGGAAATGTGTCTGTGATGGAACTGCTGATGACTCATTTACATGTTAAACATGACAAGGAGCCACAACTGTGTTTTTGTTTGGAGCCATGTGCTGAAGTTTGTGAACCAGTGAGTTAATCTTTAACAATATATTGATTTTTATGAATGAATGAATGAATTTTTTTTTTCGTTTAAAATCTTTATCTAAAAATTGTCTGATTACTACGGCTGTCAGATAATGTTGGTTAATTAACTGTATTAATATTTGCATAGGTTAAATAACTGTCCATATCCTTTGCCATATGTAAATTTGTTCACATGACACCATTAAACCTGTAATATTGTGATCAGTTTTACCGTTTTCTTCCTGCATAGTGTTTAGATGCTGGTTTTGTAGGTGCTGCATGAACTTTGTGACTGTGAGAGTATAAATAAACACATACATGGAAACACTGAGTGCGAGAGCCTTACTCCTGTTTAGTGGCTGTATGACCAACGTATGTAAGATAATGCTACTGCACCCCTCAAGCTTTGAATTATTTTTTTGATTTTCCAAACGCTGTTTGTGTTTTGAACAATAAAAATATTTTTATATTTAGAGATGAAAAGGGTGAAAAAGTGTCAAGAATTTCTAAATTTGATGTTTCCCAGTAGAGTTATGTCTACAAAACTGTTCAAATCAATATATTGACCACTATTAGCTTATCACTGATATATTGGTATTGTGTATATGTCAGCTGATATGTAACATGATGCCGCAGACATTTTAAGGCAGTTTAATTATGTTTAAGAAGAGATGTTTGATTATGTTATAAAATCTTTTGGATATTTTGAACTGTTAAGTTTAGACATGAGACAGAGGAGTCCAAGTCACACACACATCCACAAAATGTAAAGGATAACACAGTAAAGTCCAAGACCTATTTTTATTGTCGTAAATGCAGATTTTGTCCCAAATCAATCAGGTATCAGTCGGGTCATAGCAGCAGGAATTACCAGGTTGAACCCTGTAACACATGATGAAAGATTTGATGAAGTGTTGGATGCACTGTTGTTTTCAAATATTCTGATAATGTTTTTTTTGTCAACAAATTGACTTTAAAATGATATGATCTAGGTCACAGTCAGATTTAAAATAACAATAACAATCACTGTCACCAGGCCTTAGGAATCAGTTATGGGATCAAACTATACAAAACTTCAGAATATGAAGTTGAAGTTTTTTTTTCTTCTGTAGAACTCCAATAACTTTGCTGGAAACTTTGTAAAATATGAATAATATTACCTGGCCAGCTGTTGTGAGCTGAAAGTGATAGTTAAAATACAATAATTGCACTTTGAGCTGAGTTATAATTCTTTCTGCAGGTTGTAAATGACATATAACATACCGTGCCTCTAACAAACAGCTCCTCTTTGTGTAATACAGTAAAGACTGACACTTCCCTCTTTTCCAGCTTCAACACTCATCAAGCTCCACCCTGTCACATATTTATGGGTGTAGACAACATGTGGTGAACTGTAGTAGATGATAAGTCTCACTCACTGCAGCAAGTGAACAAGAGCGGACAGAGCAGAGTTTCATTTTCCTTCACAGCACAGACATTGTTTCTGGTCAGAGAAAGTGAAACTATTTGACTTTGACTCTCAGGAGGTGACATGGCGCAGCGAGGAAATCAGCTGGACCAAGAGAGATTCTGCTGTTCGATCTGTCTGGATCTACTGAAGGATCCAGTGACTATTCCCTGTGGACACAGCTACTGCATCAACTGTGTTAAAACCCACTGGGATAAAGAGGATGGAAAGAAAATCCACAGCTGCCCTCAGTGTAGGAAGACCTTCATACCAAGACCTGTCCTGGTGAAAAACACCATGTTAGCAGATTTAGTGGAGGAGCTGAAGAAGACTGGACTCCAAGCTGCTCCTGCTGATCACTGCTATGCTGGACCTGAAGATGTGGCCTGTGATTTCTGCACTGGGAGAAAACTGAAAGCCTTCAAGTGTTGTCTGGTTTGTCTGGCCTCTTACTGTGAGAAACACCTGCAGCCTCATTATGATGTAGCTCCATTAAAGAAACACAAGCTGGTGGAGCCCTCCAAGAAGCTCCAGGAGAACATCTGCTCTCGTCATGATGAGGTGATGAAGATATTCTGCCGCACTGATCAGCAGTGTATCTGTTATCTCTGCTCTGTGGATGAACATAAAGGCCACGACACAGTCTCAGCTGCAGCAGAAAGGACTGAGAGGCAGAGAGAGCTCCAGCTGAGGCGACAACAAATCCAGCAGAGAATCCAGGACAGAGACAAAGATGTGAAGGTGCTTCAACAGGAGGTGAAGGCTATCAATGGCTCTGCTGATAAAGCAGTGGAGGACAGTGAGAAGATCTTCACTGAGCTGATCCGTCTCATGGAGAAAAGAAGCTCTGATGTGAAGCAGCAGATCAGATCCCAGCAGAAAACTGAAGTGAGTCGAGTCAAAGAGCTTCAGGAGAAGCTGGAGCAGGAGATCACTGAGCTGAAGAGGAAAGACGCTGAGCTGAAGCAGCTCTCACACACAGAGGATCACAACCAGTTTCTACACAACTACCCCTCACTGTCACGACTCAGTGAATCTACAGACTCATCCAGCATCAATATCCGTCCTCTGAGCTACTTTGAGGACGTGACAGCAGCTGTGTCACAGCTCAGAGATAAACTACAGGACATTCTGAGAGACACATGGACAAACATCTCACTGACACTGACTGATGTGGATGTTTCACTGTCACAACCAGAGCCCAGGACCAGAGCTGACTTCTTAAAATATTCACAGGAAATCACACTGGATCCAAACACAGCACACGCATGGCTGTTATTATCTGAGGGAAATAGAAAAGCAACAGTAATGAGTGAACGACAGTCTTATTCTAGTCACACAGTCAGATTCACTTCATGTTGGCAGGTTCTGAGTAAAGAGACTCTGACTGGACGTTGTTACTGGGAGGTGGAGTGGAGAGGAGGGGGAGTTCATGTAGCAGTTGCATACAAGAATATCAGTAGAACAAGGAGCTCAAGTGAATCTGGATTTGGACGCAATGATAAATCTTGGGTGTTAAGTTGTTACGAAGACAGTTATACATTCTTCTACAACAAAATCAACACTCCAGTCTCAGGTCCTCGGTCCTTCAGAGTAGGAGTGTACCTGGATCACAGAGCAGGTGTTCTGTCCTTCTACAGCGTCTCTGAAACCATGACTCTCCTCCACAGAGTCCAGACCACATTCACTCAGCCTCTCTATGCTGGAGTTCGGCTTAACTGGAACAATGGAGACACAGCTAAGTTGTGTAAACTCAAACAGACAAAGGTCATTTAAGGTGCAGTTGGTTTAAATCTGTATTTCAGTTCATCAGTTGATTTTATCTCCATCATTGTTGCTAAAAGCTCATTGCTGTCGTGTTTCTGCACTGCACAGAGATCACCTGTCAATCAAACATTATGGGTGGTACTTTGACCTCTTCTCATCTATTGTTGTGTTGATGTTTGAGTTTCTTTAGGTGGAGCTGGAGTCATGGAGGATATCACTGCTCAGGATGATTTTTCTTTACCTAAACTGACATTTCTCCACATGAAAATATAAACTTCTCTGTGCTCTGAATGTTTGTTGAATATTTGTGTTGATGTATTTGTATGTTGTTGTTTCTGTTCCACTGCATGGGCCTAAACAGAGAAATCACCAGACCTTCCTTTATCACAGATATTTTGTTCTCACTTTGTAAAGAAAGAAATCTATAATTACATTTACATTTATGTGTTTGTCAGATCGAATGTTGTTGTTGTTCAAATCAACTTACAAATAAGGTTGATGAGGTTTTATAAAACTGTAATTATGGTGATAATAATAAATGACGAGACGATTCATTATTTATTTTCCATATCTGAGATTCAGGTGAAACAAACTGATTGTGTGGATGAAGTGAATCTGTTCATGAAATCACTGAACAAGAGTCATTTAACAGACTTTACTGATTCAGTGTGTGAACAAACTGAAGCTTCACATCATGAATAAAACAGTTTTTCCTAAAGAATAAATCAAATGTTTCTTCTGTCTTCATTCCAGGGTCTGATCCAAAGCTGATTGAACAAATATGAAACTAATATGAGAGTATAACTGAGGCAGTTTTCCTCCTAATCGCGAGTAGAGAGAGTCTGACTGGATGTTTTTTTTTTGTTTGTTTTTTTTTAAGTATATTTTTTGGGGCTTTTGTGCCTTTATTGGACAGGATAGTATAGAGAGACAGGAAATGGGGAGGCAGAGAGAGGGGGAATGACATGCAGTAAAGGGCCGTCCGATTGTGGGATTCAAACCGGGGCCGACTGCAGCCTCTACATATGGGGCGCCTGCTTAGACCACTGCGCCACTTGACGCCCCTCTGACTAGATGTTTGATGTACAAGTTGCATTCTAGGATTTTAGTAGAACGGGAATTTCAAAATAAATGTACTTTTGTCACATCATATATTCAGACATATTAATGTCTTTACTCTGTCTAAGGGGAAACGTGAACAGTCTGAAAAGATGTGAAGATTCAGTAATTGGATCTCACCCAGAAAAAGATGTGGAGACATGAACTGTATTCATCCTTCTTGTTGCAAATGACAACACAGCCTGCCTTTCTCAATCTGCTCCTGTTTTTACAACAAAACAAAGCCTGACAACACCTCCCTCTTCTTCCTGCTCCTCTCTGGTTACATATTTCCTTGTTCCCTTCCTTCACACATCTTCCAATTTGAGGAAGAGTGTAACCAGCCAATGACTGACTTACAGGTGAAACATGACAAGGAGCCACAACAGTGTTTTTATGCGGGGCCATAAGACAAGAAGGTTTACAACCAGTGGGTTAATCTTTAACAATATATTGTTTTATATCAGCTGATTTGCTGTTTTGACAGTCACAGACAGTTGACGTCATCCTGCTGATAGGGGCATCAGATCAGAAAAAGCTTCTATGTTTCCTCCTAAAAAGCACTTACACACTATACACTGTATGTTCTCATTTAATGTGGAGACCTTGTTCCATTTATTTCAGTTAAATATTAAGTACCTGACTTCAGCACAGCAGCTCTTTATCCTCAGTGGATGACAGAGAACCAGTGTTGTCCCTGTAGGAAGAGAGAGTCTATAAAGGAGTTTTCTCCTGGAGACGTGTTGCAGTAAAAACAAAACAGGTGGTTAGACAGAAATGAAGTAGAAGTTCACGTGATCCAACCCCATGCTGACAATGCAGTTTAAACAGTAGATGATTTCCTATGACAGCTGAATAGCTGATCACATGGTTGATTTGGTCTCCGGTCGTCCCCAGGCCTCAGGAATCAGTTATGGGATCAAAGGTTGCAAAACTTTAGAATATGAAACTCTATTTTTTTTCTTCTGTAAAACTCGATTAACTTTGCTACAAACATTGTAAAATATGAATAATATTTCCTGCATAGCTATTGTGAGCTGAATGTGATAGCTCAAAGTGCAATTATTCCAATTTAATTGGGTCATAATTCTTACTGCATGTTTAAATGACAGATAACACATCGTGCCTCATCTTTGTGTAATACAGTAAAGGCAGAAGGACCTTCCCTCTTTTCCTGCTTCAACACTCATCAAGATTCACCCGGTTCTTTGTTCACTCCCCTTCAAAGGTCTGTAAGCATGAGGATGGGTGTAAATAGCATGTTGTGAAAAGCAGGAGATGATAAGTCTCATTCACTGCAGGAAGTGAACAAGAGTAGAAGAAGCAGAGATTTGTTTTTCTTCAGAGCACAAAGATTGTTTCTGTTCAGAGAAATTCCAGCTATTTGACAGAAACTCTCAGGAGGTGAAATGGAGCAGCAAGGAAATCAGCTGGACCAGGCAAAATTCTGCTGTTCAAGCTGTCTGGATGTACTGAAGGATCCAGTGACTATTCCCTGTGGACAGGCTCTCACACACAGAGGATCACAACCAGTTTCTACACAACTACCCTTCACTGTCACGACTCAGTGAATCTACAGACTCATCCAGCATCAATATCCGTCCTCTGAGCTACTTTGAGGACGTGACAGCAGCTGTGTCACAGCTCAGAGATAAACTACAGGACATTCTGAAAGACACATGGACAAACATCTCACTGACAGTGACTGATGTGGATGTTTCACTGTCACAACCAGAGCCCAGGACCAGAGCTGACTTCTTAAAACATTCACAGGAAATCACACTGGATCCAAACACAGCACACACATATCTGTTATTATCTGAGGGAAACAGAAAAGCAACAGTAATGAGTCAACAACAGTTTTATTCTAGTCATGCAGATAGATTCACTTCATGAGTCTGACTGGACGTTGTTACTGGGAGGTGGAGTGGAGAGGAGGCGAGGTTTCTGTGGCAGTCACATACAAGAACATCAGCAGAGCAGGGAACTCGGATGAATGTTTATTTGGACGCAATGACACATCTTGGGCGTTAGATTGTAACCAAAAAAGTTATATATTTTGGTACAACAACATCAACACTCCAGTCTCAGGTCCTCGGTCCTCCAGAGTAGGAGTGTACCTGGATCACAGAGCAGGTGTTCTGTCCTTCTACAGCGTCTCTGAAACCATGACTCTCCTCCACAGAGTCCAGACCACGTTCACTCAGCCTCTCTATGCTGGAGTTTTTGTTGGTTGGAAAGCAATGGCTGAGTTGTGTAAACTCAAATAGACAAAGGTCATTTAAGGTGCAGTTGGTTCAAATCTGTATTTCAGTTCATCAGTTGATTTTATCTCCATCATTGTTGCTAAAAGCTCATTGCTGTTGTGTTTCTGCACTGCACAGAGATCACCTGTCAATCAAACATTGTGGGTGGTACTTTGACCTCTTCTCATCATCATCTCTGTTGTAAACAAAGAAATCTATAATCACATTTACATTTATTTAACTGTTCAAATGTTGTTGTTGTTGTTGTTCAAATCCCTTTACAAATAAGGTCTATGAGTTTGTGATTAATGGCTGTGATTATTATGATAATAATCAATTCAACAATCAATCAATTTTCCATATCTGAGATTCAGGTGAAACAAACTGATTGTGTGGATGAAGTGAATCTGTTCATGAAATCACTGAACAAGAGTCATTTAACAGACTTTACTGATTCAGTGTGTGAACAAACTGAAGCTTCACATCATGAATAAAACAGTTTTTCCTAAAGAATAAATCAAATACTTTCTTGTCTTCCATCTTTCCCATGTGACCTGAATGCAGCATCAGTGTTACAGGGTGTGACCGCTGTGTGAAGTGTGATATTACATGTATCTAAATGTGTCTTTACTGATGTTGTTTAAAGCTGCCAAAGGCTGAGTGAAGTTTTTACTCGTCTTCCTGCAGTGAACATCACAGCAGGTGAACAACTGAAATCTGAAAACTGATGCACAACACAAGAGGGCGCCTTCATCCACCTGACCAGGGATGTAGTGGAGGTTGAAGTAGCTCAGCTCACTTTTTCTGAAGTTTGTAGTGAAGATCATGATTTTAGGCTGAGAAGATTTATGATAAAAATGTCTGATGTAATACATCATGGTTAGTGCTGTGAAACCTTTATTTAGCCAGGCAAGACATTAAGAACAAATTCTTATTTACAATGACGGCCTAGCAAAAGGCAAGAGCCTTCAGGTATTCATCTTTTAAATCAAATAAAATCCAGAAATTGTTGCTTTTCTTTTATTTACTAGAAAATGTTACGAGGAAACTGATACATTTTTTGTACGTATTTGTTTAATGAGAATATAGTCTGCCCTTATAATAAAGCCAATAATCAACCGTATGAAATTTTTAATAGTATTCTGATTTATTCTTCAATAGCATTAGATTGTTCTTCCAGTTACATGAGTTGGCTTCACTGCAGAGTGTTTGTGTAGTTTGAAACAGTTGTTTCACTCTCTATGCTTTTCTATTAAAAATGTATTGACATTAATCAGTAAAACTTAAACTTTCCAAATATGATGATGCTGTAACCTCTCAAGTGTGATGTGTGGGAGAAAAATGTATTGGTTGTAGATATAAATGGTTTCTGTTTTTAAAAATTTTATATGTAATACTGTGTTCATTGTATTGTGTATTGATGCTAACTTTAACCATATAACCTCATACCCAATGTGTCATATCATGTATGTTTTTAGATGCCTTAACTAGCCCGGCTGAGAAAAGGGTCTGTGAGTGTGTAAATAGGAAAACCTTTAGGGACACAGGAAACTAAGTAGAAACTGGGGGGATACTAAATCTGATTTCTTAAATCATGGCTAGACATTGACAGGCAAATGTTCATCCAATCACACTCACACACTTTGATATCTTTAGTTGGTAGGTACGAGATAGGAATATGTTATCACCTATAATAATATAATCAAAATGAAAAATTATGAGCATATTACGAGTATTATGAGATTGTGATTTTCATGGAGAGGATCTCAAGGCGCAGCCGAGGTGAGGAGTGTGTCTGCTTTGGGAACCTCAGAATTACATATTTGCTTTTTGCAGAGGATGTGATTCTGTTGGCCTCATCAGAGCGTGACCTCCAGCATTCACTGGGACGGTTTGCAGCTGAGTGCGGCGCGGCAGGGATGAGAGTCAATACCTCCAAGTCTGAGGCCATGGTTCTCAGCCGGAAAAAGGTGGACTGCCCCCTCTAGGTTGGGGGTCAGTTACTGCCCCAAGTGAAGGAGTTCAAGTATCTAGGGGTCTTGTTCACGAGTGTGGGTAAGATGGAGTGGGAGATTGACAGGTGGGTTGGTGTCAACAGCAATGCGGGCGTTGTACCGGACCGTTGTGGTGAAGAGGGATGCGGTGCCAGAGGCCAAAGTTCTCGATTTACAAGCTGATCTTCGTTCCAACCCTCACCTATGGTCATGAGCTCTGGATAGTGACCGAAAGATCACGGATACAAGCAGACGAAATGGGTTTCCTGCGTAGGGGTGGCTTGGCTCAGCCTTAGAGATAGGGTAAGGAGCTTGGACAACATGGTTCAGGCTTCTGATAAGGATACCTCCTGAGCGCCTCCCTTTGGAGGGCGTGTGCGACTGGGAGGAGACCCTGGGGTAGAACTCGCTGGATGTATTATATATCCCATCTGGCCTGGGAATAACTCGGGATCCCCCAAGAGTAACTGGAAAGCGTTGCCGGAGAGAGGGATGTTTGGGGCCTCCTGCTTAGCCTGTTGCCACCGCGACCCGACCGCGGATAAGCGGAAGACAATAGATGGATACTCATAATACAAAGTGTGTATAGAAAAGAAGAAAATCACTTGTGCATGTATATATTCCAAAATGACAGCTATGTGACAGTTGATGACTAAGCATAGGCTATGTGACATATGGGGGTTTCATCTATGGCAACAGGTGATCTCGGTGTTAGTGTCAGCTGAGGCCTAAAGCCTCAGATGCCAGAGGGCATCAAAGTCTTCTGTTGATGGCTAAACAATGGACCCATGAACAGCAAAGTTTGGTTAAGTTTGTTTGAATTAGTTAAAACTAAGTTATGCAATGTAGTGGCTCTCCTGAGATATTTTAAGTGCACCAGGATGAGCAAGGTTGTGAAAACATAATAGCCTGCTATGATGCCTTATTATTAATCACATGTATAAAACTGTTAATTTTCTAGGATCCATTCAGTCATTTCTGTCTCCAAACTGAACTACAGAGTCTAACGATCTGGTGCATTCATGTCCTATGGGATTCACAGTTGCAACAAGTAACTCGTTTGATTTGTTTCTTTAAATGCATCAAACATTAAAATACAAATTTTACACGAAAATTCATTTCTAGATTTATCCTGTTTTACACAAAAAAACTTTGTATAAGGACAAGGACTTTATGAAATAATTCAAAAATATTGAAAGGTCAACAGTGATTGATTTCTCTATTTTACTTTTGTTTAAACATTTTATAGATTACAATAATTAAAACATAGTAAAACATATTTTAAGAGAACAGAAGAGCAGATTTTGAAAACTGGGGAATCATCTCTAAACCGAAAGAGCCCTTTATCAGCTAAAAGTATTGGTGATCAGTGTTTTTAAATGAGAAATACGCTCTATTGAAGGAAAGTCTTAAATACTCAGTATCAAACCGCTCCTCTTCCTGGAGTGAATGTAAGCCTGATAACCCTCCCTCTTCTTCCTGCCCTCAAACACAGCCAGCTCCACTCTGTCCATATTTCCTTGTTCCCTCCCCTTCAGATCTACAGCTTGAAGATGGGTGGAACCAACATGTGGTGAAGTGCAAGAGCTGACAGGCCCTGTTCACTGCAGAGACACATGTTGTTCAGATCAGAGCTCAAACTAGTTTCAGTTCTACAGAATTGAAACTCAGACAGTCGTTGACAGTGAGAGGTGAAATGGCGCAGAAAGGAGTTCAGCTGGACCAGGAATCCATCTCTTGTTCAATCTGTCTGGATCTACTGAAGGATCCGGTGACTATTCCCTGTGGACACAGCTACTGCATCAACTGTATTAAAAGCTTCTGGAAAGAAGAGGATCAGAAGAAAATCCACAGCTGTCCTCAGTGTAGGCAGACCTTCACACCAAGACCTGTCCTGGTGAAAAACACCATGTTAGCGGTTTTAGTGGAGGAGCTGAAGAAGACTGGACTCCAAGCTGCTCCTGCTGATCACTGCTATGCTGGACCTGAAGATGTGGCCTGTGATTTCTGCACTGGGAGAAAACTGAAAGCCTTCAAGTCTTGTCTGGTTTGTCTGGTCTCTTACTGTGAGAAACACCTGCAGCCTCATTATGATGTAGCTCCATTAAAGAAACACAAGCTGGTGGAGCCCTCCAAGAAGCTCCAGGAGAACATCTGCTCTCGTCATGATGAGGTGATGAAGATGTTCTGCCGCACTGATCAGCAGTGTATCTGTTATCTCTGCTCTGTGGATGAACATAAAGGCCACGACACAGTCTCAGCTGCAGCAGAAAGGACTGAGAGGCAGAGAGAGCTCCAGCTGAGTCGATGCAAAGTACTGCACAGAATCAAAGTCAGAGAGAACAATGTGAAGGTGCTTCAACTGGAGGTGAAAGCTATCAATGGCTCTGCTGATGAAGCAGTGGAGGACAGTGAGAAGATCTTCACTGAGCTGATCCGTCTCATGGAGAAAAGAAGCTCTGATGTGAAGCAGCAGATCAGATCCCAGCAGGAAACTCAACTGAGTCGCATCAAAGAGCTTCAGGAGAAGCTGGAGCAGGAGATCACTGAGCTGAAGAGGAAAGACGCTGAGCTGAAGCAGCTCTCACACACAGAGGATCACAACCAGTTTCTACACAACTACCCCTCACTGTCACGACTCAGTGAATCTACAGACTCATCCAGCATCAATATCCGTCCTTTTAGGTACTTTGAGGGTGTGACAGCAGCTGTGTCACAGCTCAGAGATAAACTACAGGACATTCTGAGAGACACATGGACAAACATCTCACTGACAGTGACTGAAGCGGGGCTTTTATTGTCACAACCAGAGCCCACAACCAGATACAAATTCTCAAATTATTCACAGGAAATCACACTGGATCCAAACACAGCACGCACATATCTGGTATTATCTGAGGGAAACAGAAAAGCAACATTAGTGAGTCAACAACAGTCTTATTCTAGTCACCCAGACAGATTCACTTCATGGTCTCAGGTCCTGAGTAGAGAGAGTCTGACTGGATGTTGTTACTGGGAAGTGGAGTGGAGAGGAGGAGTTTTTGTAGTAGTTGCATACAAGAATATCAGAAGAGCAGGGAGCTCGGATGAATGTAGATTTGGACGCAATGATAAATCTTGGGTGTTAAGTTGTTACGAAGACAGTTATACATTCTTCTACAACAACATCAAAACTCCAGTCTCAGGTCCTCGGTCCTCCAGAGTAGGAGTGTACCTGGATCACAGTGCAGGTCTTTTGTCCTTCTACAGCGTCTCTGAAACCAGGACTCTCCTCCACAGAGTCCAGACCACGTTCACTCAGCCTCTCTATGCTGGACTTTGGTTTAATTATTGTGGTGACACAGCTGAGATCTGTAACGCCAAACAGACAAAGGTCATTTAAGGTGCATTTGGTTAAAATCTGTATTTTAATTCACCAATTCATTTTGACTCCATCATTGTTGCTAAAAGCTCATTGCTGTCGTGTTTCTGCACTGCACAGAGATCCCCTGTCAATCAAACATTATGGGTGGTACTTTGACCTCTTCTCATCTATTGTTGTGTTGATGTTTGAGTTTCTTTAGGTGGAGCTGGAGTCATGGAGGATATCACTGCTCAGGATGATTTTTCTTTACCTAAACTGACATTTCTCCACATGAAAATATAAACTTCTCTGTGCTCTGAATGTTTGTTGAATATTTGTGTTGATGTATTTGTATGTTGTTGTTTCTCTTCCACTGCATGGGCCTAAACAGAGAAATCACCAGACCTTCCTTTATCACAGGTATTTTGTTGTCACTGTTTAAATAAGGAAAACTATAATTTTACATGTATGATCTTGTCAGTCTAAATATTGTTGTTGTTCAAACTATCTTACAAATAAGGTTCTATGAGGTGTTATAAAATGTAATTATCATAAGTATCAAAAAGGAGATCATACATTATTTTCTTTTCCATATCTGAGATTCAGGTTAAACAAACTGTGTGGACGACTTGAATTTGTTTATGAAATCACTGAATAAAGCTTTTTTTCCTCAAGAATAAATCAGATATTTTCTTCTGTCTTCATTCCAGGATCTGATTCAAAGCTGATGGGGAAGATATGAAACGAATATGAGAGTACAACTGAGGCAGTTTTCCTCTTGAAACAACACAAAGTACAGTGTTCATGTTCAGAGCAGAAGGACATCTGTCAGTCAGTCTCTGTCCTTTCTTCACTAAAACAGTTTTTATCACTGAGAAATTACGGTTTTCTTTGACGTTTTGCTTTAAAGATGGAAAAATGTTTGTATCACTGAATGAACAATGAAAAAAAGTTTAGTATCACAGAAAACTGATTGCTGAACTGGTTTCTTTCTGGGTGTCAGGGGAAATAATGAAACTGGCATTGTAGAGGTTTTCCTCAGGGGTCCCCTTGGTGGCTATGGTGGCTGTGCACAGTGGTACTCCCTACATGAGCAACAAATTGACTTTGACGTGTAAAATCGGCGGACTGCCCCTTTAATATCCCGGTTGATGAGTCCCCGGTGTAGGGTGCAGTAAGTTGAATTCCACCACTAGAGTTCTCCCTGTGGCTCAGCAGCCCCGCTCGGCTCCGCTCTGTTGGCGCTGTCTGTGTTTACCTCCCAGCGCAGCGCTGCTGTACTGTGGCCAGCTGCTGCACACAAGCCACCATCCGCAGCCTCAACTAGCCCGAAAAATACTAATGTAAGCTGCCTCGCGTTCAATCCTTCGCGGATTTTCTGCAGCGCTGTGGGTTTGTGACACTATAGCAGAGGTGAGTTTGATCTTATTCTGGTGAAAATCGCACAGGCTCAATGACAACCCCTAGTGCGGCTAGTTAGCCAGCAACTACAGGCGCTAGCACCGTTAGCTTAGCCTCTCCTATCCCGTGATGGAGGACTGTGAACATGGCGCCCTCCAAAACAAACGAGCAGGTAGGCTAGTTAGCTGAGAGCGTTTCGGTATTTTGTGGCGGCGGATAAAGCTTCCCGTGTACTACAGATACAACTATGTCGTTGTTGTGACTGTGAATCTTGTCCATGTTCGGTGACAAGTTGGCTAGGTTTACCAGTCAGTCAGCTAACGTTAGCTACGTAACAGTTTACTAGTAGCATCGCTAACAAAAATGAACCCACCACGATAGCCTGCTTCCTAGCCAACCATTAATTTTACGTGCTTATTCTGGGTTTTATGTTATCATTGAGACTATATACAATATGAATTGGCTAATTTAACGTATGTAGAAAAAGTTAAATGGCCCCTTTGTCTTGACAAGCTTTGGTTTGGACGTTAGTTAGCCTGCTAGCAGCTAAATCGAGCTTCTTGAATGGCAGTGCCCGTGGCCTTCCACGACTGTCTCTTTGTTGCCACAAGACACAAGTTATGTTTAGCATGTTATTTAAATAAAATATTTGTTGTGAAGGTTTGTGTCGCAGTGTGACATCGCGGTATCTTTTTCTAGAACATCATATCCGTGTCAACCTGGTTGCTGTTAGCGGGCTAACGGTGAATGGCAGAGTGTCATGCTGAAATCCTCTAACCTGTCTGACTGTCAGACTTGGTTTAATGGGCATTATAACCAGTGGGTATGAATGTCGATATGGAGTAATATTAGGAGGAGCTTACAGGTTTTCTAAAGAGGCAACAACAGCGCCGTGTAGTCTCTTTGTTTATCCTGGGAGCCATCAAGCCCACTCAGCCTGTCTTCTAATTGGCCTCCCGTGTCGCACACCTTGCCTAATTGATTGGGGAGCACGTCGGCGTGCAGAAACGGTCGCCCTGCCATCATGTAGGGTGAGCTCTCCGGGGACAGAGGTGCAGATTGGAAGCAGAGAGTCAGGCAGAGGTGACTGTGTTGTGTACATGCCAGCTCAGCAGACACATGGATGTAGGAGAGAGAGCCTGGTTGTCCGAGCTGGCTTGGCATCGTGGCACAGGTGGCCCTCGTTCACACCTTCTACACTTGATACACAGTAGTGGAGCTCACATTACTCACAGTCACATTAATGCTCTCTTCTCCTTTTTGTTCTACTTGCTGTAAAGTCTGCAAAACTACCTGTTATTAATTTCCAAGTTGGTTTTCCACTCTCTGAACCAAGAGTGCTGTGATGTTTAGAGGCAAGATGAGTGAAAAATGTTTTTTCACCTCACCTCCGAGTTCATAACCTGCACCCAAATGTAAAAAAAAATATTTACATGCTGCTTGAAAGAGAACAACAAATATTTTTAGTGTTTTCTTGTTAAGTGATCCTCCTATTAACAGCAATACTACAATTTATGCTTTTTGAACACTGTAAAACCTTTTAATTTCCGATTATCAATTGTTTGTTGTGTCTGAAAATTATTTTCAGACACAACAAAGTAAAAAGAAAAAAAAAAAATCTTAATTGTTGTAACTACTACCATTTATGTTTCTGTATTGTTTCTCTCTGATTTGTGTCCATTTCCAGCACTTTATTTCAGCTGGTGAAATTATGACAGTAAGACATTAAGACATCTTTGTTAGTATAGCAATTAAAAAAAAAAAAAATCTAAAACATTGATTAACCACAATGAGATAGATCCAGAGAGTGGTAATGAAAGCTTTATGTGAGCTTGACTTGTAAAGCTAATATCATACACATCAGGCTGATATTTGTGTACTGCCCAAGCTCAGATCTCTCTATGCCAGTCTGAAACAAAAGAAATATAACAACATCAACATCTGAACTTAAGAAAACCTCCACTCTGACCACAACTTTTCTAGACAGCATGTTTTGCTTGTTTGTTGTGACTGACCACATGCTTTCTGTTGTTTTTAGCTTCATGTGTATTTATTCTGAGGTAATTAGGGCTCATCCTAAACCACTTTTCATACTCTCATGAGAAATGTGTGAAGATGAACATCCTCTCTCGACATCTGTCGCAGCCTCCTCTACCACAAAGTGCACTAAAGCCAAGCATATTCCTTCGTATAAAAATGCTTTGAGCATTACTATGGTTAGCGTTTGGCAATTTATGAAAGTGACATCTTAAGTTTCACGGATGGTTAAGAGGAGGACCGCATAAAATTGGATTTCGGGATATTCAGGGAAGGCCAGGCATGTGCACCAGAGTGAAGAGGCAGGCCAGTATTATTCAGAACCTTTGAAGGTCTTTTAAGAGTTTTCCTTGTCAATTTTTCTCTGGCATTTTCTGAGCTTCCTTCACCACCACAGAGTTTGTTGTCCACATGGCAAGAAGGGAAATAGTCTGAGGTATTAAGAATGTCCTCCAAATGACAACGAGGCATTTCCATTGACATCTAATCAATGCTTTTAAGAGGAATATGGTTTACATATATTGATTTTAAATAAATGGCGTATGGGCATGAGAGACTTTCAGCAGAATTGTAAATTCATTTTGTTTGCAGGAAAAAGGTGTTTGTAGCTTTAGTTGGATATCATAGGATGTGAGGACTGATAGTCAAGGACACAAAAAAAACATTTCCTGGACTTGTTGTTACTGAATCAAAGCCACTTCCCAAGAACTTATTCAAAGCATGTAAAGATATTGTGACTGAACAATTCACATTGGCACAAATCTCTCAAACATGCTTTTACTGAGCAGTCTGCTTATGTTACTGGGAAAAACATAGGAACAGCAATAAAAACAAAATACACTAAGGAGGGAAAAATGGCGGGAAAAAGGAAGTACAGAGCTTAGATTTATCCCCTGTATATCTTTCACTTTTCTCACATTTGTATTATACTGTACAATAAAAAGTGGAAAATGTAGATTAGTTGCTAAAGGGGCTGCCAAATTCTGTCAAATTGAGAGAGCTTGTGTTTTTAAAGCATAAACACCTTTCTCCAAATGTAAGGTAGTAAGTTGTCCAGTGACATTTTAATGGTTGGGACAGTAGTTTTCTTCCAATATGTGTTATTTTTTCTGTAATGAGGGAATATGAAAGAAAGTTTTCCTGTTGATTCAGATGAGTTGAAGATTTAGTGAAGGCCACAAATTACGTGGGTGTTTTCTCTCTGAAGTTCTTTGTAGTAACCCATTCTTGGCAAGTCTGGACCAATACTCTTAATTGTATTGACTAACATTTAAACAACAGAGCAGCATCAGATAGTTCTAAAGACACCTGGTTTGTTACTCACAGCATTTCCTTAGTACTTGTTTTCATGGCTAAATGTAGCTGTTATATAACATGGAGGATATACTGCATGCAGTATGATTATAGAGTGCTTTTAACTCATGATGATCACTCATCCATTGTCAGGTGACTTAATCACCCACCTGACCATGCATAATGGTCAGCAACGTCTTTACAGATGGTCGCATGTGATTCTCCTGGTCTTTGTTATACCTCTCACAGTTTCCTGTGAAGCTGCTCTGCACTACCTAAATGTATTGTTTCCCTGCTGACCTGATGATTAGTTTGCCTAATATCAGCTGAGCGTGAATTAAAAATGTAACTTCAGCTCATGTTTGCTAGAGGGACGTACTGATACAACATGCTCTGTTTTGAGTGACTACACCTCTGTGGCTAAACCTGTACAGGAAATGAGACAATTCTGTGGGAGTTTATATAGGCATATGATATTATTATATTATTATAAGGCAGTAAATTTGTTTGTAAAAAATTTAAGGCCATTAAATTTTATTTTATTATGGATTTAACCAGCTTTTGGCAGATTAACCGAAAAGTTAACTTGAAATACTGAGCGTATTTGATTCTCTCTTGCTGTCTATTAACTTATTTCAAGCCCAACATGAGAGTATAACAAAGACATGGGTCTACTCTGATTTTGTGATATATTGGGGTATTTCTTCTTTCTAAATAAATAACAAGCACATTTTCTGTAAATTCTGACAATAAACTTTATATTTATATATTATATACATTTTTATAAGATACAATATCCAAGTCTTCAAGGAGTATTTGATGGAAAAAAAATCTTTTTTTATTCCATGTGACATTATTATGACCAGTTACTGTAGCATGAGGAACATAGGTTTGATTATTTAGTGTGATTGTAGCATATGTAAGACTTATTTTATAATCTTATATTAAAGCTATTACTACAGCTGTCATTATCACTATAAATGCTACCACTGGCATTTATTTATTAACAGTTCTGCTACTATTAAGAGGGTGGCTCCTTATGAGGCTGTTTCTTTGTATTTGATATAACAACTCAAGTATAGTGAAACCTACTTCTCATTCACATAGAAAAACAAATAGAGCTGCTGATTTATATATTCCCTTTGTTTCCCACAGTTGTGATGAATAAGGAAATCATGTCACGTGTGGTGAAGAAGAGGCAGGCAGACCCCAAGGTGGTCCAGTATGTGTGGGCGGCCATTGAGGTCATCCGCAACCAGAAACAAATCGCAAATATGGACAGGATCTCCAAGTAAGTTCAGCCGAAAATAAGACGGAGATGAGAATATACATATTTAATGATATATCTTAAAGGATACTTTAAAGGGTTAGTTCACCTTATTTTATCTGCTGTAATTTTTTTTAAATAGCTCTCCCCAGAGTCTTATTTAACAAGCCCAGTACAGTTGAGGTGAATAGGGTTTTGTTTATGGTGCTCAGCAGTGAAAAAGTTGAAACTTGAAAAAGTCAACGGTCATGTGTCCTAGTAACAACATCCATCTTACTCTGTGTAATGCATAGATGTCACTGTGAACACTTTTCATAGGGACTGCTTTCTTCATTTTTGTTGTACAGCATCAAGTGACAGGAAGGGTGGATAATAGCTGTGGAGTTGAGGTTGGGGAGGGGAGTGGGGTCTTTATCCTTGTAACAAAGTTTACACAAAGCCTGTTTCTGAGCCTCTGTGTTGGCCAGTTTCTGGTTTGGTATGTTTATGTGTCCTTAAGCGGCTGCCTCTTCACCGGGTTTCAGGTGATTCAAAGCAGCATGGTGATGACCTGAGGGGGAGAGAATGGCTTCGCACATAAACATGCCATTACTTGAACTGACTGTATATAGACATAGTGGGTTACTTTAATCATTCCCCTGGTTTGTCATGTTTTTATGGAGATCTTTGAAGAATAGCTTCATAAAATGACAGAAAGTAGTTAGTTCAGTTATCAAAATGGTTGCAGATGTGATTCATTCTCTAACTCTAACTCTAACTAACTCTTAGTGTGTTTGCTCTGGGTGAAAGTGGGTTGCTGATGGGTGTCATCATGACAGAAGCCCGTGTTCAATCATCAGTAATGTTGCTTTGGGCTTATTGAACTGTGTACATATGGGTTGTTCATCTTTGTTTTGAATTTGATTGCATTTTCATTCTCTCTGCCTAAAAAGCTTGATCAGTTGCCTGTGGTGACTTTGATCTAAGGCTGCGAGTTTCAGTAAATTGATTTCTCTTCCAGATGTCAGGGACCAATGCAAACTATCCCTCTCAGAGTTCGAGGTGACATTTTTTTGAATTGCTATTTTATGTCCAAAACCCAAATATACTTAACTTTCAGTGACAGAAAACAGTGACAAGCAGCAGAATCCTCACATTTTAAAGGGTGGACCAACTATTTACTTGGAGGTTTTGCTTGATGAACAATGTGAGAATCATTGCTTATTTATTTCCTTTTAATTCATTACCAATTAATTCCACTTGGCATTGTTGTGAGGTGATTTTGATTTTGATGTCATGTGAATCCAGTGTTTATTGGCTCAAGCTGTGAAGGCAAGGCTTGGATGTTCTGTTGAGTCCTATCTGCACTCAAGGCCACACCAGACACCGATCAATAGCTAGACTGACAGCTGTTGGAGTTCTGACATTCTCCAACCGATATTCACTCATTGCCATTCTTGCGGTGAAGCCAGCCGTCATATATTAGACCCCCTCTTTACAAACAACGTTGAGATATAGAATCTGCAGCTGGGTTGGGCTCATGATGGCTTTAACCATCAGGATTTTATCTGCGGAGAAGATCTTTCATTGTTCACTACACACAACTACAAAAATTGTTGACAGCTCGTCAGCAGCAGACCTCGCCGTTCAGTTGTTGCTTTCAGTCGGTGGATGGAGCAGAGACTAAATGAAACACTTACCACATCTCATACAGCAAGTTGGCGAGCACCTTGGGAGCTGGCCGCTCGCCAAATGAAAACTGACGGCGAGAGGCTGTTGTCATGGCAACAGCAAGCAGCGGCATGCATTCGGATAGCCCTCCCGTCCACAACACCTCCATCCTATCCAGTCCCACTGTAGCTGAATTTCACCAAATGGGCTTTGCGGCTAAGAGGGAGGATGGGTTAGGCTCTTTGGAAACAGAGGAGACTGAAGTCAGTGAGGCAGAGGCAAATAATTAACCACTTTCTCTCTCTGAGGGAAACGTGATCTTCTTGTTCGGCGATGTGACAGCAACAGCAGTCACATTGCTTAAAACTAGTTAGTTAATTGTTAAAGAAGCTAATTGCTATGAGATCTATTGTTGTAAGATAAACAGGCGACCTGTGCAGATGGAGACAAGAAACACAACAAACCTTTTCCACTATGTGAAAAGGTATTTTCCCACCGAGAACTCTGGGAAATCATGATTGAGTTTTTATATTATCTTTTGACATTTACTGACAAAACAATTATTAATTATTCAAGAGGAAAATAATTGTTTCAGTTCCAGTCCTGCTTAATTGCAATAAAATGCTGTAAAAATGTGTAATTTTTATATATATATATATATATATATATATATTAAATAGTATAAATAATATACTAATATTATAACTTAGTTTATTTTCGAGCTTGTAAACTAAGAGGAAACCACACTGGGTTGATATCTGAAGCTAGCTCTTAAATTCTTTCACCTTACCAGAATTGGATACTAATAAGTAAAGTTGAGTTTTTTTCCTCTTGGGGAAAAAAATGTGTTTAACTGTATAGCTTGAACAAATTGGTGGTGTTACCTTTGGTTGCTGAAATTGTTTTTCTGCAGTGTTTGCATTTGACTACTTTGTGTTCGATGTCATCTTCACTGAAGCTCAAATGACGGACACAGTGTTCTTTTTAGGTATAAGCTGCTCAGGTTGAGTCCATATCATCGTTTTTGAACATGGACTAGCGTTAGTTGGACGGGGCAGAGGCACTTGACTGAACAGGAGGTTAAGTTTTCTTAAATGTGACATCTCATGAAGGCACACATTGGGGAAAGTATTAACCAAATTAACAGACAAGATTAAGTTGGTGAGAGGTTCCAAATGTTGGCTCCTGGGTTAATTCCCCAGCCCAACCTCATGGACATGCTGTCGGCCTCTCCTTTGTAACTCAGGAGTAAATACCGACTGTCACCTGACTCCCCACTGACGCGGTCTGTTCACTGGCTGTCTGCCACAGTAGAGGGTACATGACCTTGCTTCGTGAAGGTCACTGGCAGCTGCAGGAATCAACTGAGCCATTATTTGAATCACATTTGCTCCCACACTGGATGATGTAGGTGCATGAGAGGAGATGAAGAAAAAAAAAACTAAAACACACTGTCTCTCATTGTAATTTCAAACACCACATGTATCTGTAGTCTGTTTTCTGGGGAGCATGAATATAATTTATGGAGCAGTGGGGTGTGGTTGATGCAGTATTACAAATCTGAGAAGCAAGTAATTTTTAGATCATCGAAAATATGCATGCTGTTTGACTGATCGTGATGTCTACAGTTGAAGCTGGTTACAAGGATCTAAAGGGCTTTAGTGTCACCTTACTTACAAACAACCGTTCAAACCTTCAGTTTTATGATAGCCACACTAATACAAGCGGTGGGTCCCCGCCAAGGTCTGCCTCGACTGTAGATTGGGATTTGAAATGTCAGCGTTTGGCTAGCATAGAAAAAAATGGCACATTGCTCAGAGACTTTCCTCTCTCACCTGCCCAGGTACCTGAGTCGTGTGTTTGGCATGCACCCTAAGGAGACTGCCAGACAGCTGAGCCTGGCCGTAAAGGACGGCCTCGTAGTGGAGACCCTGACGGTTGGCTGCAAGGGCTCCAAAGCCGGCATAGAACAGGAAGGATACTGGCTGCCCGGGGATGAGATGGTAAGCCCAGTGACAATTTATTAGGTTGTCATCACAGGCAGCAGTCAACACTGAATCCTTGTGTGTGTTTGTCAAGGTATAACAGTAGAATTCTGTTGGTGCCCATGTTCACATTGCAAGCGAAATCTTTTAAGAAATTACTGGAAGTCCTGCGTTGACCTAAAGAGCTGAATGTTTATGGCAACCGTTACATGACAAAACTCTTTGCCATCAACACCACTTTTGGCCAATAGGGTGAATAGTTCTCAGCTGATGGGACTCTATTTTATGATATAGTTCTAGCTGACAAGTGCAAAATGAACAACCCTTATAATTCTAGTTTGACAGTTCTCCAAAACATTTATTAGAAAGATTGGAAATTGAATCAATAGATTCAATTTCTCTTTGGTTTAGTTTCCTGATTTCTGAGTTTCCAGATAACTACTTCAATTTAGAAGTGAGATACATGTCAGAAATAAATGTACAAATACTGTAAGTGTTGTCTATAAAAGGGTATGTTATACACGTAGTCATTCTTAGAATAAAACTTCCCCAAAACAAATGATTTATGTAAAAAATAAATAAATAAATGAATAGATAGATAGATAAAAGGAATCCAACTTTCTGTGGCTGAAAGTAGTCGTAACATATATGCACTGATGAAGTTATGATAGGAGTCTTAATGGAAACTACAACATGGATTCTGTCAGGATGTAGCCACCCATCTGTCAAGTTGCCTGCAGTGTGAACACAGTGTTAACAGAGTCACAGCACACAGACTTTACATGGAGCAAACATTACTGTTGTACCATCTCCAAAGATGATGAAAATCCTCACCTAAGAAATAAGAGCCAAACAGCAGAGATAGAAAAGTTTAAGAAAACAATATCAAGGCATTTTGTTCAAATTGTGGACTTTGTTTACAATTGTTTAATAATTGTTTCATCCGTGCATATAAAAATGTGTACCCAATTTGTCTATTATCTTTTAGCCCTCTGTTGTGCAGCATTGTGTTAGTAATGCTTTTCTCTTTTCATGTTTACTCCTTGTTTTTATTTCCATCTTATTTCCCTTAGTTGTAAGGAACAGTTCACAGTGTAGAGATGCTTTTACTTGTCTCTTCCAGAGTAGCACTGCACTGAGCTTGTCATTTCACAGTATATCAGCACTACCTGGGGAGAATCCTCCTGTCTTTTGCCATCTGTAATGCAAAGAGCACCTTATGGATTACTCTGCAAGTGCGAGTGGCATTAATATGTATTTGGTGGGTGCCTTAATCACAGTGCTTTTTACACCAGGGCACTAACACCCCAGCTGTATTAGTGTTATGCTTTACCCATTAAACTACAGGAGATAAAATGCAGTAAGAACAGAAATGACTGATGTCAATTGTTTGAGAATAATAATGTGGTGGGAGATTAAGCCTCTTTTTATTAGGTCTAAGGTGAACTACTCAGGTGCTTAAAACAACAGTTTTGACTTGCACATACTCATGCACAAAACATGTACCAGTTCATACTAATTCTATGTATATTTGCAGATAAAATCCTTGCATTAAAAGATATATATTATGATTTGAAGGCCGGAAAAGGAGTCAAAGAAGCTTGCTAGATAGCTTTTAGCTGGTCTTTCTATGTACTGTGTGGTGTCATCGCACAAAAAGGTGTTGGTCTCTCAGGACAAAACACTTGTTAACCAGCGGAGCTCAGGTCATTTTGGCAGCAGGACTTTTAAACACTACTCTCTGAATCACTTGCAATCACAGGAGCCGAAAGCCGAGGGGAGCAAGGTAAGGGCTGCATTGTTATTTTCAAATTCAGGGTTTGTTCCTCATTTGATCCCTTCACACACACCCCCCCCCTCCTCTCAACTAACATCATTCTGTGAGAAATCGGTTCTGCCACATGCAGTGCAGTCAGACTGAATCTGAATCTTTTTATGCAGGCTGCAGAAAAAACTAAACAGCATACAGTATGTTCTGGTTAGTGTAAAAAGTTGTGGGCTGTATAAGATGAAACGGTAAGGCTTCTCTGCCAGTGGTGAGAGACTGTCTTCTTTGCACTATGTAATGCCTCTCACTGCACTTAAATAAAATTACACACAAGGCTAAAAATGTATCAGGTTTCCATTTGCAGATGACTCTGCACGCCGGCCTACAGTCTAGTAGTAACCACACTGCCAGAAGCTACTTGCTGTCACTCAGTTATGCTGTAAAAAGCTTCATGAAAGTCCATTGCAGCGCTGTGTCTACGTGGCCAAATTTCTTGCGGAAGTGATCAGTGATCTTGATGAAAGTATGTGCTTGCTACTTATCTACAGATGTGCTGTTGCTTGATTTAAACAAAAAAAAAAAAAAAAACCAAAAAACCCCAAAAGTCTTCACCTGGTACAGCTCAAAGCCGTATCCAGTCCCTGGCATTTAAACACCAGCCAACCAGTCAAATAGCAACTGTAAATCATAGCTGTAACAGTAATCAGTGTGCTTAACTGAATCACATTTTACTGTGAGATAACAAGCAATACTAGCATAGTTGCAGGTTGGTAGCAAGCATCTGTGCCTTCGTAGTATTTTGGTCTTGGTAGTTGTAGTTCTCCTCAGAAGGGGTGTGTTCTACTGTGGTCTTAACTTCTGTCTGGCATGCTTATTTTCTTTTTTTCTTCATTTTTGATTAACGAAAGAGGGTGGAGGCGGGCGGGAGGGTAGTCGTAGTTTGTGTGGTCGTGCTCTTTAGTTTTCTCCATGCCTGCTGCTAGTAACACAGTCGACTTTTTTTTTTATTATTTTCTCTCCAGGTCACTCAGTCACTCAGTGGACAGACTTAGAGGTTGAATGTGAGAAGCAGTTGCTAGATGGAGGCCTGTTCTTCCTCCACAGGTGCCTGGATTCAATCCAGCTGGCATGTGCTGTGTCCTTGACCTAAGGAATATTTAATCCTCAAACAGATAACTGTGGCATTTGCCCACCAATCATAACATTTTAAAATAGCACTGCCAAATTCTTGAAAACAAGTTTTAAATGCACTGCCTCAAGTCAGATTGGATTAATTCCAGGTTTGCCCAAACTGATTCTTATCTGTGAAATTATACTCTAAATTTCCTGCGGTATTTATGGGGTATTTTTTATTTTTTATTTATTTATTTATTTTTATAAAACAATTGGATACTTGTCGATAACTTGAAAGTTTGGTGGTTAAACTAATTTAAATCTGCACACTTGTGATGCATGATAATGAACATGATATGTATTGATGCACTTTGCCCAGAGACCAAAAACACATTATTTCATTTAATTTACTAACCTATTAATTTGACAGTGTTCAGTGAACTTCCTTGTGTAAACGTTGTATTCATATTTTACACCTTCCTCAGTAATTTTACTTTGTTTTTAAAACTTTGTTGATTCCTCTACAAGCTTTGAAATGGAATATCACCTCACAGGAGTTTGTCTTAAATGTGTGAAAGTACTGTAAGCAATACTGTTCAGCGCAGGGTTTCCCATAGAGTTTCATAGTGGAGCTGGGCTGCTTCACCACCTCCACTAACATTGTAAACAATTTATACACTTAAAATATAAAATATTAACCTTTTGGGGAAGAAAAAGAGAGGCGCTCTTTCACACAGTGAATGCCTTGTGTTTGATGAATTTAGCCATTGCATCAGGGTCCTTGTGGTTTACCACCTCAGATAAACAATTTCCTTGGGATGACCCTTTAAATAGCGGTGGACAATATGACGATATGAGACAGTATAAATTTATGTACTCTCAGATATTTTGTCTCTTTTTATTAAGAGGTGCCTACTCATTTAACATCATAGGCAATGTTCACTTCTTTATGACTATATTTGAAATTGACATTTAATATTTAATTTGCTGAATAAGCCAAAAGAAACATTAAGGTATTCAGTTAATTTTTCAAGAAAGTTTATCATACACATAGAATCTTTTGATTTACAATTACTTAGATTAAAATAAAAGATTTTATCTTTATTGCCCACTGCTACAAGTGATATGTAGTTCTTAACAGTGTTCACACAAGCATGTGATAGAGCAGAAAAGATCTGTGTATATATAGGAAATAATCACATAATTACCAACACCCTTTTAATTCTGCTTATTGTGGCAGCATTTCTCTCAGTGCTTCAGTAATGTCGTTTTCTAAGCCACAAAGTGATATGGCTTACTTTGTGTGACATCAACCAACCACTATTAGCCTAAACATGCAAGCACTCGCCCAAAAAGTAATGTCCAAAAAGATAGCAGTTTTAGGAAGCGGATGAAATCTGTATAAACTTTGGTAAAACTTGCAAAATAACATACTTATTTACAATGCAGTGTCCAGCTTATTTGAATGTTGAGAAGATGTCAGGCTACAAGTGAAGCAGTTTATTTCTAAAAGAGGCGGGAGGTGGAGATGAACCCCAGGGTTGTTTTGTGTAGGTCATTAGAAGGCACGGCTCTCTGACGTGTCCCAGCTTGACACTGTCGGTGCAGAGTTGTTAACCAGAGTTAGAAAGCAGTGGGAGACGGCAGAAGGAAGCCAACTCCTCCTCCATCACCATCCAGGTCCCTGCTTTTGTTGGCAGCTTTTAGTCAAGGCACATTTCTCCCTTCAGGAAGGCGCAGAGATATTTCACGGATGTTTAGGGATAGTCTTTAATATAAAACCCCAAGGTAGATTTTCCTGCTTCTGTAATATTTAAAATATATTTATATTTAAAACCAAAGCAAGAAAAAAAAAAATTCTTGCTTTGGTTTTTGCAGATGAATTTGAAAGCTTCAGTCTTTCTGACCTTTGACTAATCTGGTACTCAAACATCATGTTGCTGTGATAGTATCTGTTGTGCTTGGGTCTTATTCTATCCATGTGCTTGTTGAAACCACAGACACAGTGTCCTTGGCTCAGAGAGCTCTAGCCTTTTGAAGTCAGGCACTTGTCTTTCAGACAGTCCAACAATAGTGGAGTGGCTCTTGACACTCGACAGAACACAAGTACCATCTCTGTATTGTCAAGTGTTTGTGTGGGTGAAGAGTCTATACGCTCTAAAAAGTAGAAGTCCTTGGAGGAATCTCTGGACAGGCTTTAATGTAGAGCCATGGAAAATGTTCCTCCCTCACTTCTGTTCAGTTGGGTATATGTGAACACAACTGTTACACTTAACTCAGACTCTTTGTTCCCTAATGGGATTGGGAATGTGAACCGACCATGATCACTCCTACATACCAAGTGGTACTTTGCATTGCAGGCATGTAATGCAAACACAGGATGTGAATTATGGGTTAAGGCCGAGTTTTGTTAGCACACTAGCTAGCAACTCTCCAGCTACTAATTGGAGTATGGTCAGTGCTTTTCTGATGACCTGGCAGAAGACAATTGCATTTAAATTCAGGGTTGTTCTTACAAATTTATGTATAAACCAAGGAATGAAAGCCTCATTTTTGTTTATTTGGGGGAAAAAATGTGTTCTGCTGATGAAGCACCATTTGTCTGAAATAAAATAATAAGAAATGTCATTATGAAAATATGTAAGATATGTTTGAGAGGATTTATTGAGTTTATTTTCAACTGCAAAATGTCCCGTTAACTATATATCCTGGCTACACATTATTAGTATTGATATAAAAAAAACAAAAACAAAAAAAAAAACCCATCTGTCAGGTTATACTTTGAACACAAAGTTTTTATGACATTGTTGGACTGCCTGACTGCTTTGAAGATAGAGAGCCAAAAGGTTTCAGTTTTATTTTGCCCTTGAATGCATCGGGATTATTTTTACAACAGGTGTTCTTGACAGCGACCGCACTGACTAAAAGACAAGAGTCTTATCTAGTGCTACACGAGGCTTTAAACTGATAAAATAAATATTTTTTAAAGACTTTTCTGCATTTTTATGCCTTTTATTGTAGAATTGACAGTAGATGCCAAGCAACGAGGAGGACTGAGAAACTGACTTGACCCCAGAACATTACAAAGGACACCATGTTGCTAGAATCAATTACTTACATTATTGATTAATCTGTAGATAATTTTTTTGATTAATCTTTTAATCATTAAGTCTATAAAATGCCAGAAAATTATTTAAAGAAATGCGCATCACAACTTGACTGAGAGACACATGATATCTTCAAATTGCTTGTGTAGATATTCAATAACCCATAAATTTGAGAAGCTGAAGGCAGAGCATATGTTGGCATTTGCTTGATAAATGACTTAAACAATTATTGAAAATTGTTGATTAAATTTCTGTCGATTTGACAAATCAATTAATTGATTATATTTGTCCATGCTACTGTCACATGGGTGATAAAATGTAGCGTAGTATTGGATTTTGGTGATGGCTCTGACAGTTGTAGATTATCTGTTAAAAGATCCTCCAGTAAACCCCTGCATTTCAGAGTGTAGAGTGCTTCCTGGCAGGCCCTGCTTCAGATCAGGTTCTTTGTTGTAGCAGCGACACTGGCAGCGTGAATGTCAGAGCTATCCTTACTCCTTTTGTTCTTATGACTATTTATGGTTGTGTTGGGGCTCGTTTCACCCCTACACTTCCGACGGAACCACTCTGGTCCAAGTCTGTTTCAATCTGCATGTGTTTTTTTTTTGACAGAGGAAGGCCTCCCTGCTGTAGTGCACATTCCTGTTGTAGTCTTCTGTTTAAAGACTTATCAGGGTTATTTAGGAAAATACATTACTGGTAAGATTATCTTCTATGATTCCTCAGGCTCAAACCCAAACTACAGCACATAAACATATGGAGAAAAGATCAAGAAAGAGACTGAAGTGCTGCTCTTTTCTTGCTTTTATTGAGCGGCACTCGGTCATGATTCTCCTGCTCTTCCCTACTGAGTCGGTCCAGACTGTGAGTGGGAGGAGTTGGACTCTTGACAGGTTGATGAGGAGATGAATTTTTAGTGGTTCATACTCGCCATCTCTGTGCCCTTCACTTGAACCCTTTAATGAAAATGAGTGTAAGACAGGACGACTGCAACCTTTATGTGTGTTAGGATAAAAAAAAAAAATAAAAAAAAAAGGCAATGCCCTTTCAGCCACAAACACAAATGCTTGATATGGACGTGTAATTATCACAGCATGAGGGCAGGTTATTTTTAAGATTAACATTGCTAAAGGCCAGCCAGGGCTGAGTATCGCTTGAAATTTTTACAATAATACAAAATACAATACCTGAGTTTTGGTAGCTTAGTGAAACTTTTGACAGTTCTTTTTGAAATATAAAAATATTTATTTTAAAGTTACTTAAAGGTCCCATATAGTATAAAGGTAGATGTCCGTGTGTATATAAAAAAGATTATAGATCAGGTCTAGGTTCTATATTAATAAAGTGAAAGTATCAAAGCCTCAGTCCACAGAGAAATGCACACAGCCTGTATTCAGAAACTGAGCCTTAAAACCAGTTGTTAGGACTTTCTGTAATTTTGTGATGTCACAAGAAAGCAGTCACCGCTCTCAGCCATGCCCCAAGCGCCGCCCACCTGGACCCACCATCCAACCTTGTGGGATTTGGTTTCTCTGAGTGTTTACCTGAAATCTGCCTTATTTTTATTGAATCACTCAGAAAACAGAAACTCACAGACCTGTTGTTTCTAGAGCTCCAGAGAGAAGCCTGAGAGAGGAGATGTAAAACTGCATTGAGATGGTTCTTGGTTCTTAAAACCACAAATATATCTTCTTATGGATCAACACTCCAAATAAAACACAGGAGAAGTGTAAATTTTCAATTGTTAAATGTTGTGCATTTGTACAAACTCTTTGCCTTCATATAATCATCTGACATTCAACAATTTTTGATTTAAAATCAGGAACAATCTGATTAACGAAAAAGAAAGCAAGATCATGAATCTGACCAGGTATTCACTGCCAGTGTTTTTGACAGATTTCAACACTTGGTGCTTCAGATACATTTGTAGTCTGTACTAAAAAGTATTGAGGTTTGATACCGTGGGGCTTTTTGTTTTTGCTCTTGGTGCCCAGCAGCTAGACAGGAAAAAAGAGACTTCACAAGAACTGAAAAGCTACTCAACATTATCATTAGATTTTTTTTTTTTCTTCACATCCACTTTCCTCTCAGATCTTTTTAGCTGCTTCATGATTGGAATTAGTGGCCTTTTGGCACAATGCTCTGAACTCCATGCTGTCACCACCTGCTGTCACTGAGGCCAGTGCGTCTAAATTAGCTTCACCGACTGCTGTTACACTTGGTATATTTCCACTTTCACAAATGGATATTTTGAGTTTTTAGTGTGTGTGTGTGTGTGTGTGTGTGTGTGTGTGTGTGTGTGTGTGTGTGTGTGTGTGGTGTGTGTGTGTGTGTGTGTGTGTGTGTGTGTGTGTGTGTGTGTGTGTGTGGAATCACAATGAAATAGTAAGTTGAAGTAGATTGAGTGTATCCCTAGATATAATAATCATGCTGTCAGATTCAGTCATCTGAGCTGGAATTTATTCTTTTGAAACTTGGTAATTAAAAGGAAGGAAGTTTATCATTTTTTTATTTCCATTGGAATCTAACGAGGGAGTTCCTGTCTCCTTTGTAGCTCATCTATAAGTCATCAAGCATCACAATCACAACAGCCACACACACAAATTGAAAACAAATTCATACTCAGAAAAATTAAGCACAGATCAGTCAGGAGGAACCTCATTTACAAGCTGGATACGACTCATGATGTAGATGTTAAGAATTTCGATGTTCCTTCATTCACCGGAGCTGATGGTTTGCAGTGTGGGATCAAACCCGACACCTTCAGTGGTGAAATGGTCTCTGGAACATCCTCTGACACACTCATCACATATCTGTAAATCATGAGCGCTAGGTTTCATCAAGAATGGAGAAAAATCATTTCCTCCCCTGCTGTAGTTGGCGGGTTGGAGGGGGGGGTCACCCAAACTTGTGCTCTGCTGTGTCTTCCCCCTGCAGGACTGGGAGGCGGAGAGCCACGACTGGTATTGTTTCGAGTGTCACCTACCGGGGGACGTCCTCACGTGCGACAACTGCTTCCGGGTCTATCATCTCAAGTGTCTGTCGGAGGAGTGCAAGCCCAGAGACGGAGGGTCGCACTGGCAGTGTGTCGTCTGCAGGGTAGGTGGTGTATACACCCTTAAATGGCTATTATGTCTATTTTTTAATGACTAATGAGCATCGTTTTGAAAAGGAAAGACAAAGGGCCATTCGAGGATTCAAAAGGTTTTAGGGTTTAGGTTTATGAGAGTATGGGTGGAGGTTAGGCAATTTAAACCCAAGCTGGTATCTTGAAGTGTATCATAAGTTGATGTTATTTTTTTTTTTACACGATTTATCAGTTAAGTCTTCAATGGAAGTTCTTCAAATTTGGCACAAACATTCAACTGCAGAACAAACTGATTTTGGGGGTCAAAGGTCTAGGTCACAGTGACCCCACAAACACGATTTTGGCCATGTGAGCGCAATATTTCGAGATCTCCTCAAGGGAATTTCTTCAAATTTGGCACAAACGTTCACTTGGATATATTGACTGGATTTTGGGGGTCAAAGATCTACCGTAGGTCAGTGTGACCTCACAAAACACTTAGCAATAACTCAAGACTTCACACAGTAATTATGACAACATTTCGCACAAATGGTTAATATTTTATATGACTCTGGATTGACAGGGATGTAACCCGAAACTAGTCTGAGTGGCAGAGGCAGAGTACTGTAAGGTGACTTACACAGACTACTGTAAAAAAAAAAAATAAAAAAAAATTGGTGCGGAAATGAGATAATAATAATAATAACAACTTGACAGGCAATTGCTGCGATTTCAGTTAGTTAGTGTCATAGAGGAGGCTTCAGTACTATTGTGCATATGAGTGTATTGAGTGGATTTAAGAGGTTGTTTCTTTTTTATATAAGTTGATGTTATAAAATATAAACAGCTTTTGTGATATTTGAAACTTCAGCCTAACAGTCTTTGCTTTGTCAGACTTTGGATTTAGTCAGTTTGGATAGAAAATGTGCCTCTGCAAATCATAATCCTCCCTTTCATCCTTCCGCGCTGCCTCTACAGTAATACTTTATCTGTCTGACGTCTTCGTTATGCTCATATGTAATAACGCTCCTGTAATAATCCAATCAAAAAAAAAAAAGTGGTTTCTCCAGCTGAAATGTTTCTGTTTCTTGTATTTATTTACCCAAATAAAGGCTCCTGTCACTTTCATGAGGTTTTAGAAATCATTTCTCTGCAGAAACAGGCTAACTATCTGTTGGTTTTACTGTAATACCAGCAGACGTCTAATTATTTTTCTGTCCTCAACCAGCCCTGTCTCCACTTCTGTGCTCTCGCCGTTATGAATTAATATTAAATATAAGTGTGTGTTGGAGAATTTGGGTTACACAAATCAAAAAACCAGAAGTTGCTGCTGTTCTAAACTCCCTCTCTCCTCTCTCCACATCCACATCATCCTTCCCTTCCTTCCTGCAGGGCAGTAAAAAGAAGAACCTGAACAAACAGGAGATGTGTAAATACCTGCGTTTCATCGTCCAACGTATGAAGGAGAGGGTGAGAACAACTGTATATTTATTTCTACCTGTTATTGTTGCTGTTGTCCACCTTCAACTCATCAAACCTCCTCCCTGTGAGAACACAGCAGACTGTTGTTGTTCAATATAACAAGCCACGGTAGTCTAGAGAAACAACTTACTCTAGTCTGACTGTTAACATTTTCATTAGGGTTTGGGTGTCATTTAGATAGTTATGATTTTAATTCTGTTTGTCAGTTCCTCTTCTTGTCATATTACATGAAAAAAGATTTAAAGATTCACAAGGTGAATGTTCACTTTTTTTGAGTTTGGTTTTTATTGATATCACAACTATCAGCAAAAAGTTCTTCATTATTCTTACACTGCATGAAGTTGTTAGAGAGTCAGTGATTCCATGAAGTGATTAGAAATTGCTGCATCACTTAGCCGTGCTTTTGAGAAGTAATCCGTGATGCGACTCTTAACTAAACACTGTCTTCACACGGCTTAAAAGCTACAGTTATCACCACAAGTTTGTTTACCTTGTGTCATGTTCACCCCATCGGCTTAGCTGTCAAACATGGCAGCCCGCCCACTCTCAGAGGCTGCAGGAGCCATTCTGAAATAACTCGACAAACATGTTTTTACTCCTGTAAAATAATAGAAATATAGAAAAATACATTTGAAACCCACCATGACATGACCACAGTCTGTGGTCTGTGGTTGACGCCTCTGCTGTGCCCTTTAAATTGTCCTACTTGTACAATTACCCACACTAACCCTCACTCCTCTCTCAATTAAGAAGAAATGTCCCCTTCATTCTCCTACGTCACCACCCTTCCCCTCCTATCTCACTCTCCCTTCCTTTGCTCCCTTACCTCAAGTGATAAATAATGACGTGACTCTTCCACCTTTCTTGTTCTCTCATCCTCTCCTCTCTTCATCCCACTGCTCCCTATGAAATTAGTATCAAATCTCATCATTTACCCTCCATCTCTGCTTCATTAACCCTCTCACACATCTGTCCTCCATTCTATGAAGTGGTATTAAATCAGTATCCCTCCTCTGTACGGCTGCAACTAAAGATTATTTTCATTATCAGTTAGTCTGGAGATTGTTTTCTTAATTAATGGATCTCTCAGTGTATCAAATGTCAAAAAAAATATCACCATCACAACTTTGTGACGTCTTCAGATGACTTAATTTGTTGACCAACAGTCCAAAACCCAAAAATATTTCATTTACTGTCGTATATGACAAATCCTCACATTTTAGAAGCTTGAGCCTGCTTTAATTTTCCTTTGATCGATTAATCAGCTAATAATTGCAGCTGTACTCCTCTACATTGCAGGCAGTGGATCTGAACAAGAAAGGCAAAGACATTAAACACCCCATGTACAAACGGCTGATCCACACTGCGCTGGACGTCTCCAACATCCAAGAGGTAACAGTCAAGCTCAGTGTCACGCTGTGTAACTCCTGTTCTTATTTGATATTCTAACATTTTTCTGTTTTAATATATACATATATATATATGTATCAATTTATTCTTCAGCCCTATTTTTGTCATTGTTTTTTACATTTTCTCACCCATACAGAAGATTGAAACATCCCCTCACACCCACAAACATATAAGTCCAGCTCTCACATAACTCCTCCTGAGTTAATTTACCATCAGGCAATTGTCCTGCGCTGTATTTTGTTTTATTTGTTGTTTGTCTTAACGTTCATGACTCTGAATGAACGTTAGCGAGGTTGTCAAGATTTACTCATAAAGCAAAAATGAAATGTAAAGTACAAGAGGGGCAGATTTAAACAAAACAACAAATCAGAGAGACGGACTGAAAACAGACACTGACCCTGAGCTCTGTTTGTGTTTGCCGAAGAGATACTATCTGTGATTAGAAGATTTGAGGCAGTGAAAGTCGAGTGAACAGTGTGGGGCTTCTACTCTATTCAGTCCTTCCCTCCTGCAGAGCTAACACTTGCTAACAGCTGTCTGCAGATGTTAGCCTGATGTCCGGTCAACACAAACAGATGAGTTAGTGAGCAAACTTGCAGACCTGTCTGTGCTCCAAGTGATCATTAAAGTGGATCTCTGCACTTTATGTGTGTGTGTTCTTCATGTGTAGCTGCATGAGACGTATTTATTACACTGATGCCTTTGTTAGCAGTGCAGGTCTTTTTATTATTATTGCTAAACTGCTTTTGCAAATGTTTCACCTTTTTAAGTCGTCAAGTCAGTCAAAAGCAAGGTCAAAGAATTATGATGAATTATTCTGTCCTGGAAGATAAGGCAACGTTTCATTTGCATTTATCATTTGTACACCAGTAATTCAAGTAAATGCTAAACCAAACTTACTGTCATACTGTCTGTTCTTGATGATACTTCAGTTTCAGTATAATATTGTCCAACTTGGTTCATTGTATGATTAATTACCAAAGTATTGCAACACTTGATTTAAAAAAAAAAAAAAAAAATGGAGGTGGTTAATGGAGGAGTTGAAGGCATGAAACATTTCTTGTATCTTAAAGGAGCCAGAGAGAAAAAGTTTGAGAACTGCTGGTTTAAACTTGTCATCTGACCAGGAGTTCAACCAGCCAGTTAGCTGACATTCCTGCCAACCAGTCAGGACAAATTCATCATAGTTTAGATTTTCAGTCTGAGTTGTTGTGTGTATGAGTGTGCTTGGTCAAAATTTTGTGCGTTTTAGTTAGAGAGAGAGAGAGAGAGAGAGAGAGAGAGAGTGTGTGTGTGTGTGTGTGTGTGTGTGTATTAGTGTGTTAGTTCAGGCAGGATGCTGCTGTGTTGCATCACACCCAGCCTCTGCCAGACACACTGGATCTCTGCCCAGATGTGTGTGTGTTAGTGTTAATACGCACACTCCCCTCTCGCATTTCGGCCACCAGACACACACACACAGCATGTGAATAGACCTCTTTGTACCTGCTCTCTCTCTCTCTCTCTCTCTCTGACCAACATTCTTGCTCTCTCTCTCTCCATCGATCTCTTCTCAGAACCTGTCTGAAGGAAAGTATAAGACCTTTGAGGAGTTTAAAGCAGACGCTCAACTGATTGTTCACAACACTGCCATCTTGTATGGAGGTGAGTCAAAGTTTTACAGGTTTTACTGTGTTGTGCTGAGTTGTTTCCTTTTTCATTTCACCTAGAAAACAAGATGAAAATGCGTCACCACCAGAGCATTACTCGTCCAAACATGTAGTGAATACTAAAAATATTCATTAAAATGCTGTTTGTAAACTGCAGCAACTGCTGAATATGATTCCACAAGTAGCCCAGGAGCAAAGCATATGAATATTGTCACTTTCAAATAAAGAGTTTGTTTCTTTCTTGCTGTGTTGCAGTTCACAGTGACCAGGCAGAGATCGCACGGTTGCTCTTCAGCGACACATGCCACGAGGTACCGTCGTTTCATTCTTTCTCTCACACTTCACACACTGTAGTTTGTAGGTTCAGAGCTTATTGTTTCAAAAGTTCTCAACGGTTCTTGTAACTTTTTTCTTTCCTCCCTCCCTCTTCTCTCCCTCGTTCCTCCTCTCCTCTTCTTCCAGTTGAACGAGTTGTTGTTGTGTAAGAACTGTTTCTACCTGTCGAACGCTCGGCCTGACAATTGGTTCTGCTACCCCTGTGTGAGTACAACCAAACCCAATGTACCAGGCCCAACCAAACTTTATTTCTCAACAGAGGCAGCAACATACTGTCGTTTTTGTTGTTCCTGTTGTTTTTCTTTATCAGCAGAAGCATTACATTATTGGCGGCAGTTGTAAGATGCAATTATAGTGTTGTTTTTGTTGATTGGAGTTCCCCTGAAACAAGTAGTTGTTTACCACACCAGTGGAGTTTTACTTCACTTTGTCTCGAGTCAGATGTCAGGTCTTACAACCCAATATCTCAGTTAGTTTGACATAAACAAACAAGCTGTGGGAAACTGCTACAGACATTTAAAACCTTTTTTATACCAATTTTTAGACTAAAATCATTGATGAAACAAGAAAAAATAATGTACAGACCATCAAACCGTATACACACAAATTCTTGCAAATTCATGCAGACTACTGAAAAAACTAGGCAAGTTGTCCTGTGAACTGTAATTTTAGAATAAAAGGCATCCCACCACAAAAGAAACTCTGATTGTGCTTGTTAGAAATATACCAATAGGTTGTATCTTCAGTCTAATATGTTTCTTTTTGCGTCTGTTAACTTGGCAGAGCCCGAGCCATGACCTGGTGTGGGCAAAGATGAAAGGTTTTGGTTACTGGCCTGCCAAAGTCCTTCAGAGGGAGGACAACCAGGTGGACGTGCGCTTCTTTGGACACCAGCATCAGAGGTTAGAGCAGCTGGACGACATCACAACAGCACACAGTATCGCTTTTCTGATTGATTGGTTCAGTAGCAGGAGTCTGGTGTTTTTTTATCTATGTGAAATCTTTTTTTTTTTTTTTTTTTTTTTTTTTTTTTTTTATAATTTAGTGCACATTAATTTAAAGCACCTAAAGTAGGACTGTTACTGTCCTCACATCTCTATCAGCCATTTTAAATTCATCAGGCCTTATTTGGAAACCGCTAATATCCTCAGATGTATAAATATAACATTAAAATGGTAAATCTCAAGCACTATTTTTTATTTCCTCGTCTCCTCCAGAGCGTGGATCCCCTCAGACAACATCCAGGACATCAAGGTGAGTGTCCAGCAGCTGCAGGTGAAGCGCAGCAACGGCTGGAAGAAGGCGTGCGAGGAGCTGGAGGTCTACCAGCGTTTCCTGAGGGAGGGACGCTTCTGGAAAACAAAGATGGAGGAAAGCAGCCAGCCGCACCAGCACCACCAACAGAGCCAGAGCCAGAACCAGAGCCAGAGCCAGAGTCAGAGCCAGAGCCAGCGGCAGCAGCAGCAGCAGCAGCAGCAGCAGCAGGAGGAGGGCAGCGTTAGGACGGACAGACTGGAGAGGACAGACGAGGCCGAGTCCAGTATCTCCTCTACCAGCAATGAGCAGGTCCGACATGTAAGTAGTGTCTTAACAGGTCTTCACATGTGGTGGAAACGCAAACACAAGTTAACACAAGTTGTAGCAGCCTTGAGGTTTGTATATGCGCTGACTGGTCAAACAGTTAGTGCCGATCAAAAGTTCTGCCCCAGTGAAGAATCATGGCAAAAGAACTAAATTGAGTTCCTGAGTTCCTAAAATGGGTCCTGAGCCCCAGATGAAGTTCCTACAGAGGAAGAGGTTTATATAAAGCACCCAAGTGAACACAATAAGCGTTTGATAGACCTGTTAAAAAGCTACTAGCCACCCCATCCTCTCAGGTCATCTGCTATTGATCAAAGATTTCTTGCTCCTGGCTGCTGGATCAGCCTTCAAATTATGGCTGACAAACTTAGTCGTGTTGTCATCTGTCGTCTTGGTTTTGTTTCTGCATCTTCACTGTGCCTGTCACAGTAGATTTCTGCAGAGACAAACAGCGTTATTTTTTGAGTCTGGTTAACACCAGTCTTAACTTCCTCTGAGGTTTCCACGGCGATTGTTCGTCTCTATCAGGTCTCTACTATAAACGTGGTGCTGCTGCAAACTCACACTAAAAACACTAACACCAAAGCAGCAGGTAGTTTTCTGTGAAACAAAGTTAGGGCTGTTTATAAAAAACATTTTCTGTAATGCACTAACTAAAAACAATGTTAAAGTTAAACTTCACACTGGTAGAGAATAAACTCAGATAGTGTAGATATATATAGATCAAACAGTGCCACCTGGTGACTGAACCGCCACATTGTTCATTCAGTATTAACTGGTAACATTATACGCAGCAATGCAGATTAAAAGAGGGAAGGAAACTAGACTAGTTTTTGTGGTTGTGACGTTAACACTCAAATCATAAAACTATGTGTGATTAAAGATCTTTGATTAATATTGATAAGAGCAATGTGACACGTTTTTATCTCAGCAGCAATTTATTTATTCTTTCATTTTTAGCAGGTAAGAGAAATTGCTTTTTATAAATGTCTCTACAACACTTGACTTCACTTCTCTATCTGTGTTTTGATAGAACCAGAGAGCCGGCTGGAGCACTATTATATTCAACATTTTACATATATACCGTTTTACCATTTCATATGAACTTGTTTTTTGTCCCCCTCCAGCTCAAAGGCAGCCAGGAGCCCAAGGCAAAGAAAAGCCGTCGGACTCAGATGGTTGAGCCCAAAGAGGAAGTCAGTGTAAGTTTGTTTGTCAGCAGCCAGACTGTAGCTACACAGACAGTATTTGTTCGTAGTAGGATAAATTTATAGTGGAGCCACCCATGTCTATATTATTACATTTACTATGAATCTGCAATATGCAAACTGAGCAAATTACAGTATTTTGTTGATTTTTGCTCAACAGCTAGCAAGCTGCAAGGTCAAACAGACTTTTTAAAATGTTTAAGTTCATGAAATACAAAATAACAGTGCATAACAAAATAGCACTGCCCAAACTTTACATATAACCGTGTATGGTATAAGTAAGAAGAAGGATTTTTACTGATGTTACAGATATTTTTTAGTCTTATCAAAAAAAAATGTGTTTTTGTTAAATATGTTTTAAGTAGGGCTGCACATTTAATCAAAATATTATCGAAATCACAATATGGCCAAGCGCAATATCCAAATTGCAGAAGCTGCAATTTTTTTTTTTTTTGATGAAGGTAAAGGGTGTCACAATAACAGACCATAAATGAAGCATTGTGGGGCTACAGAGATGCAGGGAACCTCATTTTTAGTTTTTTTTTTTTAAGTGAAAATGAAATGTAAAAATGACCATACCAACTAATATCGTGACTCATATCACAATATCTGCCTAAATAATTGTGTAGCAGGACTCGCTGCCACTGTGAGTTCCTTAACAATTATTTTTTTATTGTGAGGACTGAACACACACACTTTCAACTTAGACTTCTCTTAAACTTGTCTTTGTTTGCCCGGCCCTTTTGGCGCACGCACTCCGTCTCTCTTATGTTGTTTGTCATGGCTCGCTGTGGCTGCCGTCGGCCCTGTGTGTCTCGTGTGTCTCGTGTGTCAGTCCTCTTTGGTCCAGCACGCTACTGCATTAAAAAGGAAGAGACTCATTAACAGGCAGCAGCTGATCAATCACCTCACCTGGCACTGCTCTCATCAGCCCTCTCCACACGCCTCTTTCTCCTGCAGCTGTGTGCCGACCACGCCCAGCTCCACAAATCACAATATGATTTTATTTTCATATCGTTCAGCCCTAGTTTTACATTTATTTGATTGTAATCTGATGATAAAAAAAAAAAAAAAAAAAAAAAAGACCGTTTAAGATATTGAACTTCAAAATCCAGTGCCAGTTGGACTAGTCTGGACAAGTCTTAGTTTCTTCAGAGCATTTGTGATGATTACTATTTAATATAACTTTAAAGCCTTTGCAACAGAATTAGTTGTAGATTGTTGCATAAGGTACAAAAATGTTTTATTTCCTCACCTTTCTCAGACACATGAAAGTTTTTTGCTTGTGTGGCTTCATAAAAACGTCCATGTTCCCTCCTCTCCTCTCCTGTCCATCAGGACCCGGAGCCGGAGATGGAGGCGGTGAGCTCCAGCCAGGAGATTCCTGTGTCCTCGGCACCGCAGCAGCCTGAGAAGCTGTCGGTGTCTACGCAGACCAAGAAGGCCAATGGAGGGTCGCCGCGCACGCTGCACCGCGGCACCCAGACCAACAGTGACGGTGCCTGCCAGAACATGTGCCACGAGAAGTACACCAAGGTCTTCAACGACGTCAAGGAGATGATGAAGGCCGACAACAAGAGGGAGACGGAGAGGGTCGTCCGAGAAGCTCTGGAGAAGGTTTGTGTTTGTCTTAAAGAAAACATTTTACTTCACTGTCTGGATCTTTGATAAGGAACCCTCCTGTCTCTGTGCCTGCAGCTCCGTGCTGAGATGGAGGAGGAGAAGCGTCAGGCAGTGAGTAAGGCGGTGGCCGGAGCTCAGGCCGAGATGGAGAGGAAGTGTAAGCAGGTGAAGGAGAAGTGTAAAGAGGAGCTGGTGGAGGAGGTGAAGAAGCTCGTGGCCCAAAACAAACAGCTCATCTCCCAGACCAAGAAGAAGCAGTGGGTGAGTTCTGCATCAGTCTCTTTTTCCTCTATAACAGCTGAGGAATATTTCACAAAAGACCCAAGTACATTTACATGTTTCCTTTATAAAAACTGATCTTTGCAGAGAAGGTGAAACATCTCTACAGGTCTTCCCCTGAAAATTGAATATTAGTTGATAAATCCTGAACAGGTTTTTTTTAAACCTTAATATTGAAATCAACATCGGCCTTTGAAATCCGTCTCTTAAGGATTATAACTTAAAATTGGACATTAAACATTTAGTGTATTTAGTTTTAACTCAGTTTAAAACTCAGTCATAAAGGTACCACTAGCTTGAATAAACTTGATATTAATAGTCTTGGATCCAGGGCAAAAATGTTTATCAAGTGTTTTGTTCCTCTAGATGTTTAGATTTCCTTGCGTAATACAGCTGCATAGGAAACACTTTGCCTAAACTACTTGCCAACAAAGCCCAAAACATTCTGTCAAAATGCCTCAGGTGGCTTCCAGTTTGTCGGTCCGTCCCATTCTCATTAACATGAAATCTCAGAGACACCTTGCGGAAATTTCTTCTAATTTGCAACAAACACTCACTTGGGCTCAAAGATGAACTGACTAGAATCTGGTGGTCAAAGGTCAAAGTCACTATGACCCCATAAAACATGTTTTTGGCTGTACCTCACAAATGGCTGTCGCCCGCGCAGAGGCACAAAAACCTCTTTGTTTTAGTGTTTTTGTGTTTTCCCAGCTGCAGTCTTGTAACAGAAGTCTTGGCCTTGTGCTGTTTTCAGTGTTATAACTGTGAGGAGGAGGCCATGTACCACTGCTGCTGGAACACCTCGTACTGCTCCATCAAGTGTCAGCAGGAGCACTGGCACGCCGACCACAAACGAACCTGCCGCAGGAAGAGATGAACAAGCCCTGCCCTCTCTGACCCCTACACAGCACGCCATTGGCTCTTGCCCTCTCCTACGCCTGTCAGTCAGTGTCTACAACACACACACACACACACACACACACATAAACACATACATGCCCCTCTCTCCTACTTCTCTACTTGCCTTCCTGAAAACTTTGTGGACCCGACGTTTTTCTGCGTGAAAAGAGCGAATTGTTCTTTTTTTAATTTAATGTACCCATTGTATTGATTTTTCTTTCTATATTTTGTTTATTTTGTCTCTGAATCATGAACAGATTGCTTGAGAGCATTTGCTCGAATGCAAAATTAAGGTATGATTTTGTGTGTGTGTTTCTTTCGCCTTTTTTTTTTCTTTACTGAAGTGCTAATTTTGAACTTGTGTCAGAGAATGTTATTTAAGTGTGTAGTAACAGATGAGCATTAACTGAATACATTTTATTACCTGAATTTTTTAAAGACTCACTTTTCTTACTGTAAATGCAACAAATACACAGTCGATCTTATGAGGAAAAAAAAGAAAAAAAAAAGTGAAAACATGCCGTAAGTACTATCGCTGCGTTGAACTCGCTCTGCTTTCATAGAGAAAACTTATTTAAAAAAAAAAACGACAAAAAACTGCAGAAGATATTGGATTGTGGTGATGTGGCTCACAGATGTTGATGTATTTTGTTTTTTTTCATGAATCTATTGAGGTGCATAGCACCTTTTTATCATTTCTACCTAAAATCTTATCATCCTCAAGTCACTTATTGGGAACAGGGTCACGAACTCGGCCTTAAAAGACGCCGACAAAATAAATCTTCCATGTATTATTATTATTGTTGTTATGATTAATATTATTATGCACATTTTTTTAAATAGACACATTTTTATGAATCCGATATTAAAAAAAAAAAAAAGTTTTTTTTGGTTCTAAATTGGGGAAATGCATAGCAATCTTTCCTGAGCTGGATCTTAGAGAGGTTCCATGATTTGACAGTTTTTTTTTTTGTTTTTTTTTTAACATTTCATTTTCTTAACCACCCAAATGCTTGTAATATTGCCAAAAAAGACATTTTGTTGAACCTACCTAGATCTGGTGAGTCCTACCTTCCCCTGCTTTCCTACAACCTTAAAAAAAAAAAAAAACGATGAATATTTTTCAGAGCGTCGTCAGTGTCATTTTTCTAGTGATGTACACTTGAAATTCGTCCTCTTTTCTTTCCTTTTTTTTTTTTTCTTTTTTTCTTTTTTTTTTAAACCTAAAGTGACTAGCTATGAGACTCTTTCACTGCTTATGCTATAGTTGGTGGTCAGTGCCTGTTTCTCTTTTTCTTTTCTCATCCTCTTAACTCCCAGTGAAGCTACATGCATGTTGATAGTTTCATAGTTTGTCTTTTTTCACTCATTACGGTAAAATAAAAAAATAAAAAAGAAGACCAGAAGCTCCTGGTGTCTAATAAGCAGTGACGACGGATGGACCAATATAAAACAATATGCAAATGTGAATGATCAAATGAATCTTTTCTAGAGTTTTCCCTGCGCTGGATGTCGCGTGTTGATTGTGTAAACATATGGTGCTTGGAATTTTTTTTTTCTTTTTCCAATGTGGCAATAAAATTGCCAGTTTTTGATTTTCTTTGAGAATTGTGACACTTTTAAAGTTTGTTGACTGTTTCCTCAGTTATGAAGACTGACTGAACGGAGGAAAATTATTCGGTTACTCTGTACAGACGCGCTGTTGTTTTTTTTGTTGTTCTTTTTTTATCATCGGTTTGTGCTTCTGTTAACGTGGGGAAAAAAATACCGTAAATTTTCACATAGTGGGCAGGACCTTTATTCACCTCAGCTGAAGAGAGAACCAGACTTTTTATTTCTTATACTCCAGATTTGATCGTGTTTTAACTGTAAATGAAACCTCAGTACTCAGTTAAGGTGGTATCCTTACGCCGTGTGCCGACTCCTCACCACATGCCACATCATGAGCTAGATATTGATGTTTGTGGTAGATGTTTTCTGCAGTTGAAGTGACTCTTTCATTGTGTACCAACAGGAAATGCAACACATGAGCACAAAGACTTCAAAATGCCAAATGAAAACTTCACAAATTTTAATACTTTTTTGTTTTTTATGTTATATTTATGTAGCTAACGTGGTCCCAGTTACACACAACATACTAACTGAACACAGTGTGTAGAATATGATAATGTTAGCATACTGTTTCTGCAGTTATCAGCACACTTGCCTCATAATGCAGCTTCCACTTAAAAAGAAACGGATTCAGGAAAATGGGTTTTCTATCTTGTTCTTTCTCACTCTTCCATTTCCTTTGTGCATTGCATTGTGGGAGAATACGGTCCATCAACTGCACATTGAAATGTTTTCTTTTTTTCTTTTTTCTTTTTTTTTTTTTACTTAATTTGGTCACTTTTCCCAAAACCTGCTTGGAGCTTGTGTGCAGTGTGAAACTGGGAGAAACTTTGCTGCTGTGATTGACTGAACATTGATTGTACTTTGCATGTTGGGACAGTAATCAGATTAGGTCTGAAAGGAAAGATTAGTTCCCAGATACCGGTGTTAAATTTTCAGATTGCTTGTTTCCCCAAAGGTGTATCCAGTTTGCAATGAGATTAAACAGTGAAAATGATTAAATTAATTAATTTGTGTGATTCTGCTAACTGAAGTACTAATTATATAAAATTAATTCAACTTATTTCACATTAGTTGCAGGTTGTTAAGCTAAACTAATTAAATGAAGATTGTTCACCTGTTAACGTTTTAATAAAGGACATTAAACCTAACCTCTTCATTTCTTCACTTTTCCACTGTGAAAACACTAAAAACTCAAAACCTGCTTTGAATTAGTCAGTGTGAGAAACTTGGATTCAGCCATAATCTATTCCCTTTACCTGGAAGGCTTTTATTGTGAAATATGTGCAGATAATGTTGAGTTTCATTGACAGCAGCTTTAAGGATGAGGATGGTGTTATTCTATATTTAGTTTTTATGTCAAAAAAATCCCTTTAAAAAGACCCAAACCAGCAGTGTGTTACTCAGCTTCAAGCACAATCATATAGTGAATGTTGGGGACTATTTTTAGCAGCGCATTAATTCACATTTGGTGCTCTAGTGAGTCTTTCTGGAAGGAGGACAGTGTATGTGGGGTTGAGTTTAAATAAACTACATCGTGGTGATGAAGGGACATGTCACCTGTTGTAACATGGTGTCTCACTGGTCTGTTTTAATATTGTTTGGAAACATTGGAGCTCTGTGGCCCAGAGGAATCAGATTCATCAGGATGTAGATACTCACGATACTTGTTGGTTTTGGTCTTCTCATGGGATTTGATGACGGTAAGAAAAGTGTAGAATATAACAAACAAGCGTAGAAGATGACAAACAATGTGATTGTTATTATCTGAGAACATGTCCACTATTGGGAAATTTACGGTAACTGTTGTTCTGGACTTCATCTCTCTGTTTTGAAACCTGTTTTAAGTGTATCACTTTAAAATGTAACATGTTACTGTACAGTTGAGCCACTGTGTGACGTCTCTACCCTCACTCAGTGCGCTGCAGGTTATGATTTTATGTTTCTTGAAAGAGTTCCTTCATGTTGTCTCTCAGTTCTCCTCTGCAGGCTTTTTCTTCAAACATGGTGTCTTTTTTTTTTTTTTTTCTTATTTTCATCATCATCATCATCATTATCATTGCACTACATGTAAATAAAATGTCCTGTCAATATCTCCTCCTTCATATTATATGTACATTGTAAATGAATTCACAAATATTTGATTTCAGCTGTTTTCACTCTATGTTCACAGCGACCTGGATGACTGTTAGTTCTAGTTTTGTACAATGTACAACCGTTATCATATGAACCCCCGGCTTCTGTTGTTGCCACAATGATCTGAGCAGTGTGTCATTTTAAGCATGTGTGTGTTTCAGGTTTGATTATTTTTAATTTTTACTTTGAACTCCCCGAACCACACTGCACCTTAAATGTATCCGAGTATTTCAACGTGTTGTTTTTTTTTAACATACTGTTGAAAACCAACCAATAAATGCATGTTCTTCCAAACCGAGACACGTGTTGAAGGTGACACGTTTTTTTGTTACGTACATGTGACCTGTGAGGCCTCTGCTTTTCTCTTTCTCTCTTTCTCTCTCTGACGGTTTTTATATTCGTCCATCCAGCCGTAAAAGGTTTCAGTGTGAAAACTTCTTTTTTTCTTTTCCCCCTGTGGACAAAAAAAAATTGATGTCATTCCAGTTTGTATCTCTGGTTTTTAACTGCATGAGTAAAGGTGTGTGTATCTACGGCTCCCTTTCTTCTTTTTTTTTTCCTTTCTTTTTTTTAATCTCCCCCTTGTGTAAAGAAGACATATTTGCACTCCCTCAGAGAAATGCAATATGACAATGATGTTTTTTTAAATTTTTTTTATTTCCTGGAAGTTCAGTCGAGCTAAATCACGTCTTTGAAGAGGTCAGCTTGAAAAACTGAGTGAATCGATTTTTGTGTTGTCATCCAGAACCAGACTTTCCACTGTTCTTATTCCTGAGTATTACAAGTACATGATACTGTGCGAGGTACTAGTTGAAAACTAGTTGGGTTTTAATGTACTTTTAACTGGAATAAATCCAGTTTAAAGTTTCCTTTGTCCTCACTTCCTGTTGGTCATTTTCTTCTGTTCTGTCCATATGTAAACTATTAATCGTGGCTTAACATTTTCTATGCTCCCGACTTTTTTGTTTTCTGTTTTTTTTTTGTTTTTTTTTGTTTTTTTTTTATGCTTTAGCTAGCAATATGTATATAAATATATTCTATGTGCTAACATGGAGGAAATAAATGTATCAACAATTTCCTGTGTTTCCATTTTTTGTTGTTTTTGTTGTAAAACTGAATAAGAAAATAATTCATTTGGTCTTCCTGAAAAAGCTGAAATGTTTTCTGTTCATATTCTGATTTAACTGTTACTGTGCTATAGTCACCTTTTTTAAAGAGTTTCTTCAGCCAAATTTACAATACATATTTTCTTAACTTGTTTGATATCTATACATGCAGATAGTTTTGGTTTTATTTGTGGAGGTGTTGTAGTTTCTGTCTTTGGGATGTTTGGATGAATGTAATTGTGTGATTTCCTTTATTTTAACAGGAAGTCCCACTGAATTTAAAGGAGCTATTTGTAAGTTTTGCTATTGCTACATACTCAACGTTAGCATTAGCAGCTGTTTACTTACCAGTCTAGAAGAAACGTTACGAGCTATCTCCAGAGGTGGAAAGCAACACCAATGTTGGTTCTCAAGTTAGCGTGCTAACCAGCTAGCCCCAGCCAGTCTGCCTGTCTTTACACTTTCCGATACCGAGTCATTGAAGAAGTAGTGCTGCTCGGAGGGCGTATTATAACCTCTTGTCTTGCAAACACAACGATGGCCTAAGACTTGTAAGTCAACAGCTGTTGATGCTAACGTTAGTTTTGTAGCAATAGCAAAACTTGCAAATGGCTCAGACACACCACACATTAAAATATAGCAAAAAACAAAATACCACGTAGACGACAGCAATTTGAAGTCGATGGCCTCTCAAGAAAACCTGTCATGGTGCTAAAAACACTGAAAAAACTGCATTGTCTCTTTCCAGAATTGATGCTTCAGTTACTCTGGATGATGAATAAGTGGAACTGTTTTCTGTCGAAGAAATGCAGTAGTTCCTCTAAAAACTGTTGACAGCTGTAACCAGGAGACTGTTTTTTTTCTGGAAAGACTATTGAAGTTTTTAAATCTCAGAGAGAAATATCAAAAACCTTCACGAAGAAAAAGCAAAACCAGTGTTCAACAGCTACATATCCCATTGTCACTTCTTAGCTATTATGGGTGCTGCCAAAGCCTCATGGGAGTTGTAGTTGTTGAATGCTTATAATCATTTTTTTTTTTAGTGATGAGTATATTAATGAATACTGAAAAAATTGTTTGCAATTCTCTTAATGCGATTTTGATCCCATTGAAGAAGATAACATTAACATAAGTCCGACATTATTCTGTATTTTTCTTATTGTCAACAAATCTCGTGAAACCGACAGTGAATGGATCCGACTATCAGGCACTGTGTGGCACAAAGGAATAAGCTTTGGATACACAGTTTTTATATGCCAGACTGCTCCTCTGCCACTGGTCTTTGAATATGAAATCAAAAAGTATTTACAGTTCAAAAAAGGGTTTCTTAGGCAGTTTAATCATTTATTAAACGATGCTCTAACTGACGATTAATGTCAAAAATATTTCGTTTACCATCATATGAAAAAGAAAAGCAGCAAACTGTTTGCCTGATAATTGATTGACAGATTTTTATTTTTTCTCAATCAACCAATCAATTAATTTCATTGGTTTTTAGTACATATACTGGCATTTTTCCAGTGCGTTTTTAAATTTCTTTTCCACTGTACAGACAGTATAGACTCTAAATCAGTTACTGAAATAGTTTCACGGACAAAGACATGAGGTAATCGTTTCATCTCTGAATTAAAAAATTTCATCTAAATTTTAACACGTAACACTGCATTTCTAAGCACTTCATAAGCATTAAACAAATGGTTTATATATGTAGGTAGGTATGTATGTAGGTATGTGTGTATGTATGCTATGTAGGTATGTATGTATTCAAGTATGTACAGTGCCTATAAAAAGTATTCACCCCCTTGGATGTTTCCCCCTTTTATTGATTTTATAAATGGAATCATGGTCAATAAAATTTAGCTTTTTTGACAAGAATTTACAAAAAAAAAACTCTTTAATGTCAAAGTGTAAACAGATTTCTACAAAGTAATGTCAATTAATTAAAAATATATAATGTAAAATAAGTGATTGCATAAGTATTCACCCCCTTTAAAGTGACTGACCTAATTCAACAGAGGTCCAGCCAATTAGTGCTAGTAGTCTCACAATTAGTGAAATGGAGATCGCCTGAGTGCAGTGAATGTGTCTCAAGTGGTTGTAGTATAAAGACACCTGTGTCTGGAAGGTCCAGTCACTGGTTAATCAGTGTTCCTGGCTACAATTACACCATGAACAAAACAAGACTCCAAACAACTGTGAGAAAAGGTTATTAAAAAGTCACGGGATGGATACAAAACAATTTCAAAGTTCCTGAACATCCCCTGGAGTTCAGATAAATCCATCGTTAAGGAAAACGTGTAAATCTGCCTAGAGCAGGCCGTCCTCACAAACTGAGTGACTGTGCAAGAAGGAGACCAGTGAGGGAGGCCACCAAGACACCTATGACTACTCTGAAGGAGTTAAAAGCTTCAGCAGCTGAGATGGGAGAGACTGCCTATAACAACTGTTGCCCAGCTTTCACTAGTCAAAGCTTTATGGGAGCGTGGCAAAGAGAAAGTCGCTGTTGAAGAAAGCTCATATTAAATCTCGACTAGAGTTCGGCTAAACTAAAGGCTTGTAAAGGTAGCGGGTAAAATGAATGCAGCAAAATAAAGGGAAATCCTGGAGGACAATCTGATTCAGTCTGCAAGAGAACTACGACTTGGGAGAAGATTTATTTTCCAGCAAGACAATGACCTGAAGCACACAGCAAAAGCTACACAGAAGTGGTTTAAAGACGAGGTGAATGTTCTAGAGTGGCACAGTCAAAGCCCAAACCTCAATCCAGTAGAGAATATGTAGGAGTGTGTGTGTGTAGGTAGGTATGTATGTATTCATGTATGTATGTTTGTATATAGGTATGTATATGTATGTTATGTATGTTTGTACAGTACAATAGCAGCAGGTAGGACTTACCAAAATGAAACGGTGTAATGTTTGTCAAACCTGTTTTAGTAATAAAATTTCCCCAAACTTGCAAAATATAAAACAGCAAACAAGACAAAGTAATTTTTTTTATTGTCAAAATTGTTGAAATATTTATTTAATTGAAAGACAAGTATGTCAACTCAAATAAGACATTTTTAAAACCTTAAAAAAAAAAAAAACATACAAGGGGACGTAACATTTTGCTGATAAGAGAAACAAACGGTGAAGAAAGTGCTTTTTCTTAAAAAAAAAAAAAAAAAAAAATCCTCATGTTGAAACTAGAACATTCTCAGAAGCATCAACCTCGACTCACGTCTTACAGACTGAAGGTTGTGTTCCTCCTCTGACCTTCAACCTCTCCGCTGCTCTGTAATGAGGTTAAAGGGTCTCAGGTTAAAATGCCTTCAGCCTTCTGCTTCCTGTTTCAGTCTTTATTCCTGTCGTGACATCACTGTAATGAGCCCTGATTGATCTGTCCATGTAAAAAATATGAGGGACCTCTGACTCTTTGATATTTACAATAGTGGCGGCCGCTCGCCTACCTGCCATGTCGGGGGCACTCGAAGGTCTTGATGAGGATTCACCTTTTCCCAGCCGGAGGTGGTTCAAAACAAAAACATAGTCCAGTGCTGCCGTCGGTCTGTTTGAACTGAGGACTCTCATCCAAGAGAAACTAGAAGTGGCTGTTTTGGCTATTTACCGCGTTATTTATGACATTTTTAAAGACCAGTTTATTCTTTAATAAACATGACATAGGAGTTCTGATCCTCACAGATTTAGAAAGAAACACCAACTACAGTTTCAACAAACTTGACATGTACAGTATATTGTATTTGTTCCAGGGAGATGTTGTAAGTCCCCCTGGTCACCACTGGAGGTCAGCAAATGTCCTCAGTCAGTTAATGTGTTTTTGTAAGGTTACAGAGCTTTGGTTAATGATCCCTTTCAATAGTCATGTGCCTTTAGTTTTCCAAATTCAGTACGTCATATGTTTGAAATATGGGATCTGTTCCTCAAAATTAATGTCTGCCCTCAAATCAATATCGCCTTACTTGGATTTAAAATTACTTGAGTTTGATCATGAACTAAGAGACATACAATTATATAATTTGGATTGTGGCTGTTAAACAACATGGTGTCATTGAATTTGAAATAAGAGTTTAAAATGTTTAAACCTGGTATTTGTGACTTGAATCTGCAAATCCTCATCTCTCATCTGAGCCTGTGTTTGACATTATCATTACTTAGTTATACTGCAGCGCAGAGTTAAGGCTGAGGTGGAAAAGTTGGTGCTTTAATTAACAAAAATATAATAATGGCCGATGAAAATAGATATTTCAAACATTAATATTCTTGCTAACGTCCTGTACAACCCTTAAACTTATAAAAGGTACCCATTGTGCGTATCCTTCCTCATAAAACATTTGCAAAGTATTTTAAATCGTGCATTTACCAACTAGCAGTCGTCTTCACCGCGGGTCTCTGCGCGCAAAATGTGGACCCACTTAAAAACATTGCTCCGTAAAAGCAGTTAAAGGTTCTTTATAAACAAAAACTCTGATATTACGGATGTTGTCACTTCTATGAAACTCAAATCATCAAAAATCTATAATCAAAAAAAAATAAATTAATTTCTAGCTGGTGAGACAAAGTCTTACCACAATAAAGAGCAGAGGGAGCAAATAATGTAATTTTATGTTTATTAATATGTAAGTAAATGAACTGAGGGAATAATTTATAATTTAAAGGCACAAATGACATTTTTTTTAAGGGATGATTTATCAATGTTTGCTAATGTTTCTGGAGGATGAGGTTCAAAACTTTTACAGATTTAATCTAATAAAAGTTTATGTTTTGGTTCAGAACTCTTCATGTTTCAGTAGGAATGAAACTCTTCAGTTCATCTAACAAATTTCTTTTTGACTGACGTCAACGTCTCAGACCGACACGCAGATAAAAAGCATCACGTGTGAAACTGCTTCTGTCCGGGATGAATCCTTTAACTCATCTTTTCATATAATTTTTAATCATATATTTCTATTTTCCTTAATATGCTTGTTGTGACTCTGTTTCACTCATGATAATACAATGCGTTTTTGTTTTTTTTATATTAGCAAATATTCAAGAGCAAAACATTCTTGAACGTCTCGTCATATACTTCTAAAAGAGAAACAAAATAAATTAAATCAGTTTCTTTTTGTACATACTTACATGATATGAATTTATGTATTGTTCCGCTTCTGTCGAAGCGTTTGTACGGAAAAATAAACGGAGTTAAAGGCTGCAGCTGTTAGTTTGTGAAAGTTAGCACACTGCTTTCCCGCTGAAATGGGACGGACACTTCAGGAAATAATGTTGAATTAAAAAAAAACAAAAAACAAAAACGTAACACTTACGCTTACAAAACAAAAGAAAAAACAAGAAACAAGCTGACATGAAACAAATGGTTAGTACCTCATCGTAAAATTTAAGGGCAGCTGCGATCCGCCCCCCTCAGACCCCGCCCTCGTATCAAAACATATCTCACACTTTGTAATGGTTGATATCGTAAAAACATAAAATATCATTTTTGCCATAGTTTGTTTTGTTTTTGTGTAAATATCCTTTTCAAAAAAATAGCCTAAACTTTTCAGAGGACATGTTAAAAACAAACAAACAAAAAAAACTTAATGGGAAAATATAGAATGAGCCAAATGTAGTTTTAAAAGCCAGAATCTTTGCTACGGTAACGATTGTCCTTTTCTGCCTCACGATTGCCTCTTGTCAGTAAACAGTCGGCACAGATGGGGGGGACTACTTTCTTGCCCTGGAAGGAGGTGGCCGCACTTCCTCTCAGGCTGAGTACAAACTGAAACCATGGCCTGAATGCTAATGTTAACCTAAATATAACCACTTGATACTTAGCCTGGGATAAAGTTTTGCCTGAGAGACAAATTTCAGGGCAAAAAAGTCACTAATTCCTCCCGTTATGCCAGGAACTCCGCCTCAGACTCCGGTTGTTCTTTTTCAGGCCTCAGGAGTTGACAGCCTCAATAATCCTTCATCCACCGGGGAGGGGGGGGGCTACATGTTGTAAGCCACGTAGATGGGGTCCAGCTGGTCGGCCAGGAAGCCGTCACGCAGGTGCATGCGCTGCTTCTCGCCGCGGGAGTTGATGGGGATGACGCCGATGTCGACCACCACCACTACGCCCACGATCAGGTAGTGCTCCTCCAGCACCACGTTGGTGACCAGGGGGACCAGGTCCAGGGCCTCCTGCTCCGAGCCGTCCAGCTCCACCACCACCACCAGCAGGTTGGTCCACGTGAACACGGCGCTGGAGGCACAGAAGAAGAAACCACGTACATGGGAATGTCTTTTTTTTTTTTAAATACATTTTTTACAGCAGCTTCTTTTAAAATATCAGCACTAAACACAAACGCACATACAATCAATCATGTAATAGGTATGGTTATGGTAATTGCTGGAATCTGCAATTAACAATTATTTTCATTATCAATTAACCTGAACATCACAACTTTTCAAAACCAAAGGTGACGTCTTCAGATGTTTTGTTTTGTTCGACCAAATGTCTAAAAAGTTGATCTTATAATGAAAGATTATGAAGAAGAGAGAGGCTAGCATCAAAAAATGTTTGATAAAAATGAAAAATGTTTAATCAATTATGAAAATAGCTGCACACATTAATGATTAATCAACTAATTAACTTGTGTTGCCGATGTACGTCGTGTTCCTCACCACTCTGTGATGCTCTTGTGCGTCCTGATGACGGACGTCTCGATGTCAATGGGGTGGTAACGCATCCCTCTCAGCTCCATGGCCTCTTCCAGAGCACCGACCACGTACAGGGCGTCATGACGCTCTACACACACACACACACACACACACACACACACACACACACACACACAAACTTGATTATAAATCTACTGTGTTAAGTGTTTTTATTGAGTTTTCTTTTTCCAAATTCAGGATTATTATCATTTCTCATAGAAGTCCACTACAAAATTCCACTTTGAATTGAGAATAAAAGAAACTCATAAATCATTTAAAATGACAGAATACTGGTATCTGTATTGTGTGTAGGTGCAGGTTTTTGCCAGCATATATGTGGCTGCAGCTGCTCTGTCTGTCCTCTGACAGACCTTCACAGGCGACTGAGCCACAGTTTTTGTTTGTATGTTCTACAACCTCAGACGTGTTAATTCATTTGGTTGGAAAATTCTCACTGTCAGTAGATGTAGTGACCAAAGGGCTTTTCCCTCCACAGGTTCAAGTTCTTCTCTCAGTGATCATAAAATACAGTCATGAGATACATTTCCTTGTATTTGCTGCAGCCAAAAATATGATTTCAGATTCCAGTTACTCATTTTATACCAATATTCCACAACAGTTTTAATGCCAAAATTGAAACAACATTACACTGAGTCAGATCTGTGTTTGTCAAATAGGAACCATCTTCACCAGCAGTGTTTAGAGCATCATGGGTAATGCTGTAATGGATCCCTTCGAGCATTTCAAACCAGCCCTGAAGCTGTTTAACCCTCCTCTCTGCCATATGAAACCATTAGAGGTCAGCTTCAGCCCCGTCAGTCACACACACTGACAGTATTCGACCAGCCGGCCGCCACGCCCTCACCTCCACTGGCGTCTGTGAGTTCGGTCCTGCGAAGGAAGCCCAGGTATCCGGTCCGAGCCCAGATGGTCTGCGTGTCCCCGAAGCTGAGTCTGGAGTTGAAGTGGTCCGACTGCAGCGCCTCGTCTCCGTAGACGGTGAAGTAGCCGCTGGCGTTGTGGCCGCTGTGCACCCAGATCTACAAACACAGACCACGTGGAGCCACAGTTAGATAGCCACTGTGTGAAAATGCGAAACTGACTCTTATAAAAAGAACAATGTCTAAGGAGACAATAAAACTACTGCTGAAACAGCTGATTACATTTTCAATGAATCGATGAGTTGTTTATGTCTATAAAGAAAAAGTCACTGAAAGTTGTTTTCCTGTTGCTTGTTTCGTTTAGTTTCTAATGAGTCACAGGAACATTGGAGAAGAAGAACAGCAGCTTAAAATGATTAATGAATAATTAAATGATTTAAAATGTAAAATTCTGTCAAGTAACTAATCCAGCAAATAATATGAGTTATTGCCTCAATTTGCCTACTGTAAGAAATTTGCTTATAAATGTATGTTTTTATTTTCTATATATTGGAAACAAACTAGTGTTGATAACTCTGTGGTCCAACCAGTATTTAAATGAATCTGAATTTCCCACTTCACTGTTACAGTTTTCTGTCTTTATCTTGACTTGGGTAAAAAGTGATTTGTGCTTCAAGCTCAGACAAACCTCTCCCAGATGTGACTCTCCCATTGGTCCCTTGGTCTCTGGGTTGGCGATGATGATTCGGACCCCAGGTAAAATCTGTTCAAAAAGAAAAGAGCACAGTGAAAACATCTGCATCAGAATTTCAAATATTTCAACACTTCACCCAAACACACACACGAAAAAAAAAACCTCACCTTCCCAGACTCCATCAGTGGAAGGCTGTGTGGTGACCCCCTCTCTACTAGTCGGACCCTGTGGAGCAAAAAAAAAAAAAGAGTTCAAGCATTAGAAAAAAAGAAGAAAATATTAAATAAAAATGTAGAAAATATAAAACAAAATATATAAATATATATTTTATATACAAATATATGTAAAATATCTATAAATATAATATCAACAAGTCATTTTATGTTTTTATTTCTTTTCCTTTTTTACTTTTCAGAAATATATTTATCTAAATGAAATGTATTTATATTTGATTATTTTATCATTGTTATTTTATTTATTTTTCCTCTGGTTAAAAAAGGACAAATAACTGTCCTTCCTCCTCTGAATAAAGTATTTAACATATCACAGTTTGTAGTTTTGGAGGATTTGATTTCTACATTAACCACTGTCGACCCGCTGCAGGGAACAAACCTGAGGCATTTCAGAGTGGAGTCTCTGTCGTACATTCGATTTGCAAATACGTAATTTGAGATGAAACAACAAAGGCCACTGGGGAATAACAGTAATTATACTTTTTGTTTTGACCACTAAAGTTAAAATAAAATTATTGATCCCCGAAGGAGAAAGCGACAGAAGTGGTTTGTCAGATTAGAAACAAGAAAGTCTGAGCGTCTCTGGCATGAGAGCAGATGTGCTTAAATCAGCAGTGATTACATGTAATCATGAGCGCCGACAGTTATATTTATACACAGCAGGACTGAACAGCCTCGCCGCTTCATGCACTCTGACTTCTCTGGAGGGAAATGACAGCGGAGCGGTCGCAGACACCAGCTGAGCTACGTAATGATCAGCTGGAACACAGAGCTGAAGTTTCCCTCGACACACTGGGAAACTTTCGGGGCTGGTTTCAGCTCCTGACATGGTTAAATTTACATTTTACAGTTTGGGCTGTGAGCTGGTGTCTGGCTGAGCTGAGGTAGGTCTCAACATTGTTCCTTTAATCCCACCGGACCACCCTGTCAGGAGATATTTGAATACATTTTAGTTCGGCTTGTTATCCAGGAGATGCTGACCATCTCTCCCGCCTGCAAACCGACATGAATACTGACGCTGAGCTCCGGTTGGTTCATGGAGTCAGACTTCAGACTCCTGAATTGCTATTTGTGGTGTCACCCAGCTTGGAATGTGACTCAGACTGGGTTTGATGGGCTTTTAAAGTGCATCTTCCTCAGACTGGAGGTGTTTTAGAGGCAGAGAGGGTGACAGCCGCGGCATCAAGCTGACATGACTGAAATCGTCACATTGTCTTGGAGAAACTTTCAGCGTCTCATTACATTCTAACCTTTTACTATCGGGGCAGAGTGACGGTTCTCAGCTGCGGATCAAGTTTCGCATTAAAATTAGAATCTTGAGCATTTATTTATTCTCCACAAACACAACTCCCCACCGACGCTGCCCGGCAGACGGCTGCAGCAGGATCCAGATCCCACAGGAACAGAATATACTTAAAGTCTGGGTGTGAGAAACAACCGACTCCTTGTGGGATGAAAATTCACATGAGAACAAATAAGGAGATCTTATTACTGAGCCAAAAACAATCATTTCATAAATGTCAGCTGATGATGCAAAAACGCAAAAGGAAACTCACAACTAAAGAAATATGGAGAAACGTTCCAATAACAATGAAGTAAACTGAGTATGTGGTTTGGTTTAAACTGAACTTTTCTTTCTTTCTCTGGAAATCAGCAGCTGCTAATAAACACAACTCAGATGACCACGCCCAAACAGCTGCCTGTGTTTTCTCTACACTTAAAACTAAATTACATAACCCAACTGTGGATGTTCCCTTGAGATTATTAGGAAATGATGGAGTTTTAAAAATCCATTGTCGCTGCTTCACTTGAACTACAACCACTTTATTTTTTGATTTTTATATTGCACATGTACAGAACAGCAGAACAACTACATTGCATTGTATATTGTTATATACAGCATTTCTATTTTATCTCATTTATTTTAGATTCTGTTTCTATTCTTACTTTAGTTCTTATTACATTTTTCCCCTTGCGTTGCTATTCTTTTGCGCTACTGTGTCAAATTTGAATTTCCTCTTCAGGGGATCAATAAAGGTGCACCTTACCTTATCAATATGGGACCTTTAAGACAGTCCTGCTTTGTTCAACTCACCTGTCGTGCCGCAGCGCTCTCATATCAACGTACACGGTCGTGGGGTCGGGTCCTGAGGTCCCCTGAGAAACGCCAACAACAACAGAGTTATACACTGCAGGGGTCACGCAGCAACGTGTTTTTATGCATCTACTACCATTACACAGCTGCGTGACAAAACACGTCTACCGCTACAACCACTACAGCTACGTCTACTCCTACCAGGCTGCAGAGGATGCTGCTGCTCGTGCATTAGTGCTCACAGAGACAAGCTTTCCCTTCACAGCAGAGGGAAAAGCTTTAGGGTTTGAGAGTGAAGACGGGAGTCCAAAACTCCTCTACAACATTCATCACAAAACGGTGGAGAGAGGACAGTGTGGGAGCGACAACAGTGGTGGATGATTTATGGAGGAAATCAGCAAAACAAAAAAACGGATTCAAAATTTGTTAAAAAGAAGATACCGCAACACTGACAGAAGCAAACCAACACACTTTCTGAAACTGACGTGCAAATGATAAAAACTGTTGTTTAGAGGAAAGAAAAGAGGGAAGAGTGAAACTAAACCAGGGGAAAGAAAGATGGAAGAGCAGGGTGATGACGACGTAGTTTACGTCCTGGTACATAAAAGCTCTTTAGTGGCAAAGCTCAACACATCTGCCCTGGAAAAATACACACATGTGACAGATATCGTCTGAATCTCTTCATTAGTTATAAGATGAACGTTTGATTGTGAGTGAGAGTGAAAATTTTGAAGAAAAACGAAGAGAGAGAAAAGGGAAGAGATGAAGACACCCCCCCCCAGTTTCCGACCTCTCTCTTCCTCCACCATCCCCCCCTCCTCTTCTCTCTCAGAGGTGATTCGGGATAAAAAAAAACAAGAGCCCACCACCCACCGGACACACAGCAGCAGCATGCTGGGAGTCAGAAGCCCACACACCCAGAGCACAGAACGGCAGGTGTAGCGCTGCACGTGCTACAGCAGACCCTGGATCAGTAAGTGTCCAAAATGGATTTAATGACTTTTCTTGGAAAATCTGGTCTGGTCTGGTAAGATGGAGGAGAAGCTTTGTCCCAACTCAGAGGCTGGATCCTCCAAAGTTCGCATCACTGGACATAATATTTTGTAGCATGATGATAAAAGAGGCTAATGATTATTTTCATTATCAGTTTCTCTGTCATAGTTTTTGACATCTTGAAATCGATGTGTCTGAGTAACAGTCCAAAGACTAAAGTGTGGAACCAAGAGTTTGGCTCTTTTGCTTTTATTTCTGTCGATCAACTCAATCAGTTGACGAATCCAGACAGAGATGAAATGATGAAAGACTGAGCTGCTGCAGAGAGTGAAAACCGGAGTCGAAGGTGAAATCCAAGATGTGAAACACAAGGAATCATCAGATGAAGCCTTAGTTTAAAAAAAAAAAAAATAAATAAAAAAAAAAAATACTGCGTTTACAGTTCAATATTCTCCTGTTTTCTGAAACTATCTAAACCAGTGGTTCCCAACCTTTTCCAGCTCATGGCCCACTTGACACTTGAAAATCTCAAAAGATGTGGGTGGCTCACATCCGACCCTGTAACAATATGGAGGCCAAATAGTGCCACAGAGCACAGATTCACCATCTGCCTCTTGACTCTTTCCTTTTCCTCTTCCTGTTACTATCCATTTTGATTCTTTAGTTTTTAATTTCTCCTGTTTTTGCCATGGATGTAATCTTTCAGCACATTATCAGACTGAGATAAAGACAAGTATAAGATGTGGTTTGGTGACAACAACATAAAAGTTCCTATCATTTTGTTTTCACAGTGATAGGAACTTTTATGTTGTTGTCTAAATATGAATGATAAAAATGTAGTTTTTAAATATCATTGTATTTTAAAACATTTAAAAACATTATATATTTTTTTTATAATTACATCTTTTCAACAACATTGTAGCCATGTGTTTGGCAAATGATTTGTCGGCCCACTTGCAATGCCTTTGCGGCCCACCAGTGGGTCCCGGCCCACAGGTTGGGAACCACTGCTCTAAACCTCAAGCTAAAGCCAGCTGATGAGTGATGTGCTGACAAGAAGAGGGTGTGGTGGTGGTGGTTGGGCGCGGGGGTTGATGGTGGTTCCCTACCTGGTCGGCAAGCTTTCCCAGCCTGTGAGGCTACAGCAGCAAAGAGGAATGGAGGAGGAGGAGGAGGAGGAAAGTAAAGGGGGAAGAGGAGGGAGGGAGGGAGGGAGGGAGGAAGGGGGGAGGGACGGAAGGAGGGAGGAAGGAAGGAAGGAGGGAGGGTGGAGACAAAACCAAGTATGAGACATGTGGGCGGGGTTATGCATAAAACAAGGAAGGAAGAGGGAGGAAAGAACATCAAGATGGGAAACTCAAAGAAACAAAACAAGCAATCAAGAACGTAAAGATGTTTCAGCCAAATGTTAGTTTGGTCATTAACAGCAGCTGGAGGGTGATTGGTTAATTCAGAATACTGCCTGTATTAGTGTCTTTACAGCATCAAGGTATACTGTCTGACTTAATTCAAGTTATGAGTCATGCGGTTCAAACTGCTGCTCAACAACGTACAAACTGATGGATAAATGATTGTTTATGTTAAAAGTGTAATAATAACTGTAATAATATTTCAACATTTCTTCATAGTGGCTTTCATTTTCACCGTATCTCATCATTACTGTCTACAAAATAGTCAGCAATATGTAAATTTAATAGAAACTCAGACAATAACTTTAATTGGATCCTCTGGAGCGAATGAAAAATAATCCTTTTATTCCTATTCAAACTTTTCTTTGGGTTTAGCAGAAAGAAGAAAAGCCTGTAACTTGGGGAATAACCTCATTTGATCCAGTGATGGCTGAAAATCAAAGCTGAAATGTAAAAGCAATGATCAGCTTGAAATGGACGAATGAAACTGAACCTGAGAGACATACAGAGAGAAGGCTGGATGTCTCAGAGACTGGTTTGTCTGGATGAGAGAGAGTTAGACAACAAAAACGATGGTGGCTTTTTCTAACTGTTGAGGCTGTTATTTCTCTGTGTGACTGAAAATCACACATCTGCAAAAGGCTTATCTGTAAATTCTTGCATCAACATCAGTTTTTTTTTTTTTTCTACTTCAGAGACAGAAATCAACAAGTTCCAGCTGCTCAGCAGTTGTGAGAATCATTCAGCTGATTAACAAGGCAAGAACAACCAGAACTTCAGCAGTGATGGGCGAACCTGCAGACTCCAAACTGTAGAGTGTGAATACCAATTTAAAAGTTGTATCTGTGAATCTTAGAAAAGGGAGAGACGAGGCCACTGTCCCCGAACGCACCAACTTATCAGTGAACTCACCATTCTCTACATGTTCTCTAAGTGTTTACCTTGTTTCTGTCAGATGAGAAACAGAAATGCAACCAGCCCCAGAACAACACTAACACAGAAACTGAGCGGTTTAAAAAATACAACAACTTCTTGATGGACTTCATACCCACAGTCAGATGAAGATTAAAAAAAAAGGAAAAAAAATCACTTTCATCTCTGTGTGTCCAATACAGAGATAGGTCCAGGATGTGTTCAGAGTAGCTTAGCACAAAGACTGGAAGAGGGAGGAAACTGTTAGCTTCCATCAAAATGAAACAATCACACATTCATGGGTTTTTAGAATTACTGATTTTACGAAAATACAAAACAAATTATAAATAATACAAACAAATTATTAACTAATATAACTAATTATAGTACAACGAGCAACACTGTGCCGTGTGCCGACGAAAAGCTAGGTATATAGCTAAGTTAGTGGTTTCCTCCACTTCGTATTTGTACAAAGTAAAACTCAACGCATCGTGGACATAGAGTGTCTGTCATGTGTTCATCTGACTCTGGATAGGAGAGCAAACACCTGCTCGTGCCTTGGAGACAAGGTCATTTATAATTTTTAATAATATTTATTTATAAGCTCATCTCCAGTTAAGTGGAGTTTCTGTTCTCTTTACCCGAGTATAACAGAGCTAATAGGCTTTTACTGGAATTTACCTTTGAGATCATTGGACACTTATTAATATATGAAATCCCTGCTAACAAAAAGCTCATCTTCAGCTAATCTATAAACAAACAAAAAAAAAACAGATCAGTCCTGAACAATCAGCTGATTTATCCCTCATCATAAAGAATAAAAGCAGCTGGTTTCTCAAAGGTGAACGCACAGTTTTGACATCAAACCTCCAGCCAAGACATGTCGTCAGTCTCTGCGGGAAAGTGAAATGGAAGCAGAGAAAACCAGGAGCACTGACCTGCAGGCAGATCGCCAGGTTGACCCTGCAGCCGAAGGAAGTGCTGACAGCTCGAGGGTGGAGCCCCAGGTCCTTGAAGAGTTTGGAGAAGGACTGCGTCAGGGCTATCCTGGGACGCTCCTCTGCTACAACCACACAGGTCCTCACCCGAGACAAGTCCAAGCCTCGAGCCTAAAGGAGGACGGAGAATGAGAAGCTGTCAGATAACATTTTCACAGAGTTTATTGTTAGGTAAAACCTTTATATGTACAGCAACCACCACCTTTACCTTGAGTGAGTCGGTCTGCAGGCCCAGGCCTTTGGTGCAGAGCTCCATGACGCTGTAGGAGCAGAAAGTGTCGCGGACTTTGTACTGACTGACAGCGGACAGCCACAGAGCCGGGTTCACCTCCAGCTCGGACGGAGGGATCAGGATGGACTGGTGACCTGAGTACACACTGCAGAGAGAAACCACACGAGCAGACTGAGTGTGGGAACCCAACACTTACACCCCAGATGTCGGGATTCCATCAAGCACCTGAATGCACCAACAAGAGACGGCGTTTTTAAAACTGCATCATCAAGTGACGACAACTGAACTTAGACCAAAAATTAGGAAGGCAAACTGTTGATTGTGACTGAGCACCTTTCTACAATTTTCTTTTAATTAATGACAAAAAAACGAGAGTTTGAAAGATGGAAATCAACTAGTATATGGCAGATACTGTTCCCAAGGTGAAGAATCAGTGTCTGTTTGTGAAGTACGAGCTAACCCAACACTACAGCTTTGATCCTTTTTAGAGTAACATAAGAAACATGAAATTCAATTAAATGGTAAATATGGGATGAATTAGTGTTCAGTCTTTAATATAGATAATTTGGCTTTCTATAAAAATATACAACATATAAGTCCCATTATTAAGAATGATGTTGCCATATATGTCACCTATAAGAGGATATGTTATCACATATATACATCCTCGGGATATGTGATGATATAAGTTCGTAGGTTTATACCGTATATGAAATACCCATAGTAAAATTCTTTGTAACTGGGCTTTAACATATATTTGCAGCCTTGCTTACTTACTTACTTACGTGACTATAAGCAACTATAAGCTTTATTAGTTTATAGTTTGGCTGTCCACTTTATTCTGTTTAGAGACTAATTATATCATTACATTAGATGTTGTACTGACACCCTGTGGACAAGGTCTGTGTGACTTTCAGTGTAACTAACTGATGTTAATCTACAATGTGTGGTATGTCTGTTATTCTAGAAGCCACAAACACACCTAGCGTAAACCTGTACAGCCTTCTGTTAAAGTACAAGAAGCATCTTCTCGTGTATTCTAACTGATACACCACAGTGAGCACAACAGGTGTCAAACACCATCACAGGGTGAACATCTGAAGGGGCTCATTCAAGTTCAAAGAAGTTCTTTAAGATGTTGGATTCTTACACTGTTGCTTTTGCATTAATTCCGTGTGTGTGTGTGTGTGTGTGTGTGTGTGTGTGTGTGTGTGTGTGTGTGTGTGTGTCTGACCTGCAAAGGCACCAGAGGACGAAGCCCAGGCCACAGTATGGGTCCAGGCAGATGGCGACCTCTCTGGACGGGTAAAGCTCACACTGCAGCTTGATGGAGCGGCAGAAGGCACTGGTGGCTGTGTGAGACATCTGCAGCACATGTGCGCACACACACGAACGAACACACACACACACACACACACACACACACACACACACACACACACACACACACACACACACACACACACAGAGAGAAAAAGGTAAAGTCATAATTTGTGTCAAGAAACTGGTCATTGGAAACATGGGAATCTTCTCATTGGTCAGTTCACTTTTTTGATGTTTCCGTTTCTTTTCAAGCACAAATGAGAAACAGAATGTGCATTTTCTTTAGACTCACACACACAAAGAAAACATGAAGGATGAACTCCAACCCTCCTGCCCTGGTGGAGCTCAAAATGATTAATTAACCAGAAATATTAAACACAGAGCTGGGATTAGCATAAGAAAACTTCTGACGTGACGGGCCCTCCGGTCGCAGTATAGTGACCGGATGAATTGACCGCCTTGTTTCTCCTCTTTGTGTTTTGGCACCGGCGCCGCCAGTTGTAGCGTTAATATTCCAGCACTGACTGATCTGCTCATTAAGCTCAGTGATTAAACATAATGGACAGGTAATTTAGCAGCACATGAGAAAATACACTGGCATTGTTTCCTCCTCCCCTGCTTTTCCCGTGCTGCTGATTAGTGTGTATTTCTTTCATTGGTGTTCATTAATGAGACTTTTGTGGTGTTTGTGATGCTAGATGACGTGATCAACAGTTGATGATGGTGTGAACATTGTCAAAAGAAATATTTTGTGACATACAGACTTCAATATAATGACCAGTGATGGAGCACTTGCTTAACAAACATATCTCAGATCAGTGACCTGTTAGCATGTTCAAATAATAAATAGTCAGACTTCAACTAGATGTGTAAATTCATCTGTTGCGCAAATCAGTTTAGTCCTTGACTATCTTAATCCTAACTGTGGTACAATGAATTCTGGGTAAATTAAGATTTCTTTCAAAATAAACAAAATCGCCAACCGAGGAACTGCATTCGGCCACTCAGCTCTGTTTACCTCAGCAGAAAATGTTTGTCTTTTTGAAGAATTCTTTACTTCAGTGAAGAGTGAAACATTGAAAAGAAAAATGTGATTTGGAGAAAAAATTTCCGGCTGTCGCTAAAAACGCTTTCCCTTCTCTTTGCTCTCTCCATTACAATGTAACCAAACCACAAATTATAAAACAGATTTCAAGATTTCCTGTTTTTTGTTGTTGCGTGATACTGGTCAGTGCAGGTGTCAGTGAATGTTACCATGGTAACATCGGTTTTAGGCCTGAGTTAACTTGAGGGTAAAGTATCTAATGTTTCTGGCTTAAAATTAGTCAGTCTTTAACAGTCTTACTTGCATCAAACAAATCTAAGAGCAAAATTAAGACTGGACCAAAACTACAGACCAGTCTAAAATATCTTTGTGAAACAGGCCCCACAACTTACGTAGGTAGTTGGTACAAATACAACTGAAACTCAACAATTCCTGGTTCCCTGGATCCCACAGCAAAAAAACAGAAAACAACAAAGGCTGTTGCCCACTGGGTGCTAACACACATGCACCTGCACCACGCACAAGCACGCACATCCATAAAGTCAGTGTACAGCAGTAGTTTACACTTACTAACAAGGTGACAGACCCATGGTGAGTAAACATTAATTTAAAAAGACATTGTTATATTTTGACAAACTTAACGGTGATGACTGTAGCCTGCTAATGCTAATGTTGTGAACTCCCAGCTAACTTCATGAGCTGTTGCTACGGTAGCCAAAACAAGCTAGCGTTTGCCTAAACAACCTACTAATAGCTTTAGCCACTGTAAACATTTTGTGTGGACCGTTGTTACAACAGTCGCAGATCACAAACAATAACAGTATCATTTCTGGACAGGAACATATTGAGGAACATGTTGTTGTTAATATAATGTTAACAACTGAAACAAACTCAGCCTGAACTCTGTGTGCAGATGATGTTGTCTGTCTTTGAGCAGCTTAGATACGTTTAAGGTGTTTCCTCCTGTTGCACCATTACGAGCTCTGGTCATCTGTAACACTTGTCCCTGACGATCCGTGTCAAATACTCAACAGTCGTGGTGAGTGTTCTCTTTCTGCCGCCGACCTTTTGCTGCACCTGCACTGTTGCTTCCAGTGTTGGTATTTTACTGAGCCTGTCTTTGTTTGACTTCAGACTAGATGCTTGTCAGTAGGTTCCGACCGATTGGATGAGAGGCAATCAGCACTGGGGCTTTTAACTACATGTATCACTCTGCTTTCTATTAACTATTAATTTGTGTAACATTAACGGTCATTATCTATCTTAGATTGTGAAAAACTTTGCATGGCAAAGATGAATATATTTCGAGAAATAACATTTGAATTAAATTTTTTATTTTCAGTTTTATTATCTGGGAGCAGATGAATCTTCTCTATCTGCTCTCTGTGAGCGTCTATTAGCAGAGAGCTGAGAAACAAAAGAAGCTTCAAAATGAATGGATCTGAGAGCAGGAGCAAGTTAAAGAGAAGCTTCAGTGGATTCAACACACACACACACACACACAGACAGAGTCACACACATACACACGCTCTTGCACTAAATGAATGGTGGCAGAGAAACAATGAGCCGAATACAGGATCCAGGTTTGTTTTACTGCAGGAGGAATCAATAGCTGCTTTAATCTTTTAAAATGTCACCTCCATCTATTTCCACACCTTCAGCACTCAGACACTCAGCCTCCACCGCTCAGCTTACACTGTTGAATAAAGCGTTTGACCGGATAAACGCAGAAACACGTCGGTACTTGTGATGATGAAGATGCAATTACAGTGATGCAGTGTTGAAATGTTGACCTTTAATCAGTGTTTATGGTCAAAATCAGACCAATGCAGAGCCAATAACTATCCAATCAGTGTCAATTTACAGCGTCATTGTTCAGCAACTGCTTCTGCAGCCAAAAAATAAGTTTTGTATGAGGATTAACCTAAAAAGACAGTTTATCCTCTGTCCATTATTCCAAGACATTTTGTTAACTAAATGAGCTACTTTTGTTGTGTAATTTGTAGTTTGTTACCAAGTGAAACCAAATGCAAACAAACTTGAAACTAGTAATGGATTGTGTTAGTGTTAATACTGGACACAGGTGCCTAAAGAAAAACTGAAACTGAACTGACTTTTGCTTGCTGTAATCATTCCGACGCTTCCTACTGGCCATTAAAAGATCCCACCTGAGTAACTTTCTATGTAAGTGATGGCAGACAAAATTCATTATATTGATATATTATATTCACGCTATTATGAGACTTCTGCCTTAGAAAAAATCAAGTGAATATCTTCCAAAGTTGCAGCATTTTTAGCACACAGTCCCTCCACTCAGCTCAACAAGTGTATGGAAACACAAAGAGGGAATTTTCCACTAACTAGTAACAGTAACTCTGGAAGATATCTGCTTGATTTGACTTATTCAGGCTGCTGAAGCCTCATGTCAGATAAATTTAGGGATAAACACGAAACGACGACTGCTGATTTTGTTGTTTGTGAATGCTGTTCTCACACAGACTTGAAAAGCTGTAAATCTATCCTTTAAGTGTCAGAAAAAGGATATTTTGACCTGATGACGCCAATGAAAAGTCAAAGGATCAACAAAGTCTTTAAGATTATTCCTCCTGGGACCATGGACTCACTCGCCGACCGACACCTGCATTTTTTCAAAGCTGCGCTGCTGATGTGGCTAAAAATGTGCTGAGAAAAACTGAGATATCATGTGTAAGGGCCAGCATGTGTGTGTGTGTGTGTGTGTGTGTGTTTACCTTGACTCCAGCGAGCATGCCGGTGGTGGAGACACTGAAGTCCAGGTAGGCCAGGGTGTCGGGGTTGGACGGTTTATACAACAGAGGAGGTTTCTTCTTTGGCAAATCATCTAAAAGAGAAAATCAACAGCATCACGTCACTGCTGCTTCTATATACAGAACAGAACACGGCCATGATATTAGCACAGTGTTGTTTCCATTCATTCAGCATAGTACTTAAAAAAAACTTGAATTAATTTACCGTATTTAATTCATTTTTTCTGAATATTTTCAATGTTTGTCTCAATTTTGTGTTCTCACTGGGACATTTCTGCACTGATCACCTGTCAATTAACCAACGTGAGCTTCATTAGTTTCATCAGTTTGATCAGTTTCTGTAAGTGTCACAAACGAACGAGATATAAACGATGCTATTTGCCTTCATTTTTACAAAACTTTGTAGAAACAGTACAGCAAAAGGACAAAGTTTTTGTAGAGTTCAAGTATATGCCTAGCTTTGTGAGAACCTGTGTATGTAATCATCGAGGGGGATCTAAGTTTAAGTGACCACAACAAAATCTGCGTTTTGGCATCTCAAAAACATACCTACTGTATGGGTCTAGGGTCGGAGACCTTGTGTCTAAAACTAAGAACAGAGAGCATGTTACTCCAGTTCTCAGGTCGTTGCTCTGACTTCCAGTCAGATACAGAGCTCAATTCAAAGTTTTTACTTTTTGTCTACAAGTCACTAAATGGTCTGGGCCTTGAATATATTCCTGAAATGTTTGATGTGTTTGAGGCCAATAGGTCTCTAAAATCTGCAGGAGCTGGTCGGTTAGTGGAGCCGAGAGTAAAAACTAAACAGGCTGGAACCAGCTCCCAATGGATCAAATCTGCCTGAACCAAAACTGGCTTTAAACAGAAGCTAAAACCTGCTCTGTTCTCTTCTGCCTTCATTTAATCTTTTAATCTTGCACTTTAACGAGATATTATTTATTTTATAATCTGTGTTTTTACACTGTTTTCTTATTACAGTTTTTACTTCTATTCTTATGTTTTTTTCATTTCTCTTAAGCACATTGAAAGACCTCTGTACATGATAATGTGCTATACAAATAAATGTGCATTGCCTTGCCTTGCCTGTGTGCTTCTGTGTGTGTGTGTGTGTGTGTGTGTGTACCTGTGTCCATGACAGGGGGCCAGGTCCGGACGTCCACGGCGGCCGACGCCTCCTTCGACCTCAGCAGCTTAGAGATGAGCTGCGTGGTCATCACACACACCGAGCGGCTCACCTGCAGCACACAGCAACACAAGACAAATTGATCAAATGCATCAGTGGTGACCATCGACTGAAACACCACATTAAATCACATCATATGACGTGTTATCCAACAGTGTGGAAAAGCGAGCATCATTTTAAACTCCTGGTGAGATTTACAGCAGCGCTGACCTCACACATCGACTCCTGCCAGCTCCTGCACAAAGACCAACGAGGCTCGTCGTGATTCACAACTCGCGTTCATTCATTCTGCTCATTTTTCCAGACTGCTGGCTTTTTCCCCCCGGTTTCTGGGAGCTGTCGACTCCTGCGCCCCCTTCACTCTGTCTTCCTTAGGTGTTCTAAGCTGAACACAGCGGTCTCCTGCGTGCAGTGATTTCACAGCCCTGTGGCTGGTTTGTAAAAACGACTGTTTGGCAAAGAGGGTTGGATAGGAGGGGCTCAGCCCCGCATGTTGGTCTGGAGTCTCTGGGACATACAGGCTGTGAAAGGTAGACTGATGAGGATAAACTGAGGTGGAGAGCCAGTATACTTTACTCAAAACTGACTTTCCACTCATTTGAATATTTGAATGATCAAGCACATATTTCTATCCTCAGGTTGCACAAACTTTCCAGAGTCAGTGAAAGAAAATGTTAATAGATTTCAATCATCTGTTAAGAAATTCTTGTTCTCTCTTTGCACACATTATTTCTTTCTCTTAATCAATTTCTCAATAGAGATTTTTTCCACATTTCCTGATGGAAACTGTTGATGCAGTGGAGTCAGATTCTTTAACATGCAATTCATATTTGCAATAACTTTTCTTCTTTTTTTTGCACTGAAAGACAGGTGAAAGCTTCCAGTTTTTTACGCTGCTGAAAATAATCAGGAAACTTCTAATAATTTTGTCCTTTAATTCTAAAAAACAATTGTAATGCAACATCATAGTTTACAGTCTCAGTGTGAGGAAGATGGTGACTAATTATGGGTAAAATCATAATAGGTCAACCTGAAGTTTCGTTTTTAAAGGTCCCATATAGTCTAAAGGCAGATGTCCATGTGTTGTTTGATTATAGATCAGGTCTAGGTTCTATATTAATACTGTGAAAGTATCAAAGCCTCAGTCCACAGAGAAATGCACACAGCCTGTATTCAGAACCTGAGCCTTAAAACCAGCCGTCAGGACTTCTGGAACTGATTTTTTGACTTTGTGCCTCTCCGGCCTGGACCCACCATCCAACCTTGCAGGATGGATTACCTGAAATCTGCTATATTTGTATTAAATCACTCAGAAAACAGTCAGCAGTCAGAAGAGAGGCTCAGAGCCTTCTCTCTTCTGATTGGCTCACTGACCTGTTGTTACTAGAGCTCCAGAGAGAAGCCTGAGAGAGGAGATGTAAAACTACACTGAGATGGTTTTTGGTTTTTAAAACCACAAATATATCTTCTAATGGATCAACATTCAAATAAAATAATTGCAAAATATTGACCTTTAATGGTAACTCTGATTGTTACTGATGTTGCTGCTGTCAGAACAACAGGATTAATACGGCAGATAAATGACAGTGTTTTACCTCTACGATCATCTTGACGGTGGGCAGCGTGGTGGCGATGTTCTGCAGGTGAGGTGGTCGCACTGTGATCGGCACGCAGCCAGCGTAAAGGCAGCCGTAAAACGCCACGATGAGGTCGATACCTGAAGGGAGGTACAAGAAGGGAAGAAGATATAAAGATGGGGGAGAGGGAGAGGAGGAGAAATAAAGGTAGCAAGATCAAAGAAAGAAGGAGGTAGAGGAGAAAGAAGAGAAAGAGAGAAATGCATAGGAAAGGGAGATTGGAGGGGAGATGAGGGAAGGAGGGATGAGGATGAGGAGAAATGGGAGGAAGAGAAATGAGGACAAGGGAGGAGGTGGAGGAATGGTGAAGAGAAAAAGGAAAAAGAGGGAGGAAAGAAGGAGGAGAGGAGAAGGAGAGATAAAAGGAAAAAAGAGGAGGATTTGGAGAAAAAAAAGGTCACACACAGACACACTGACAGAGGCGAGCAGGTTATATTGAGCGGTGGACTCTGGAGGCGATTAATTGAATGCTGCTTTAAGACAATCTCCCCGTGTCAGAGAATTTGTCCTGCATGGCTGCGTCTGTCCCGCTGTGATGGACGCGCAGCTCTGTGTCTCTGACAGAAATTACAATTCTTTCCATTCTCCTTAATTTTCTCCGCGGCACTATCCCTATCTCTCTCTCTCTCTCCCTCTCTCTCTCTCTCTCTACCTTCGATCTGACACAACTCTGAACGTCTTTGTCGTGTCCTTCCTCATTTAAAAACATCCAGAGTTTGTCCGTGTCTACACGTCAGCACATCATTACAAAGTTCTGCCATATTTAGTATAAATTAAAACTAAACCTGTTAATACTGACCATATACTACAGTACAAAAGCATCATGAGGTCCAACACTGATGTGGGTGATAAGGTCTGGACCGCAGCAGGCGTTCAATGAGTTTCAAGTCAGCGATCTGTGCAGGCCAGTCAAGCCAAGTCAGTCAATTTTTATTTGTGTAGCGCCAATTCACAACATACGTTATCTCGAGGCACCTTTCAAATAGAGCAGGTGTAGACCTTCTCTTTATAGTATTATTTACAGAGACCCAACAATTCCCACCAAGAGCAGCACTAGGCCACAGATGCAAGGAAAGACTTCCTTTTAAGAGGCAGAAACCTCGAGCAGAACTGGACTCAGGGTGGGCGGGGCCATCTGCCTCCACCGGTTGGGTTGGGAGAGAGAGAGACAGTCAAGTCCTTCCACACCAAACTGGGAAGACCATTTCTTTATGGTGCTGGCTTTTGTGCACGAGGGCAATGTCATGTTGAAACAAAAAAGGGCTTCTCCAAACTGTTTAGTTACAAAGCTGGAAGAACACTACAGTTGTAACGCCCAGATTCTCATTAGAAGGATCTAAGGGAGAAAAATCAGACCATATGTACCACTAATATGAGTTCAAAACCAGTTTCCAAAGCCAGTTTACTGCTTTGTGAAAATTTCCCTAGAAGCTTTTATTTTGAAACATTAATGAATTTCATCAGGGAGTTTTTTTTTCTCTCCATTCTGATTCTTAAGTCATTTCTTCCACCGTCACTGCAAACATAAACTGTATGTCACAGTTTAACGTGCCGCTTCACCCTGATCTGCAGTCAGTGTTTACCTGGGGGGTAGACCAGTGCGACATGGTCTCCGTCCTGCAGGTGGCCCCGTTCAGCCAGCATGGCGGCGATCTTCTCTGCTCTCTTATGCAGCTGGACACAAGTCAGAGAGCTGGCTATCGTACCCTGGACGAGGTCACACACACGCACACACACACACACGCAGACACACACGCAGACACACACAAATGACTGACACGTTCAATCAGCAGATGTCATGTCATATTTTCCGTTGCAGCATCTCGGTGCTGAGCAGCTGTAAACAAACCAGTGGATCATATTGACATTATGCAAACTAACGTACCCGTCATACAGAGCCAGCTCACACACAATCTCACACACAAACTGCATCATGACAGTGATTTCTATTCTTCTTTGTACCTGTTGTACTAAACAACATTCCTCCACACAAACAAACAATTTAATAAATATCCCATAAATCACTTTTATCTCTTTCTTTCTGTCATTTTCTTTCACAAGCGTTCAGTCATCTCACACATCCTGTTTAAGGTGTGTGTGTGCGTCTGTCGTGGGGGTCTTACTCTGGAGTTGAGCAGTGTGTACAGCACATGGTCTGGGGTGGTCTGGGCTCTCCACTGCAACACCTCAGACAGGAAGAGGAACTGGAAGACACAAGCAACAATACAGAAACAGTCAGACTGTGTGACGACACACAAAACACACACATTAACAAATAAATAAACACACACACACACACACACACACACACACACACACACAGCAGCAACTATTACATATACGTATATTATGTTATTTATCTTATGTCAAGTTAAGTTTAAATGTATTTATCTAAAATTATTATCTTCAGACCCACATCTTACAATCATGAATCTTCTTGACATGATGAGTGGAATAAACGTCCTGCTGAGCTTTCAATAAACTCCATTAATTAAGTTTGTAAGGAAACTTTGTATGTGGGTTAAAACTCCTAAAAAAGCCCCTTTTCCTCTATTTTCATGAAAAATAACGTCATTTTATACATATTAAGATAATTCAGTGTAGTTTTAGGATTTATTGGCTAATTAGCAAATGTTAGCATGCTAAAATGCTAATCTATAGTGAACATAAACATACCTGCTTAACATCAGCTTGTTAGCATTGTGATTGTGAGCATGTAAGCGTGCTAACACCAGGAATATTAAGAGTGAACATTGATGAAGCATGCTGATATGATGATATTTAATGAAATACAATACAATTATAATGACATTCCTTGCACTTGATGGGGACGAGAGAGAGAGAGAGATGAATTAATGAATGGAAGCAGGAGAGACAGGTAAGGTAACGTACACGTTTCATACTTTACAACAGCAGCAGAGACAAGAAGAGGGAAATGGAAATTTGAGATGGGAGGGGAGAACAAATCAAGAGAGAGAGAGTTTGTTTCTGGCCTCATGAATTTTTCAAGATTTGCCGCTGAGCAGTGAATTGCAGGGAGTGTAATTCATGCTTCTTACGTTTTGTTCTGCCAGAGAAAGTCAGTTTTATTTGTGTGTGCGTGTGTGTATGTGTGCGTGTGTCTGTTCATGCTGCCAGCGTTCACGTTGCCATCTATGACAGATGAGATTTCAGCTTTCAGAGTCTTAACCCACCGACCGCAAAGCAAATGGACCTCTGCTCAGTGCCGTCACGTCTGGGAGGACTCGGGGTGCGCCTGATTTGTACTGCAAATCTCACAGGCTGACAGGAGATTGGGGTTTGACTACAGCAACTGTTTGGACTTGTGCAAAAATAATTAAATTGAAGTATCTCTGTTCAGATTTCAACCACAGGACTTCCTGTGCCTTTCTACTTTCGAGTCAAAAAACATCTGAATTACAGGGGAATTACAGCAGAAAATTAATGAAAGCTTAAACAAAATGATAAATATGAATGAAAAATGCCATTAGTCCATCCCTTGTCAAAAATCTTAATAGAAAAGATAGAAAAGAACGCATTTTTCATTAACTCTAGACATTTCACAGACAAAAAAATAAATTTTTTTTTAACTTTTAGCTCCAGTTTGGTCTCCCCCTCAGCTTCTGAGGGAAATGTCTGGCTTGTTGAATACTTAGGCTACGTCCACACTACTACTTTTCATTTGAAAATGGTGTTTTCAAACGAAAACGATCTCCGTCCAGACTATCACACCTGAAAACATACGCATACCTGAGCAATCACATACACCGGGCATGTGCAAGCCGGTGTAAACAGGAAGCAGATTGTCTACTCTGCAGTTGATTAGTTGCAAGAATAGTATGAACGAAGAACAGCAAAGACAGTTGTAGCGATAAAATGCAGAATTTAACTGAACAACAGCTGCTAGCAAAGACAACAAGGTCAGTAACGCTTATGATTCATTATATATGTTGTGGTCAACACTGGTTGTCGAGGCTGTTAATACCCAATCAGGAGAGACCGTGGGTGTATCTACGTCATCATTTCCAAAGGTCTCAGTTTTCGTGCGTCCAGACTACAACACAACGCAGGAGTTTTTAAACTAAAACAGGTGAAGCAGAGTTTCCAAAGGTCTCAGGTTCAGTGCTCGAAAACGCCAGAGTAGTGTGGACTGGAGGCCAAAATGTAGTTAAAAAGATGCGTTTTAAAACAAAAACATAGTAGCTTGGACGTAGCCTTAATTTTTCACCTTCTTCATCAGCTACTCGTTAACTCAATGCGTCTGCCATTTACTGCTGGGTAGATAGTGTAGGTGGAATATTTGAAAGGTCAAAACAAAAATACATTAAAGACTAAAAGGTTTCATGGAGCTGAAATTAATCTCGTCATTCGATCAATTGTTAATACAAAAATATTGATAAAGTGCAGCTTTAAGTTGTGGTACAATATTTCAGTTCAGTCCCCTCCACATACAGAACGAAGTCTAAAGAACACAAATGTGCATATTATGTGTGATCGACTGTGAGGTTGTGGGATCACTGTGTGTTTTACATGAGTTATCACAAAGACAAACGTCTCTGATTGTCAATTCAAGTGATTCTGTTGCACAGGAACTCTTTAAATGGTGTACGTAACCTACAGCTGAAAAAACATCACTCAGCCCCTCGCCATCCAAAGTTTCCTGTTTCACCCTTTAAAATCGCGTGGTCGACCCTCGGAGTTCGGCTGACGAAACGCCCTCTCATCTACTCACCCCCGGCTTCATGCATCACAAATCTCTCAGAGGGGAGAAAAAAAGGATTCAAAAGAAGGTTTTTTCGCCCTCGATGAAAACATCACTCAGCTGCTTGTCGGCTCGACTCTGAGCTTTCATAAAACTTTCATTAAAGCAAATGAAAGTCTGCTTCCTTTCCAGCTACCTCAGTTTCCTGCCTCATATATTAACATAACTGCTTAACTAGTGTTTGGTGAAAGCTCTCATCCTATTACAGCTGCATGACTGCACATGTACTGTATGAACCAACAATGTCAGAGCGTCCGCAGCACATCCAGTCACAGAGGATCTTCACATGATGCACAATCTTCCTGATAAATCATGACAATCACAAACAGACCATGAAACTAAAATACTGAAAAAACTTCAATGGAAATAAATTAAATTCCACAAATAAAAATAAAACGAATAAATATTTTCCTTTTAAATGTCACAAGTGTTAAATCAGTAACAACTTTCAACATCTTTAGTCTTTAGTCATCTCTCACTTTGAGACAAATATCATAATTGACAGGCGTTTTTTAAAGTTGTGAAGCCACCTGGGACCTGGGATCTTCTAGGTTTAATTAAATCAGGTTACATAATGACATTGCCTTGTCAATCAAGGCCTAAATCCTTTATCATCTTGGAAATTGAGAAACAAATTGTTTCAAATTTAGGCCAAAATGCATCTGATAAAGATGCAGAGAGGAGGTGGAAACACAGCAGGGTGTCCCTCCATCTAACCAACAGGTTATATTTACTTTATGTAAATATCCAATTTGCTCAATTTATAAAAAACAAACAAATTTCAGCTGAATTTCCGAAATACTGAAAAACTAAAATGCGATGAAGTGATTAAAACTATTGTCCTGAAGCATGAACTGCATTAAAGTACATGAAGATATTTGTTTTATATAAGATTTACTTTCCTCAAGCGCTTTATTTAAGTACTTGTAATTTGAGTACTTCAGTTTTACTCTGTACTTATTTTCCACCATTCTACCAACCATTCAATTTTTCAATTCAACTGTATTTGTATAGCGCCAAATCATGACATACATTATCTCAAGGCACTTTACAGAGAACGGTCAAGACCTGAGAACATTGTAGAGAGAAACCCGACAGTTACTTGTAACAGAGCAGCTTGGTTTCAGGTTTCAGATTCAGATTCCAGGCAACAAAACAATCACAGTTAAGTTGGTAAAACTGTGTTTTATGTGAGAGATGCTGTGACCCTCAGTTAAACCTGCAGAGCTTGACTGAAGCCTGAGATAAAATAAACTGGAACCTGCCTGTAGATAAAACCCATGTTATCTCTATGAGAGAGGACCGGCATGCTAAACACCAGCACAAAGAGCCTCTGTTTGCAGCAAGTGTGTGTGTGTGTGTGTGTGTGTGTGTATGTGTGTGTGTGTGTGTATGTGTGTGTGTGTGTGTGTGTGTGTGTGTGTGTGTGTGCTTTTGCTAAATTCCAGGCTGTAGATAGAAATCTGGTCTCATATAGTAGAATCTTGTCAGTTTGCTGGTGTTGGATTCTGATGCTAACACACTGAAGTCGTACCGGTTTGTCATTATCAGACGGGATCCCAACACAACACAACCTGGCAGACGCACAACTCCACGTCACTTAAACTTACATAAATCAAACAGCTAACAGCAGCATCTATTGAACCATGTGGACTATATGAAGCTATAAAACTGACAGTGAACCACAGGGAGTTTATCTAATCACATGAGTCTTCACCTCTACAAGCTCAGAAAGAAGATATTTTCATTCTGCTGCTGCATGGTAGATTTCACCTCTGCAGTTTGTTCAGAAACTGATATCAGTGGATCATTTTTGGAGAAATCTGATATTTCCAGAACAGCAGTCATGTTTTCCAAGAGTGAAGAAGTTCAGGTAGGTGAGTGGAAATGAGGTCCGTCTCAATGACTAGTTCAGTTAGTCTGCTGACTGTAAAACACGGTTGTAATAATATAAAATATGTCTTCATAGGTGAAGTTAGAATAATGTATATCAATAAAGACTTAAAATGTCATTACATTTGCTAACAACTCCATTATAAACCATTTTTAAATGTCTATATTCTGATTACACAGAATCTACCAAGACTTGTACTTTAAAGGTCTGAATATGTATGTAAGAAGATATATTTGTGGTTTTAAGAACCAAAAACCATCTCAATGTAGTTTTACATCTCCTCTCTCAGGCTTCTCTCTGGAGCTCTAGTAACAACAGGTCAGTGAGCCAATCAGAAGAGGTGAGGCTCTGAGCCTCTCTCTTTTGTGACATCACAAAGTCCTGACGGCTGGTTTTAAGGCTCAGGTTCTGAATACAGGCTGTGTGCATTTCTCTGTGGCCTGAGGCTTTGATTCTTTCACAGTATTTATATAGACCCTAGATCTGCTTTATAATCAAACAACACATGGACATCTACCTTTAGACTGTATGGAACTTTAAAAGTGACTTTATCTTATGAAAAATACAATTTCAACATCACTGTCTGACCTGTTAAAAGTGTCTTGGACAGTACTTTCTTAAAGTTAGTGACCTTACATGAACCTTTGCATGCAGTCACTTTAGACATCATTAATCTGTCATTGTTTCCAGCTTGTGATATCCTACACACACGTTTTCATGGCTCCATTACATTCTGATTTATATTAATCTGTGTGTTTGTGTGTGGAAAGCAGGACTCCAGACTGCTGAGGCTGATCTGGCCCCAGTGTAACAGAGTCAAGTCAACCTTCCACTTGGACAAATATCAGAAGAGGAATCTGAGAAGACATTTAACGTAAATCACATTTCACTCTATGAGATTACGCTGACACACACACACACACACACACACACACACACACACACACGTTTCAACAAACAAAGGAACAACTGCAGGAGCAACAGCCTGAGGAGCAGGAGTAGCTCATTCACACAGAGGGCTTGGTTTTCAGAGGCATGGAGGTGGAGGTTCCTCAGAAATGTGACGGATGAATGAAGAGACAGATGAAGGTTAAGTTAATGGATATGTTGATATATATGTTGCAGCAGTGGGAGTCAAACACAAAGAATGCTCAGCTCCTGTTCTTCCCTTAAACCCGATTAGCATTCAGCAGACATGGATTCAAGCTCCAGCATTTTCATACAAAATCCCCACATCACAAATTTCATTTTGAATGACGCTTACATGTTTAACTCGCTGAAAAATCACAGTGTCAGTGAAATTAAAGCAAATTCATAAACTCGTCCTGCAGGAGAGCGGCGCCTCTCCATCGCCTGCTGAGCTAAAGTTACCAAAGTCTATTAAACCTTTACTTCAACAAAGAGGAGCGAACATGTCGCTCTGCACAAAGGAATCCAGTCTGAGCTAATTGTCACCGATATGATCATCCTGTTTGAAGCCTCAGGACTATTATTTTCTGTTCAGTGTGAATTTTGAAAATGGCAGAGCAGAGGTTGTCAAAATGTGATTAGCAGCTACTTCAATTCCAGTCTGGGTACAGTCTTCAGCTTTGTGCTCTATATTTAAAAGAGCTATTTGTAAATTTTACTATTGCTATATAGCCAACGTTAGCATTAATAGCTCTTTACTTACCAGTCTTGATGCTAGCTTCAGCCATCGTGTTTACAAGACAAGAGGTTATCATACGTCCTCTGAGCAACTACTTCTTCAGGGCAGATTGGACGCTACAGTGACTCGGTATCGGAAAATGCTGGAGCCAGCAGGTTAGCATGCTAACTTCAGTAGAAGAAAAGAAGTGATAGAAATAGAAACAAAAAAAGGGGGTTGTTTTCCACCACTGAAGACGGCTATTAGTGAGTAAAGGAATGAAGTTTGATGCTGAACTCACATTTCTTCTAGACTGGTAAGTAAACAGCTGCTATAATAGCAAAACTTACAAATAGCGCCTTTAACATGTCACCAGGGCTGTAGCTACGACTGGATCAGACAATCAGACAACAGGGGGGTCATCATGCCCCAAAAATCTGAGGATGCTTGTGCAGTTTAAGTGGAAAGATTTTGAAAACAGCGTCTTCATTTACATCCAAACCAAAAACACGACTGGCAGCATGTTGTGACTCTGGATGATGATGATGATGATGATGATGATGATGATGGTGATGATAATGGTGGTGCAGGCTTGCTGCAGCCCCCCAGCATGCTGTGGCAGAGGCAGTGGTTGTTATTATTTGGGGCCTGTCTCTTGGCATTAGAGTGTACAGAGTGTGAGTGCAGCTGCCAGCCAGCCGCTGTAACTGACGACATTTTCAGTCCGAGAGATGAGAAGAAAATCAGTTCTGTCAGTAACACACTCCGCCTGTTGCTCCCCATCACTCCTGGTCTCACTCTTGGTCGTTTACTTTCTTAAATTATTCTCTGTTGTTTTCTCTCTCTTCTGTGTTTTTCTCTATTTATCTTTTTCTCTTCATGTCTGTTTTTCCTGCTCCTGTGACCTCTTTGTCTCTGTTTCCCTCCTGTTTTATTCACTTTTTAAAGACATGAACAGTGTTCAGCGTTCCGGAGATACTGCATTCACAAGGGCAAAACCACCAGGTCACCATGACCTTAACCTTTGACCTTTGACTACCAAAATCTAATCAGTTCATCATCGAGTCCAAGTGAATGTTTCCAGCTCAAGTCGTTACTGAGATGTCAAGTTCACGAGACTGGGACAGACAGACGACCCAAAAACATAATGCAACAAAAGGCAACTTTGCATCTTGAACGTAACGGATTTCTATAAATTGTTGGAGTTTTTCACTCTGACCTTTAAATATGGCTTCAGCTTGAACTTCCAGTTAAAAGACGATGACTTAAAGGAACAGACAGCGCTGCTAAAAAATGACACTGTGATGTGATGAATGCTATAAATAACAAATAATTAACTACAGGTCAATTAATTGACGAGAAAAGAGCCAAAAAAATGAGTGTCACATGAAGAAATGGAGCCAAATGCGTCATTATTTGTACATGTGTGTGTGTGTGTGTGATGTTTATGATGATGATGAAGATGATGATGAAAACCAGCAGCCCCCCCTCTCACACACACCTTCCTTGCCTGGTCATTGTCTTCGATTTGACCCAGATCCCTGCCGCTGGCCTGAGCGATCCTCTTCCCCGACACCAGATTCCCGACCATGACGGACGCAGGACCGATCTCTGAGGAAGAGGAGGGAGCAGAGGCGAGATGAAGACGAGTGATGTGAGAGCAGATTGCATCATTCATTCACGTGTGATCACATGACAAAACATCTTTAGTTTTATAAAAACACAACGTTGACGGTGCAGCCAGACACATCTGTGTGTTACTGACAAAACCAAACTTTCTATCACTTTTTATTTTATTGAATTCTATTTCTATTTCTATTCTATTTTAATTTGTCTTCAACCAAACCCTACATAACCCGACACTTTGGCTCCAGAAAATGAAATTAAACTCCGCCATGTTCATACGTCTTTGCACTCTACCTGGCTGTTTCTGCCGGGGTTTGGGCAGGTTGGTGACGCAGGTGTGCGGACACATGAGCACGTTGCAGGGGTGCAGCGCCCCCTCCAGGAAGAGCTGCTTGGTCTCGGACAGGTGGATGCCACCCAGGGGAGTCTTGGGCAGAGTGTTGGAGGGCACCAGAGCCAGGCAGTACACCCCCACCTGGTGGATACCGTCTATTGCCTGCAAGGTTTAGGAAAGGTGTTAGAAACATGATTTCATGATGTAACTCCTGTTGGATAAGTGAGAGATATTTGAGATGGCTTTTATTTTTCTGATTATTCACTGTTTCCCAGAAGCGACAGTTGTTTTTCCAGGAGTTTAAAATGTTCATTTCACAGTATCTAAACGCTGACTGTGTCTATGACCAGACGAGCTAAATGAAAAACACAGACAGGCAGAATATGTGTGATGGTAAAGGAATAAAGAGATTTGGTTTTATTGCAGCCGTAAAAATGCAGACGACTTTTATAGTTTCACCACAGTCTCCACACCGGCTTAGAGAGAGCTGCAGTTTGGACTGAGATTTTATCTGCACAGCATGAATGTACAGCTTAGTATTATATACTGGATGGGAGTGTGAGTGTGTGTGTGTGAGTGTGTGTAAGTCTGACAGAGCGAAAGAGACAGAATTGTGGTGTGAAAGAGTGTGTGTGAGCTGTTTTCTCTGGTGTGTATGTGTCTGTGTGGTGTGTGTGGTGTCTGTGTGGGTGTGTGTGTGTGTATGTATGTATGTGTGTGTGCGTGTGTGCGTGCATGTGTGGCAGTTTTCTGGAGCTGGTTGGTGTAAAAAGGAGAAGTCAGTAATTTCTTATTGTCAACAAATCTCATGAAAACCTCGAACCCTCCCACGTATTCATCCGTCTCTTAATACTTTCTGACTTCTGCTGTCACAGTCTCAAATCACACTGGCTCATACTGAAGATGTAAATCTTTAAAAAACATGAAGTTTCTTTTTTGTCTTCATAAAACAACTGGTTAATGTAGTTTTTTATCAAACAAACAGGAGGAAACAGTGCATTAGTCAGGGACTTTTTTCAGCGGTGGATTAGTTAACATTTGGTTTTTTGGTGAGAATTTGAGGCAGCAGGACAGTGTGTATGCATCTGAGTCAAAATAAACTTCAGTGTGTGAAGTTTGTGTGATGGTGACGGAGGTGATGGCGATGGTGACTGCTCAGTGCAGCAGTGAGGCTCACTGATGCGTTTGTAATAGTTCACCTGCAGGACTCGGCTCATCCACTGGAAGCTGTCCTCCTCGGTGGAGTCTGGGCGCTGCTCGGCCACCACCACGATCCTCTCATCATGAAGCACCGTGATGGAGAACACTGCTATCCTGCAACACACACACACACAGACACACACACACACACACACGCACACACACACACACACACACACACACACACACACACACACACACACTGTGTCAGCATAAGTCACGGCTAGACTGAATGATGAAGTAAGAATATTTCAGCCACAAGATGGAGACGACACTGATGGAGTCTGAAGCAGCAGCAAACACGTACCTGCCCCTATAGACAAACTTCATGGGCTCCACAGCAAGCGCCGTGGCAACGATGTCGTCAGCGTTATGCCGACGCCCCCCGACCACCATCAGACCGTCCATCTTCCCCGCCACAAAGATCAGACCTGCAGGTCCGATGAAACCCAGCAGGCCGGTCCTGGTGAAGGGGAACTCGCTGACGGGAGCCCCGCTGCTGGACATGGGGAAGACCTGTGAGGAGGAGGCACAGTCCAGCTTCAGCGAGACTTCAACGACAGGAAGGTGAGAAGTTCATTAAACAAAAGCATTCGCACGCTCACCTCAAAGGTGTTCTTGGTCATGCCAGCCAGGCCGTAATAGGAGGTTCCCGTGGCGACAGAGCAAACACACAACTCTCCGATCTCATCGGTTTTACAGAGCAGAGGGACGCCCTCTGGCTTCACCACGCACATCACAGCTACAGACACAGAGAGATGAAAGATGTAAACGTGGTACAATCAGTGATACAGACAAGTCCTTTACTTAAAGATACTGTGACATTTTGGTTCATATGTTTATTCCTTTTCCTGCAGGAGTCAGATGAGACGGATGAGCAGCAGTCAAAAAAAAAAAGTTCAAAAGTCAATAACAAAGAAAAAAACACTCACACGCACAAGTTTAGGGGATTGTGTGTGAGTGTGGTAAGAAAGAATTTAAAAAGAAAGGAGAAAAAAAGAAGGAATGAAAGAAAGGAGAAAAGTTTGGAGCAGGTTGAGTGAATTCTTTTTGGCAGGAAGCTGAAACAAAGACGTTCTCTTCAACGATAGTCAACACTTCTGAGATTTCTTTGAGGATTTTGCCCGACAGACATTAAGTTTTAATCTACAGAATAACAAATAACTCCAGCTATCAGATAAATAATCAAAAAACATTGTCTACCTGCAAATGTAGAAAGTTTCCTGGAAGCTTAAAAGCTCTATAAACTACACTTGAGTGGTGATTTCTCTCTGTGAGAGTCTCTGGGATCAGGATCAGGATCAGGTCTGTCTCACCTCCGGGCATCACAGAGCCGACATCCTGCAGCGTGAGGACCGACAGCTTCTCCTCTGAGTCCACCCGGATCACACCGTGACTCAGACCCTGCATGGACAACACGCCACGACCAGGAGGGGTGCTGCCCTCCTCCACCGGCCTGTGAAAAGTGAGGACAGAAATCACAATTCTTTTTGTAAAATGAGAAAATTTTGGAAAGTGATGATATTTTCTGACAGAGGGCAACTTTAGAAAGTCAATATTTTTGGAAAGTGAAGAGAAATTGTGGGTATTTTTGATGTTTTTGAAAATCAGAAACATTTCTGAACATTTTTTGAATGAAAGGACAGTTTTTTTTTTTGGAAAGTGAGAACAATTTGGAAAAGTGAGAATAAATTGTGGAGGAAGACATTTTATGTAAATGTATATATTTGCATGGACATTTTTTGAAAGACAGCATTTTGAGTGAAGAGAAAATTGAGAGTTGAGTGTGGACAATTTCAGGACATTTTTTGGAAGTAAGGACAGTTTTGGAAAGGGAGAACATTTTTACAAAAATTTATTGTAAAGAGAGGACAAATCTGGAACGTGCGGACATTTTTGAAAGGCAAGAACATTTCTAAAAAGTCAGGAAATATTTTGGTGAAGTGACGACATCTTTAGAAAGCAAGGACAAATTGGAAAGTGGAGACATTTTTAGAAAGAGAGGACACTTTTCAAAAGAGAAGGCGACTTTAGAAAGTAGAAAAGTTTTGGAAAGTCAGGATATTTTTGGAAAGTTTTGCAAGGTGAGGGTATTTTTGACCCGTTATCATCAGGCTGTTTGAAGGTTAATTAGGTTGAAGTCAGGATCACACTGCTGTGTGTCAGTGAGGCTCCTCACAAGTGAACGTACCGTTGTGTGTGAGTGGGTGTGTCCTGTTCTGTGACTTTTGAAGCTGCTCCTCTGAAAATAAAGTGAGTTCATTACTGTCACACCCACTTAGATAAAGTGCTATTTATTTGCATGTGTGTGGCACAAACACACACACACANTGTCCTGTTCTGTGACTTTTGAAGCTGCTCCTCTGAAAATAAAGTGAGTTCATTACTGTCACACCCACTTAGATAAAGTGCTATTTATTTGCATGTGTGTGGCACAACCACACACACACACATGAACTTTTACAGTGTTGTAATTAAGATCATGAGGCCGACATGTGACTGACAGCTGCCCTGGTTTATGGAGTTTACGTGTTGGACTACAGTGTAGATGATGCAAGAGCATTAAAGGTTGTGAGTTCAGTTGTTCAACAGCCACAAACCTGTAAAGTCGGGACTTTGAATGAGTTAAAATAAGAGCGGGATGTCGTGGAAGGAGAATAACAGCCACTAAAACAGCTTCTTATTTACTGAAGAAATAAATCTGTATTATGTAAAATCACAGAAATAAAACCCTGTAAGTGTTTGGAGCCATAGAATAAGTGTTTTATATTTAATGGGTTTAAAATTTGAGGATGTGACAACCTCATTATATTTTTTTAAAATAAAAAAAAAACTGCAGAAAATCTGACACTTAGCAGACTAAACAGAAATAATTTGAGACTTTTCTTTCTATATGTTCCTGAGGACACATTCTTCTCTTTTCCAGTCTAGACCCACATGTTTTTAAAAAAGACACACACATGTGGAAAATCTACCCCTGGCACATGTGTGTATGCGTGTCTGTGTGTGTGAGTGTGTGTACCTCCTTATAGCTACAGTGAGAGCCTCAGGGGAGCTGGCGCAGGGACAGATGACCTCCGGCCTCAAACCTTTAGTCTGGAAGACGTTGAGGAAGGCGTCACAGGACGAAATCGACCCTGAGCGAGACAGTCAAAACCTCAGTGCCTTTGTCATTCAGCAGACAGCAGCTCATTACAGCTGCTCTTGTCGTTTTAATTGTAACGCTGTAGTTTCCGCTGGGGATCACATCCTAGTGTTTTTACACTTTCTGTTGCTCAGCTGCCAGAATCCAGGGAGGACTTGGTAAAAATGTTGATGTAGTCATTAGGATCGCCTCAGTTACTGCCGTGCACTCTCTGAAATAAGCTTTACAAACATCGTGAAAGACTAATGGACTTTTTCCCCCCTGGGTTTCGCCTCTCAGGCTGTTTACAGTCTTACTGCAACAACAACATGTTTTGTGGATTTCAAAAAAGAAATGTTGCTTAACATGTGAAAAAATGACAAAAACCTAAAAATACAATAAAATTCAGTAAGATAAGGAAGTGAAGGACGGTGCTGCATTTAGTGAAAATGCAAATACAAGAATATACGTTTAGTTTCAGGCCAAAATATAAGTTACTGCAATAACAGTGAAGCTGTTTATGGTATTTCTAGTTCTGTTGTTAAACTTCCATTATGATGAAAAACACAATATCCATTACAATGTACTGGTCGGTCCATATTCATGGTTCCCAGAGGAGGAACCCTTTAGCTTTAACCCTCTGAGGTCGACGGATGTTTCTATCAATATCTTTGAGATAATACAGCATAGAAATGTGGTTTGAATGTCGTTCAAATCTGTTGACTCTCCACATTTCATATTCTTGCAAGATTGCACATGACTCAAAGCCAGAGCTAGAAGGCCTCGAAGCAGGCCTCTAAAGTTTGTTAAAGCAGAGTGACAGACAACGCTTCGACTCAATGATATCACAAAGATATCACGATATCTCATTTTTAGGCATTTATTATACATTTATCTCATATTTCACTCATATATTGCACTATTTTTTATGAACCTAAGACTTTGGTAAACACATTTCAACTCATCCACATCAGTAAAAGTTTGTTTTCACAAGAGATTTGGAGAATTTAAAAAACTAGGCTTCAGTTTTTCAGCATTTTGGTCAAATGATCTTTGTGCACAGTGCAAAGGGCTGGAAAAAGGCCTCATTACAGAAAGAGCTGAAATAGTTCTGAAAATTGTGACATAAACACTTGGACATTATGTTATGTGCAACCTTTTAAAAGATGAATTTAAGAAATAATGTAGAAATTGAGAAAATACCCTCAGACCTCAGAGGGTTAATGACTTCATTAGCTTTACTACACAGCAAAGCTACGTCTTTAGAGAGTGTGTTCTTACAGGGATTTGAACCGTCAGCCACAACCAGCATGCGCAGGGAGCTCAGGTTGATGTCTCGCTGGTCCCGATGGGCCACCAGAGCCCAGTGCATGTCCCGCGACTTCACACACGCCACTTTGGCTACACACACACACACACACACACACACACACACACACACACACACACACACACACACACACACACACACACACACAAAAACCATCACATCACAAAAACCATCACATCACATACAGTGTTTACACACATTACGTTACTGTAAATCACAAAATCAGACTTTCTTAACATAACCAACCATTAAAAAATTAAAATTTATTAATAAATTAAAGTTTATTATGCAACAGTGTGTAGGACAGAAACTCACATCTCAACGTTAATATGGAAATGGTTCATTGATGTTAACTTTATCTATGTTTCACAGCTTCTTCTGAAGCAGTAACTAGTACTTTGTACCAGGGTGGATATTTTACCTTTGTACTGGCAGACTTTCTGGATCCAGGACAGAGGGTTGACCTTCATGAGGGCGTAGGGAATACTGATGACATGCATCATATTCATCACACTCTGACAGACACAGAGAGAGAGAGAGAGAGAGAGGGAGAGAGGGAGAGAGAGAGAGAGAGAGAGAGAGAGAGAGAGGGGAGTTGTTTTTGTAAAGCATTAAGTTAAGAATGGAATATGAATAACTGGTGTATGTATAAAAGTTTAATTTCCTTATTATTCATTATTTAAATTGATTAATCAACACTGTTCTGATTAAGGTGGGTTTCTCCTTACAGTCAGGACGGCGTGCCACAGTCCAACATCCTTCTTGAAGTCTAATACATTCACTATGGTCTCAGCTGGAGGGCGAGACAGAGACATTAACATTAACGCCATATTCAGTGAGAGACAGGACATTATTTTAAATACAGTTGTACAGTTTAATTGACTCATTGCTATTATCAGCAGTACTCTACACCATCTGAGGTGAGAGGAACTACAAACTGAATAAAATGAGGTGTAAATGTATGTGCGTGTGTGTGTTACCTTCTGTGTATGAGCAGGACTGTGTGAGGGCCTGACAGTGTGTGAGCATGGATATCCTCATCACCGTCACGCCGAGAACGCTGCCGTCCTTACAGGTTTTATACTGGACAAAGACACAGACAGAGAGAGGTGTTCTTACTGTGAGACAGTAAGTGAAGTCCTCTCGGGACAAGGAGGCCGCAGAATATTCTGGTAATATAGATATTGTGTGAGTAATTTACACTGCAAATGAAATTTTAAAAACATCCCATAAGAAACTTTACCATTAAACTCCCTATAGTTTACGACAGTACACAACAGATAGATAGATAGATGCACCATGGTACCTTTAAAAGTACAGTATACTATGGTATTTTATCAGTGGTATTACATACAATGGTACCATACTATGTGTACTATGGTAGAACTGTGTACTGTGGTACATGTAACAGGGTACTATGAAAAATACCATTGTAATATATATATATATATATATATTCATGGTGGACTGGACGCTACAGTGACTCGGTATCGGAAAGTGAGAAGATGGGCCAGCAGGACTGGAGCTAGCTGGTTAGCTTAGTTAGAAGAAAGGTGATAGAAAATAGAAGCAAAACATGAGTTAACATTGGTGTTGCATTCCATTACTGTAGACAGCTCTTGGCAACGTTTCATTTAGACTGGTAAATAAACCGCTTATAAGCCAGGCAACTTTCATTATGGTGTTTTCATATGATACATATCACAACAGAAATCTTTTGTATATCTGCAGGGTTGTTTGGCTCTTGCACATAAAGGAGAGGCACTTATGAATGTTCTTCATCATTAGACCTTTTATTAAGCCAATTAGCAACAGTCCACTAAAGAACAACAGATAAAATACAATGACAATGAGTCCGTTGCCTCTGACTCCTGTTTCGACATCCTGTTTTGTTTACCAGTGTAGGTTATAGAACAATACAGGTGTTACTCCGTCATCTTAAGATACTGTGATACTAATATTAATATATTTTCTGAGGCCTCAATCAGCTGTAGAAGTATTGACTGCTGGATTTAAGCTTTCCAAAAAGCAGTTTCCAAAACCAGAATGATGTCTGAGTGCTGTGGAGTCGACAGTAATCAATGACATTCTTTCCAAAATAAGATCTCCTCTCTCTGAAAAGTCTGGCACCTATCTGACAAAACAACCGCTGGCATGAAAATGAAGCTATTAAAGTTATAAAAAACTGAGACATTATCTTTCAAATAAATGTTAAAGAAGCCACAGGAATAAGATGCACAGTAATTTCATCTGTCTCGACTGTCTGAGTCGCAGCTTCTGTTAAAAACTAAAGGTCGATCGTTTTTTCAATCATCCCTCTTCTTTCATCATTTTTCCTCTCGGCCTTTTTCAATCCGTGGCGCAATCAAGGAGACATTTCACCTTGCTGCCGGTGCAATTAAGGCCCCAGCTGCGCGAGGGGTCGTTAAATGAATTCAAATCAATCAGACGGGATGATAGCATTGACCGGCAGTCGGCAGAGAAGCAGCGGTTCTAATCCAAAAGACATGTAACACCATTGATTTCCATTCACGAGACGGTAATGACCGAAACTCCACGAGTGGAAATGTTTTAGTGCCCCCGAGTAGACACGCTTCAGTGTTGGTATCAGTGTGTGTGCGTATGTGTGTGTGTGTGTGTGTTACCTCGATGTAGGCAGTGTCTTGGTTGGCGTCCTTGATATGTGGGAACCAGTCTCGGGGCGGTTTGGAGAGGTGTTTGGACTCTGCTACGAACCACAGCACCTTGGGCCAGCCTGGACACACAAGGACACAAAACAAACCTCCACTTAAGTCTCCAATGTATGAAAAGATGTCTTGGTGAGAGGATTATGGGTAAGGAAACTAATGTTTGGGAAGGCCTGTCTTCAGTTGTTTTAGGAATGTTGGCGACATTTTTATTGTAACATTTAAATCTTGATCTTTGCTCCTGATTTAGCTGTTGAACCTCCTTTAGACTGGATTGGGACTGGAACCAGATTTTTGATCAGTACTAGGACTGGTTCTGGATTTTGACACCTCCAGTTTTCTTTACTTTTTTACATTTTTTTTTATTGATTTTTACTGATCTCCCTCTTGCTGGTGACACGACCTTTGATCTATTTGCACAAATACTAAGACACTTGTATTTCTAATTTACTGTTGCCTTCTATGACCTGCATGTTTTATTTTGCTGTCTTGTGTAAAGCACTTCGTAATGTGGGTTTAGAAAAGTGCTCCGCCCATGTTGTGATGGTCAAGGATTCCAATGACGCCATATGCGACACCATAACCTGCTCAGATGAATAGTGTCTCACGGTGTGATTGTATCCCAGAACCTAGGCGAGACTTTACAACATCCTGTCTGTTGCATACAAGCTTAATCGTTTTGTTAATCAACCCTGACAACACAGCGGCTGTAGGGAGTAGAACAATATTCCGTACGACCTTAAAAACTTAGCTTAAAACTTCAAAAACACATTGATTGTTTTGTTGCTGTTGTTGAACCTGTTCTTCACTGTGCAGCCTTTCTTGCAGCCACAATTTCAGAGGTGAAGGGGGAACTTGTTTGCCTGTGGAAGAGCTGACCACAGTGATCTCCAATCGCTTTGGGTCCATCCAACCCCAGTCTGTTGGAGGTGGCATATTTGGCCTTTGACGGAGCCATGAAGGCCTATGCTGCCATGTCATCGGCATCCCAGGTATCCCATGTTGTATCCCTGCCCCTGGCTGCAAATGCGAGATACTGTGTCACAGACAGTTGATGGTTTGGAGACACAGGAAGGGCCTCAGAACTGTCAGGACCCAGAGACGTGTAAATCTCACTCTCATGGACCTGAAGTGGCATCCACACCCTCCTCGCTTTAATGTAATCTCAGATATTTTAAGCATATCAGTGAAAAATTTATCATATATATCTGTATTATCTGGTCAAGGAGAGCATCGTGTTGAGCGTCTACATGCATAGATTTTACTCCCACTGTCACAAAGACAGAGTTTCATGACTGGGATGACGTGCTGCTCAGCGCTGAGTGTTTATATGGCAGAAGATGAGCGAATGTAAAAACCCTGAGTATGTGAGAGCTGTTATGTCTGAATTAATGCTGATGTTCCTGCCAGGCAGCGAGACAGAAGAAACAATCAGCCATGTGAATGAGATGAGTTTAAAGCCTGCTGATCAATAAGAGGAGCACTCCACCTTATAGAGCCACATACACACACACACACACACACACACGCACACACACACACACACAGACACACTCCTGAATCCATGCTGAGTGAGGAGCAGTAAATCTGGCGGCATCACGTTGCTATTTATACATCCATTACTGAAAAGCAAACAGTCGTTATTAATCACTAGGAGATTCTCTCTCTCTCTCTATTCACTGCTAATGTCTCTCTATCCTCGATCATGCATCTCCTTCCATCCGTTCTCTTTCTCTCCTCCGTCTTGTCAGTAGTTTCTCTATCGATTTGCATTACTGCTTCACTGACTCTCTCTCTCTCTCTCTGTCTGGTGCTGCTCTCTTTCTCTATGTCTCTCTATCATCCTGTCATCTATCACCCAGCCAGCTGTCTGCTGCCATCAGTCTTTCCATTCATCCCACACGGGAGAGACACGGGAAAGCGGCACCGAAACAAGAGAAGCACGGCCATACTCTGACCTCTGACCTCTGTATGAGTGGTTGTGTGTGTTCACATCAGTGTATTGTCACATGTGTGTTGTCAGCTCATTATATATTACTGCCTTGTAACTGCACTATAACAATATTTCCAGTCCATTTATATTTTATTTTATTTTATTATAACACATTTTTTTTCTACTTTACTGTGTTTTAAAATACACTTCCTCACGTTTCTGTAAGCAAAGCACTTCTTGTTGACAGACTTGGGTGTGTGTGTGTGTGTGTGGGTGTGTGTGTGTGTGTAGCCACAGATAAACTGCTGGTATGTGCACAGGTGTGATGACAGGATGTATGTGTGCGTTTATTTATGTGAGACCTTTGAACTGTGGGATCTCTCCGGTGGGACTCTTGGGTAACCCTTTGTGGCAGGCGTCGCTGGTCAGAGCCACCGTCACTCCACAGCTCCCCAGCAGGAATCCAATCTGCTGACTGCCGGCATCCTGGAGAGAGACAGACGGATCAAACGTGATTAAACAGCTGGGTTGGGTTGTAGTTAATCAATACGTGTTTCTGGGTCCTGCTTAGCTCCTCTGTTCTCTACAGGTGCAAAGTGTTAGTGAGGTGGAGGTGGAGGGTGGAGTGAGGTGTTAGTTTGGGTTTCCAGGGTTCTGGGTGTAAGCTTCAACACTGAGATTGACATGAAACTCTCTTGCTTGAATCATCCATACGACGATTTCTCTGTGGACTGAGGCTTTGATACTTTCACAGTATTAATATAGAACCTAGACCTGCTTTATAATCAAACAACACATGGACATCTGCCTTTATACAATATGGAGCTTTAATACAATTGGATTTTGCTTAAATCATTGAAACCATTCCAGTGGAATTGTTAAATTTAGTTTGTAGAAATGGATTTCTCTTCCTGCGGGACGTCATCTGTGACTAAATGATGTTCAAACTAAAGCTCCAGGAGTCGGTCAGAAATGTACAGAGACCTAAGCAGGAAGTTCTATTTCTACCAGATTCATATTGTAACTAACACAAATAAAAGTTTCACTCAGTGAGCTGTAAACACTCGCCACTCAACGTAGGAGTAGGCAGCTCTGTCCATTTAGTAACTACATCATTTGATAATAATCTGCCAGATATTTTATGTGTTCTGCTCTCTAACATTAACATGCTGCTCTTCTCCGGCATCAATATGAGCTTTCCATGATTTATTGCATTTACAGTCAGATGAGAACACGTCATTTTAATCTAAAACATATGGAATTGTAAAAGTGGAATTCTTGTCTTTGGTATTGGGGATGATTTAAAAGGAAAACGCCTTCAGGGCAGCAGACAGTTGTGGATTTTTTTTTTTTTAGTTTATTATTGGGCTAGCTGATGATGTAACAGCAGAGCTCAGTAAAGATGGTTTTGGCAAATATGTCTATTGCACATAACCCTTGGTTTTACTGTATTTTACTTGTGATATTTCAACATGTACCAGGTTCTAAAGGATCTTGTAGATACATTATTTGGCTGAAGTTGCACAGAGACAGGTAAAAGGTGAAATTGTACGGACCACCCCTCGACTATAAAGGCAGACTAGTTTATGGTATAACTGTTGCAGAAACCAAAATAACTGGGGTGTAAGTAAAGAGATAAAGCCTTCAATATGCCTGAACATTGATATAACAGCAGATGATACATGAGATGGAACTTTGTTCAAAATGAAGTTATTTTAAACTTCAGAATATCCAGAAAATTGTCTAAATGAATGTGCATTTCCATGTGTTGGTGCATCAAGAGAAAACAGCTGGTGGAGCTAATCATCGAGTTGGTGCCATTAAACCACTGCAGAAGAAGAGAGCGCAACGACACAACAAAATAAAAAAAGAGCTAAAAATCCTCAAACAAAAGAAAACGATGTGGAAAATGTGACATTTCTGTTCATTTACTGTATGAATTTTAGGAAGGTCGCAGTCTCCTCATTGCTCCTCACAGATGTGATGTTTTCATCTGGAGCAACTTTTCATCTCTTCAGTGGACGTTTAAGTCACATGCTTCGTGCACGTCGTGGTTTATTTCTCCTATTCATTTATTTATTCATGTACTTTTCTATTGTTTTATTTAGACATGTATCTGTTTTTGTTATTTGTTGTTTTCTGTACATTTATCCATTTATTTTAGAGAAAAGTAAAAAGATTGAAAAGAAAATGAATAAAAAAAAAAAAAATGTTTTCACAAGGTTGAAATCCACAGCGTCACACTCAGACCTCCGCTGACCCTGAGACACACGTCAGCCGTCCTGAGGACACGACAGCGCCCGGCGACAATCCATCCAAACTGTGACTCAGACGGATCCACAGCAGCAACAACAGCACAGACATTTGGTTGTGATTACGCCTCAGCAGAGCTCAGTGTGTTCTGTGCTGCGCCGTGACTCACGTCTTTAATACAATCCCCACAAACTGAGAATTAGCTTCACTGACTGGTGTGAATTAGCGCTGCGAGACTCTGCTGCATGTCCTCCTTTCAACTCACTAACACTGTTTGACATGAAGAAGAAGAAGAAGGAGAAGAAGAAGAAACTCCTCCGACCACTTGAGGGCCGACTGTTTCTCAATCACCTGAAAACACACAAGCTCTCCATCACTGTCTGTTTCCATCAGCTGCACTCTCTCAGCAGCGTGCTGCTGCTGCTTCTCAGTTTCTTCAAACACCGAAGAAATCAACACATAATTCTCAAAACTACAAACCATCAAAAACCACTGATCAAAAATCGACCCAACAGGATAATTTGACAACACAAAGTTTCTTCTCTGAGAACTACAACTTGTTTCTTTTAGATAATCGTGAAAGTAAAAGAAGATTAAATGGCTGGTTGATCATTTTTAATACCAAAATGATGAAGTAAAATCATTAGTTGCCCCCTCATTCAGTCAGGAGTTTCTTTTATGATATTGATTGTATTATTAGAAATGAATGTGAAGAAGTTCACTGTTCTCCTCATCCTGTTTATACTTAAAGACGTCAAGAGCTGCACACGGTTTGGATCTTTACGTGACTTTCCAGGTTTCTTGTGTCTGAGGATATCTATATGAGTAGTAGACATGTGTATGTATATCTCGTGGGTCTTTGTGATCGGATGTAATCATCAGTTGATATGTATCTTGACCAATCTGTGTTCATTTCTTTGTCCTTTGTTCTTGCTCTATACAAAGTTCAGCCTGACTGGAATGATCTGATCCTGTCTTCTGACAATACATATATATGGTCATTTGTATATAAGTCAGTGTTGACTTTTTCAATATCCGACCAAGACCATGCCCAAAGTTTAACCAAGGGCTTATGTCGTCATGGTAACAGGTTATCAGATTGACAGGTTTTAAGAATGTTGCAAAACACCTTCTACATAAAGTCAAAATGTTCTGTTTAATGTCCACGTAATGTCACCATCCTTACTTTGAAAACTGAAAACTGATAAACATCATCCAATAAACAGCTGCCATTTTCATTTACATCGAACTTACATAAGAATCACTACTGGGTTGAGTTAGTATTGAACTAAACTGATCAAGTCCTAGTTGAGGTTGTGCACCCTGAAGAACACTTACCTTCCTGGTCAGTGGGACTTCTATTGGCACAGGGACGACCTCAGCCAGCAGGCAGCCGTAGAAGGCCGTCATGAAGGCAGCGGGGTCGTTGTTCGGGAAGACCAGCGCCACCTACAGGCAGAAGGAGACGGACATATCATTGTATATTGTATATCATTTTTTATGAGGTGGATGTGCAGGTGAGGTCAGAAAGCCATCTAGGGCGATTATTAAAACCTCACCTCAATGTAAAAAATTTACAAAATGAAAAAAAAGAAAAAGAAAAAATTAATAATAATAAAATAATAATAAAAATGAGAAAAATAAACAAGTCAAAAGAAACAGTAATAACATAATATATGCAGTGGAAGGGATACAAATATTTAAATGAATCCATCAACCAGATATACAAAGAAAATAAAACACAAGAACAAAAACACAGAGTGCTTATTAATGCTTCTTTTAATTTTCATTTATTTAAAACCTGCCTACCTCAGTTTAATATGTTACCATATCATCACCCGTAATATCCCACAGAGAAATACTGGTAATGTGTGATGAGGTGCAAGTCTGGGTGGTGGGTAGATGATTTATGTTTACATGGATGACATCAGAGCCGATCTGCTCGTCACTACTGTGGAGATGATTGTTTAACTACAGAATGAGCGGGAAAGGCCAAAGAGTCAGGAAAAAAAAAAGAATTATATGGAAAATGTGCTCGCAGCATGTTCTTTGTGCGTGTTACTCTGAAAGATGTTCGCTGATATGAACTGACGCCACTGAGCCAGAAATTCATCCATGCAGATAATGGGTCTTATCAGAAAAGAATAAAAGCTGAATCTTTCAGGGGGCATCTGGTCAGCCCCTCTCTCTCTCTCTCTCTCTCTCTCTCTCTCTAACCTAACCCACTCCTCCTGCCTTTCCTTCCTCTGTTTTCTTTTTCTAATTCCTCGACTCTCTGCTATGCTCTCCTCTGTACCTGTCAACCTGTGAGCCATCACTCTTTTTCTCTCCTCCATTTCAGTCTCTCTCTCTCTCTCTCTCTCTCTCTCTCCCTCAGTTCATTTCTCTCCAGTTTAAACGGTTTAACGGTCACAATAACAATACTCCTCTGGCTCCGGCTGTCGCCGGTGCAGAGGAATAAAAACTTTCATGTAAGGGAGTACTTTCTGCAGAAGCTCAGAAGTTTCAAAACTCCATGATACCCACAGAATCAGGTGATGCTAGCAGAGCTAACTCAAGTAAAAACAGAGGCCCTAGCATTTTCATTTCTACTGATGTAAGAACTCATCCTGTACATTTATCTGTATTCTCCTTGTAGTTGACTCATCTGACGATCATATCTACACCATGAAACCACCCGTGAAACATATTTTCTACCATCTTTCACACAGCACACGAACACAACAACCAGCTCCAGTGTGCTTCTGTAACGCCACAGCAGCAGACCATTTATCTCCGGCTCTGCCATGTTGGATCCAGTTCGGCTCCAGTTGCTGCTTGCGATGATAACGGTGAATCCCAGCTTAAGTGCTGCTTAATAGCTTCCATATACTGGACGAGACTGGATGTGTGTGTGTGTGTGTGTGTGTATGTGTGTGTGGCATGGGGTTGAAGCTATAAGCTAAGTGCACCTGAGTGAATGACAGTGATGTCATGACCCTTTACCAGGACTAATGTTGACATGTGCAGGTCTCATTGGAGACGTTCAGGTTTCAGCTGTAGATGAAGCCAGAGAGAGCGGAGGGGAAGAGCACGCCGCTCTGTGCCACCGTGCTCATCCTGACATTATTCACATTTCTAGACAATACCATTTTTATATCATCCTGTTGACTGGATGATAATATATGAAGCTTACACTGCTGTATGGATGCCATACTCCAATGTTGTGGTGGTATATCTTATTATATACAGAAGGAACAGACATTTTCAGTCACAGAAAAGGAAACAGAAATAAGTTGGAAAACACTGACTATGCAGTTATTGTAGAAAAGATTAAAACGCTAAAACACATTGCAAATAGTGTTTCTACTGCAAGTGTTATTTTTTAAATCAATTTTTTTATTTGGTTTTTTTTTTGAGAATACAATTTTATTAACAGATTTATATCTACAGATAAAATAACCAGAGAGAAACATTGCTATGGAGTTACTGTGGGGTTATAGTTCCTGCCTCTGGAACATGTCACTTTCCCCCATTTATTCTATACCAGTGTTTCCCAACCTGTGGGCCGGAGTCCACTGGTGGGCCGGAGAGGTACTGCAAATGGGCCGGCAAATCATTTGCAAAACAGTAAGCTACAATTTTGGTGAAAGATGAATATATATATATATATAACATAAATAATGTTTTAAATGTTTTAAAACATTTTTTTTCCTGGAATTAAGGCTGTGATGACACAATGATTGTATGATTGATAGGAACTTTTATGTTGTTGCTGCTGGACCACATCATACACTTGTTTTCTATCTCAGTCTGATTGCATGCTAAAGGTTTACATCCATGGCAAAGACTGGAGTATCAAAGTGGATAGCTGGTTAGCAAAAGGAAGAGTTAAAGGGAAAGAGAGTCCAAAGACAGATAGCGAATCAACAAGTGATCTCTCCTCCGTCAAACAAAAATAGAAAAACTGAGCATTCCCTGCTTTCAGTTCAATCCTGAATGTGTGTGCTCCGAGTCATCGTTTGGCCTCTGTCTTGTTACGGGGGACAGATGGCTGTAAACATTCTCAAGTGGGCCATGAGTTGGAAAAGGTTGGAAACCACTGTTTTATACACAAATAAAACCATTAAACAAACGTTCAGTCTTCTACCTTGCAAACATTTTTGGTTCTCAAAGTCAAATCACAATCCACAAACCACGTTTGACTCTTCCCCGGACTCATTTCCCGAAACTGGTGTGAGCTTGTTTTACCACGGAATTACTAACGCTCTGATGTACGTTCATAAAATAACAACTCCTGTATCATTTCTCAGTGTAATTAACTCCCCTCAGCTTTCTAAACACTCTCAGTAAAACTCATTTCTGTAATCACCCTGGAAGACACATTTCTCTGTCGAAATACACAACCAGGCTGTAATTTCTCTGCGTGTGCAACTTATTAAAGCTCCAGTAAAACTGTGAAAAAGACCAGTTTTTAATTCACACTGAGGGGGAAGAATAAAGGACTCGTACAGTAGTTAAAACACACACCCTTCCGGCTGAGATACATAAAACACACACACACCGACACACACACACACACACACACACACACACACACACTGGCCCCGTGCCAGTCTGGACTTAGCCTCCAGTCGAGCGGGAAATTGAGCTTAAAATAAAGATGAAAGAGGGACAAGACGAAGGGGAACAGAGACAGTGGGGGTGTCACACGGCAGCAGTCGCATGTGGGACCGTTACTGAACCCGTTTCCATTTCAGCATCATCATCTCTTCACGTGTGGAGTGCCGGGGTAAAGAGGCCTTGAGTCTGATGTGATGATTGTACTGACAGAGAAGGAAGGACGGACAACACACGTCCATTTTTAAAGCGCTGAGTGACGGCCATGTGTCGGGTCGCCAAGGATTTCTGGCCGGAACCCAGAAAAACCTTGAGAGGTGACGTTGAGAAACTGCTCGTCCCAGCTGCTCTGCTGTTTCAGAGAGTTTTTGGGCTCTGCTCTGTTAAATCCAGTTAAAACACAAACACTTTTGCATTCCACCTCTAGTGGCTTCCAGCCTCGCAGACAGTTTTGGCAGATCTGAGATTCCCACGTCCACCCCAATATAACAAGAAGAACAACTGAAACTGGAATTCTGTCTCTGTGATGACTGTAGATGCAGTGTTTAGCTCTGATGATCATCCACAGTATTAATACCTACATATATAGGTACCACTTTACAATAAGCCCTTATAAAGGATTTATAAATGGTTTATAATTAGGTTATTCATTCGGTTGTTAACACTTAAACAAACGATTATAAACTAGTTATAACAGTTTTTAAACATTGATGCAGGCTCACTATTTGGCAAGATCAAGTTAATGTTTACTACTCAATAATCTTACTAATGAGTTTTTTCCATTTTTAACTGGTAACTCATTAATAAATGATGAAAAATTTTACACTTTACAATAAGGCTCCTTTTACCAGGTATAAATGGTAGTAACCCATTAGTAAGATTAATGAGCAGTAATCATTAACTTGATGTTTATTTATGATTTATAAAGTGTTTACAATCAAATGAATTACCTAATAAACCATTTATAAATCCTTTATAGTCTTTAGAGTCTTATTGTAAAGTGGCGCACACTGTTCTATAAACACGTGACCGTATATAAATCAACTCGGAAAATATCAACTATTTCTTTGATCACTGTGAAAAACGTCTTGCCACCATCACAACAGGTGCATGTCGCCTGAAAGTGACGTCAGCAGGACAGATCCCTACATACTTCTACTGATTGGTTGGGGTACAACAGAAGCACTGCTCCTCTTTCCAAACACAAACTGGATAATTTGAACTCAATGTCAGGCAGTTCAGGCCGATTAACAGGTTATAGCAAAGAATAAGGCCTCAAAATCATCCAGACAAGCTGGTCAAGATGACCCTTCTCTCTGAAACCAGGTTTCAGAGTTTTACCAGGTCAAAACTAAGTCAAAACTCAAGTCAAAAAGACTTGAATGTCCTTACTTCTGAGTCTAAAGTCAAGACAAATCTTTATTTCATCAGATGTCAGACCAGCCAAGTGTCACGTCTGTCGAGTAAGACCCTCACACCTCATGTTATCATATCATGCCAACTCTTGACTTTTCTTTTTGACTCTTGTGAATCTGTCAGTATCAGAGTTTTTCTTTATTTTTTTACTCACCCGGTCTCCAGGCCTGACAAGTGGTTCCTGTTTGGTTCCCAGTTTGTGCAGCAGGTTGTAGGCCACCTTCACACTCCTGGACCACAGTTTGCCTGCAGGTAGAGAAACAGCATTATTACACACTGTAGTACATACAGGCAGGAAACCTGAGGTTTGAAATGACTACATCCCAGATGTTTTTTATGAAAAACATAATGAAAGGATCAAAGGGTGAAATGTCGAGCAATTCATTTTGTGCCCTGTAAAAACATAAAACAGCTTTTCTAACAATAATGAAACAGAACAAAGGATGACATCATGAGTCCCCCATATGCAAGAAATCACTGCACTGACATGAACGTTCATATTTCACCTCACAAGTGGACTGGTATGGATATAATCATACAGATTTGATAACACTGCACAAACCAAGCCCCGTCATGACTGTAACTGGACACACATAGTCCACATCGGTATATAATTACACAGATAAAGGGTTTCACTATATTGACAAATGTATTTGGTTATTATTAGGAAATGTGAACCAAAGTTTTACCTCTTTTGAACAAGAAACAACTCAAAAACAGGAAGCAGCTGAAGAAATGTTTTCACTTTACAGAGGGTGTAAAATAACCGTTGCTTTAAATATCTCCCTGTACATAATATTATCAAATCTTTCCCATCAGTTTCATTTTCCCTGCAGGGAGAAATCAGCTCTGTTCATTAACGAAGTAACACAACAATAGAATCAATTTCCACCCTTTGCCCCCCCCGCCTAATTCTGACTGACAGATGCAGATATTATGCATGAGCAACCCGGTGTGACTTCCTCATTGTTTTTCACGCTAAATGAGGTTTTTCTGATGTTTGTCAAAACTAATGAATTGAAGAAAAGGAGAGCTTGTGGATCCCAGGAGGAAAATGAACTGTTAGGAGAAAAAGTAAATTGCAAACAAAGGCAGAGCGACAGTGATTCGGTGACAGTAGGTGCAACTGCGAGTTCATGAAAAAAATTATTGAATTAATGAATTCAGAGGTAAGAGACACAAAAAACATATAAAGGGGATTTTGGCATGTAGACTTTATTAGGCTTGCCAGGAGAGATTAGAAACCAATAGCTGCCTAAAATCTGCCTAGCGACTGCTTACAGGCTTTGATGTGGCGTTTGGTGGAGAAGTCAGTCATAGTAACTGAAACAAGCCATAATGATCAGTCATTTGCTTACATGCTTTAACAAAACATCCATTCAAATGTGCAGAGAAAGAATATTTTGTGATATAGATAAAAAATATAATGATTACTGCAAATACACAGCGCGTCCAGAAAAATGATTATAAAGACATCCTTGGAAAAGTTAGTTCAAAACAATCAGGTGAAAGTATTACAAGTATCACAACTAGTACATCTATTCTTCTTCATGTTTAAAGTGTATGTGTCCATTTTTCCAGATGGTGGGAATAAAAACACTTTGTATGTTGTTATGGTTCACACAAGAGTCTGTGCAGCCACGTGCTGCTGACTTCTGCCTGATTCATTAAAACCTGCTGCCAGAGTGGTGAGTAAGGCAATAACAAAATGCAGACATGTATCCGGAGCATCTGGTCCCGCCCACGGTCGGTCCTAGCAGAGCAACACATCAACTGAGTTACATGTTAAATGCTAACTTTATTTATTACATATGGGGGATATTTACTCCTTTCCTCACCGCAAACACAAAGCCAGAAGGTTGAGCCATTAAAATAAGAATTAAATAGAAATGAAGAACTGAGCAAGAGATCAGAGTAAATTATATTCAGACACAAGTTTATAGTTTCCTGGCACAGGCACTTTTGACATTTCCATACAGTAGAGTAGTGATTGGATCATGTCACAAACAGGTGCTCTGTTTTTTCTACATTCATATGGGTCTGCTGCGGTGAAATTACAATGGTGCATCACTTTAAATGTTGCATTATCTCCTTTCCTTTCATAAAGGAAGCTCCAGTGTTTCCTACGCCTATCATATAGAGGATTCGACCAGCTCTCATCATGGCTGCTGCTGCTTAGATAACTCAGTTAGGAACCTTCCTAAGCAAAAACGACTTTCTGACCACAGCCTGGGCCGAACTAAGGCAGAACTAAGGCAGAAGTAACATGCGTTATCTTGGTTCCATTATTTTTTGACTTGTGGCTCTTAAAAGCAAGTCATGACTTCCTGCTGTAGGTTGTGTATATCATTAATCATCTTATGATCCCTGATATTTTTAGGGATATAGTTATAACTTCAGGAAACACAACAGACTGCCTGACTGCCAACAGACTGATATCCATGGACTTCATCTTTTATCTGTAGGAGTGAGATGTACAGCAGTGACCCTGAAGCAATTTTAGGATGAAATAAGTTTGAGACGCCTGGTTCAAGGGCTCTTCAGCAGTAATGGCGGGCACACTGCAAGTGACAAGCAGCCGTCCTCCAGCTGGAAAACATGCTCGTCATCCTTCTTCAACAATCAGAGGAAGAGGATCCCTGCTGTCGTTTCTCTCCAGCTGAACTGTGTCCAAATCACAGAGCTGCAGCTCCAGATGTAATCAGGAGTGTGTCTGTGCAGATCTGGGGTCTGTTTTTTTTTTTTTTTTTGGATGACGTTACTCACTCTACCCGTGAAAGATTCACCCAGCAGCCTTTCTGTCCTCTGAAACCACGAAGAGAGGAAAAAGAGCACTGCCTAATCGTGTAGTTTAATTTAATGAAAGCGATATTCTGTTCTGAAATGAGATATTCTCCATTTGAGAGCAGCAGCTACTCTCACAAAATGACTCCTAGGACTAAACAGAGATAAAAACGGGTTCTTTGTGAGCGACAGTCGGTCACATACTGAGCACCTGATAACACGTCTCTGTGCTGAAGTAAAATTTTAGAAACATTTCAGATTACAGATGTTTAGAAATAGGTTGTTTGGAGTCAGTTTGGTTTTGGGGCATGAAGCATCTTCAACCTTTGAGTCAAACTAATAAACAATTAGATCTGATAATCACCAGTGATGTTTAGCAATTAATTGCTTGCACCTATTTTTGTAGTATTTGGTCTATCCTAATGTACACTAATGTATTACAATGTATCAAATCACAATGTAGCGTACAGTATTGTATCATGTAGTGTCATGGTATTAGATATTGTTTTATATTTTGTATTGTACTATATCATATCATATTGTATGTATTGTTTCAAGTGGTAAAAACCGAAGACTGTAAATAAAGATGAAGCTCAGAGTGAGCTGCGCCACCGTCGCCACCTTGGCGTTGCCTGACTCTGCCCCTAACTCCCAGCTAATCCAAAAGAGGTGGAGCTGAGACTTCGGTGCATGCCGGTTAGTGGCAAGCATAAACTCACCCACCTGTCACTCAAAGAGGACACACCTTCAATTATGTATAACTTAAAGCCTTAATAAAATGTAAACAGGTGAGTTATATAAACAAGTGTCATGAAGGAGGAAATTAGCTCTAGAGACCAAAACAGTTTTTTGTACCAGGCTGTAAACATGTTTATTTCTGCAGTAAAGTTGGACATTTTAACATGGGAGTCTGTCGGGACTGACTCACTGTTGAAGCCAGACTCCAGTGGCCATTAGAGGAACTGCAGTTTTTGGCTTCATTTTTCAGCCTTGCTGGTTGCTGCTTGGGTAAAACACATACTCATGTTGGTTTTTCTTCAGTTTTAAAGGTATAATCTCTGTCTGTGACTCTATAGTAGTAAACAGTAATGTGGAAATGATGGTGGCTGGGGACAGATGTGAACTGAACTTGTGAGCTGGCTCTTGTGAGGTGTAAACTTGCTCGACCCTGGCGGTTTTTCGTTTCTAAAACAGGATTTATAGTTTACAGGAAACACGAAAACAAAAGCAGACACACACCCGGATAATCAAAGAAAAGAGAAAACACAACACACAGAACGTTGATCACTTTGTGTGTCCTCCACATGCTGTACACAAATCCAAGCAACTTTATCGATACCGTGATTTGTTGGGAGACAACACAGGCCGTGCTGTTTACAGAAGATCAAAGATCCCAGAGAAACTCTTCACTCGCTTGATTTTTTTTTAGTTTTTTCCAAACACAAATTTATTTCTCTCCTGCCAATTATGTGGGGTTATCTGCAGTGCAGCGTGCTGAGGGATGAGTTTAAGGACAGCGGGAGAATTCGGTATCATGAATTCTCTCTGTTCTCCGGGGGGCGGAGGACGACTCGACAGGAAGAAACAAAACAAGTTTGTCCTTGTCGGCCGACATCAAAGGGACGACACCACAGGAATGAAAGATAAAGGAAGATGGAGATGAGATTCAGACTCAGCATCCCACACACACACACCTCACACACACACACACACACACACACAGTCTCACCGTGTCGTTGTCTCTCTGGTGGAGGACTCCTGGGTGCTAGCTGAGGACATTTCACAGTCTGCTGAGCGCTCGTATTGCCTCATCATCATCTCCACACAAATCAGATTGTTTCACACTCACACGCACACACGCACACGCTCCCGCAGGCATACACGCACACACACATACAAACACACACACACACACACACACACATATTTGTACGTCTATTTGGAGAAAGGCGATGCTCTTGTGATAAAAGCTGCTGTCTATTCACTATTTATCCTTTTGGTTAACGATTGTTGTGTGTGTGATGTTGTGGGGGGGGGGGGGGCAGAGAAGGGTAATTAGCTAAATACTTTACAAATACTGCACTTCAAAGACACTTTCTGCTTGGTGAAGCTGCCGCTGGTTGTGATCTGCGTGTGAACAGTGCTCGGCAACAGTTTTTGTGAAATCAGCCCGTTAACTCAGATTTTACATTCGACCAGATAAAAAAAAATCTCTGTCAACTTTCTTTACTTCTTACATTCTTTTATACCTCCTTTTCTTTCATTCTCCCTCGCTTAAGTTTTAATTTTAGCTTTCCCCTATTTTTTATTGTCCATCCTTACTCTTTTCCTGTTTTCTTTTATTTCCTTCTTCCCTTTTTTCTTTATATTCTCTATCATTCCCTTACTTCTTTATTTCCCTCTTTTTCTTTTTGTCTTTCTTTTCTAACATTCACCTCCCTAACTTCTTTTCTCAGTGCATGATCCTTTTCGCCTTTTCTGGCCTTTATGGTTTCCGTCAAGCCTTTTTCTTTTGTGTTTTCCTTCTTCTTTTGCAGTCTTTTACTCTTCTTTGCTTTTTTATTTTATTCCTTTCGCCTCCACTCTTTTCCCTTTTTTCTTCCCTACTTTCTAAAATTTCTCTTCTTCTTCAGCTGATCTAATACAGTGTTTTTTCTACTCTTCTTCTGTGACCGGAGCCAGCTCCAATTGGTTGATGAAAACTGGGAAATATAGCTGAGAGGAAAATCTACTCTTCTTCACTGTGAACAAAGACTTTTCTTTGTAATGAAGTATTTTTCTCTGTTATTCTGTAGTTTTAAGTACGAGATGTGAGTGCTTCTTCCACTTTGTTTGTTTGCTCGCCTGTGGGATGTACTCTATGTGAAGGGATGGGTCTGGAGTCCTCTCGGTATCACTTCATTCTCTCCGCTGTACAGCAGGGAGGTCCGACTCTAAATTCAACCCGAGAGAGGCAGCTCTGTTCAGAGCAGCTAAATCTCTTTACACCCTGCGGACCAGAAGCCATTTTCTTTGCTGCCGTTCGGGAGATGGATAACTGGGATCTGCAGCCTTCGGCCGCGGGACAAGGGTCGGACGTGGATTTAAACGGTGGCACTGAACCCGGGGTGAGGACGTGATGTGATTCAGCTGCAGTCAATGTGTTTAGGGAGCTGAGCTGGGATGATAGGACTGCTGCAGGTGTGGCAATTGATGCGCGTTTTGTATGATTTCATATCACTTTTTTATCATGGTGTGTTTGTCTTCTCACTTCTGACTTGTTTTCCTCTGTTTACTTTCTATTCTGATTGATCTACGGCTTAAAGGGGTTTAAACTTTTTTGTTAGAGAAACTTCAGTTTACCAATGTCCATGTTACTAAACAAGGTGGTGCCTTGATCTACAAGTCTTTCAAGTACTTACAAGTATTTTCATTTCACCCTTCAAACTGGATGTTACTTTCAACTCTTTTGAGGCTCCTGGATTAAAATCCATCAGCTTTAAACGACTTTGTTCAGGACAACACCTTGTGGTTCTGTACAGACCACCTGGGCCTTTACACCTCATCACCTGGCCCAGGTCCGCACCTTTACTAATAGTTCTTATTGAGGAGGTGCATGAGCAGACTATGGTGGATGAAGGCTTTGTTCAACAGCTCCAAAGCCACAAGCGCGAGCCGTAGTTAGGTTTTATTATGAGGCAACCTCTCGCGGCTGTAGTAATCATGACATGAGCAAAGGAGGAAGTCAGGTGACGTTGTTATGCAGCAATGAAGTCTGAGTACTGAGGTTGGATTGACAAAACATTGGACTTCAAGAGAGAGACTGCTCTTGTTTCCTGTTTCAATCTGATGTTGTCAACGTTGTTTCCGCATTACTGTAACCATGACAACGAATGTCCTCTTTAACCTTAGCAGAATACTTATTTTAACCCAAACCATGATTGCTTTTGCTAAACCTAACCAAGTTGTTTTTGAGCCTAAACACAAGCAAACCTTTACCACGGCACATCATAAAAGCGTTCATTATTTATTTTTAAACAGTGATTTTTTAACATTTTATCTGTGGTGTACCTCCTGCCGCCATAAGGGGTTGTATTTGAGTGTCAGGGACAAACAGCCTATATTTGAGTGAAAGCAAACTCAGATTAAAATGAAAGCATCTAAATTCATTGCCCATGTTATTGAAGCCAAAACTTCTTTCAAGTAAATGACAAAATCCTAAAGTAAGCAGCGAAATCCTCCAGTCCTGTCGCAAACAAAAGTTTTCAGAGTGTCACCTGCAGAGACTGTGCTGTGAGTCACTCAGGATATATTCTTCAAGTAAATAATTCATTTACAAACATATTCTGAGAATCTGGTCCTTTGGGATAATAAAGTTTCCTTCTCTCTCCAGCAGAGCAGCTTTTCTTGAAAGCATCTTTTTCACACTTTGCAAATGTGCTTAGCGCTCTGTCTGGCTGCCATTAGTGGAATTATGCTCACGCAGCGGGTGTTAAACATTGTTTGGTGCTTCAGTTAATCAGCTTGGGGAAGCCACCATATGTGCACAGAAATGGGATGCAATTCAGACAAAACCCCTGCTGTATTCATATAGTACAAAAGCAATTTTTACTACTGGTTGGTATGTTATGGCAATATATTGAGAAGTGGTTGACTCTGATTGATTTAGGCTTCAGAAAAGTGATGTGAGTGTGTGTGTGCAGTGTGTGTGCTGGAAGCATTTATTATTGATGGTTGGTCACAGATCACAACCATCAGGCTTAGATTCACATTTCGGACCCATAATATTTTCATATTAGAGACTAATTATAAACCACAGCCCCAATTTCTCTACCAATTAGGTAGCCAAGAAAAAGCGAATGAAGACATGATGTAATTTTTTAACACAAACTCTTCATCTTCACACACTCACACACTAACACACACACATACACAAAACAACTCAAAAAATGTCAAATACAGAAAGGGTCTTGTTTGCACTCTGTGATAAGATAGTTCAGAATCATCAGTGTTAAACCGAGGCTCTGCTTACCGTAGGTCAGCACGTAGAGCGGCTTGCCGTTGGTGTCCATGGTGGTGAGACAGGGGGCCTTCGGGGAGATGGTGCCCCACCTCTGCAGGGCCGCCTCCAGGGACGGGGGCCAGTTGGTTACTACACCAAGCTGCTCGCCCCGCATGACCACCATCTGGGCCCCCTCGGCCTTGGGCTGGTTGGGGTCTGGCTGCTGGACTGGAGGCCAGGAGAAAATGGAAGAAGGGGAGTGGGTGGGAGAAAGATCAGATATTAAATTTGCTTATGATTTGAAACACTCTACAAATATTAAACAAACTATTCTATGCATTTTTCTTATTGTCAACAAATCCAATAAAAAGACCAAAACCAAAAATAAGTGAATCATTTGGGGACGTGTTGTCTGTGTATTCAGAGCCTGATATATCTTATTCTCCCGTGTCAGAGCGCCATTGTCTCCAAACACTATGAAAAACACATTGATGGGCCTACTGTTGCCCTCTTTATATATCCCTTTATATAGAATATGTGAAATATCTTGGCGTCTGGTTTGACAGTAATCTAAGTTTTGAGCAGCACACCACAAAACCTGTACAATCGTGGTGACAGAAACTATTTTACACACTTTTATCTCATCACGTCTGGATTACTACAACAGTCTTTTTACTTGTCTTACCCAAAAACCTATTGATTGTCTCCAGACTGTACAGAATTCTGCTGCCAGGCTTTTTTAGGGCCCCGACCTGATTTCCACAACAGGTCGGTGGAATCTGTGATCTCCTTTAAGACCCTTCTTAAAACGTGCTTTTAACAGAGAGCTTTTCCTGGTTTTAACTTCCCTTCAAGTGTTTTATTTCTCTGAAAATGACTCAGTACTGTTTTTTATGCTCCTGATTGTTTTAATTGTTCTATCTGTTCTCTTTGCTTTGAAATCCATTGATTGTATTGATTCTATTTTATTTCTGCTATTGTTAAGCACTTTGTTTTTGAAAAGTGCTCTATAAATAAAGACTATTATTAAAATAGTACAGAATATAGACTTATCTTGCAATCTGTTGAGTAGTGACAGAAAATATTAAAAGTAACTTGTTTTTTTAAGTCTTCCTTTTACTTTAAATAAAGCCTTTTTATATATGCAGATTGACTTATGATTTTTTATAGCAAAATCCTGATGTAATACATCTAACAGCCATTTAAATGAATAATTCTTCTACAAATTTAAAAAGGTACAGAGCGATGTTTCAAAGGTGATGTATAAAAGAGGAATTATTCATCTAGTAGACCAACTGTAGGCTCCTCAGAAACACAATATCATGATGATGATGAAATGAAATAATCATCCTCTGATTATGAGTTAACATTTGATTTGATTGAAGAGCATGTGCGTGAGGAATGATACAACACGTTCATCACCGCTGTATCGCAGAGAATGATCACAGGAAGGACATGAAGCCAAAACACCATGTTCATGCATCTTAATGTCACACCGAACCAAACAGAGTCTTTCCAACATTTGCTATTCACGTTTAAATTATGAATTCGCTTCTGGCTCTCGCAGCAGCTTTTGACATTGAAAAGAAAAGGAAATATTTATCAGTTAGAATTAGTTTTGTCACACTAGACATCAGGAGATGGGGGTTTTGGTGACGGTTTGATTTGTCCTTGTGGATAATTTTTCAGCAACATTTTAATATTTACCTGAAGTTATCAACATGAGAAGAAAGACATTAAAAAGCCTCCATTCCCACTGGGGCCTTCCTGGCCTTCCTTGTGTGTATATTTGCTGTTATTACAACTATCAGCAAGGCCACAATTACTATTAATGTCCTTACTTGCAAATTATAATCAATTATAATTAATTATAATTATATTCTTTTTTGTGCTCTGTTGTATGCTATTCTTTGAGTTATGAGTGTTTTTGTGGCCCTTTAACCACTTCCCTGCTGCCAAACAGTCACTAAACAGCTAGTAATAACCTCCTCGCGGCCAAGCCAAGCTGCAGGAAATAAGGTCACAATCTCCTCTTCCTGAGTTACAGTGATGTCACAGTGAAGTTAACCTTCGATCATTTGGATATAAGATGTCATCACTTCATCATCTCTTANTTGTGGCCCTTTAACCACTTCCCTGCTGCCAAACAGTCACATTTGTGACATTTGTGTTAAATTGTGTCATAATTAGTAAATTAATTTGGGAGTTATGGCCAAAAATGTGTATTTGGTGAGGTCACAATGACCTTGACCTTTGACCTTCGACCACCACATACTGAACAGTTCATCCTTGAGTCCAAGTGAATGTGCGAGATGTAAGGAAATTCCCTCTGGGTGTCACATTGCATTCACAAAAATGTGAGGTCATTGTGACCTTGACCTTTGACCTTTACTCACCTGAATCTAATTAGTTAATCTTTGAGTCCAAGTGAATGTTTGTGGCAAATCTGAAGAAACTCCCTTGAGGTGGTCTTGAGATATCACATTCAAGAGGCCAAAACATGTTTTGTGAGGTCACAAGTGACCTTGACCTTTGACCACATAAAGCTAATCAGTTCAACCTTGAGTCCAAGTGGACATTTGTGACAAATTTGAAGAAAATCCCCTCAAACCGTTACTGAGGTATTGTGTTCACGAGGACGGACGGACAACCCGGCCCTGGCTGTCGCCGGCGCGGAGGCATAAACATATGATGTAGCATGAAACAAAATGTAAAACACAAGGAATTAAAATAAAAAATAAATACATAAAAAAGACGGATGAGAAAACTCGAAAAAGGTTTACCAGGCCTAATCTCAAATATGTTTTAAAAGAAAAGAGAGTGAGGTAGTTACCCTCCAGCAGCTCTTCAAAGTCGTCCACAAAAAACTCTCTTAGCGGCGGCCGTTTGGGTCTCTTCAGGGTGTTGACGAGCTGCTGGATTTTGGCTGAAACTCTGCTGCTGACGGGAACACCTGCAGAGGAGGAACACACACAAAAACACACACTTTAATGTAAATCCCAAAACTAATTGTGCTTTCACAGGTGCACAACTGAAGTAGCCGTTGCTTTCGCATTCCACCAAGCAACACGCTGAGTGCATCCCCCGAGCCTTAAATCCACATTGGAGTGGCACGCTTCAACAGAACTGCTGCTAAACGTGGCAGTCACTGACGGGGTAGAGGTGAAAAAGGCATGTGAGATGAAGGATGGGTACAGATTGCTCTTTCAATGTTACAGAGTGAGGCGCTTTAAGATGGAGAGGTGGGATGAGAGTGTAAGTGCTGACATCTGGATGTAAACAGATGTTTTGGCATACAGACATGAGTGCTGACAACATTACAATGAAGAATGTAACGTCCTGTGCAGAGGCAGGTCAGGTACGCCTGGTGAGTAAAGTAAAGTAAAAGAAACGAAATAATGTATATCCTGTTTTCTCCACTACAATACCTCGATATAAAATCTGTGGCTTGTGTAAGGGAGAGCACAAATAAATACTATGTATACTCTATGTGCAGACACACTGCACATAGAGTACATGTCAATTGCAATCATGAAAATACAACTTGATACAAAGCAAAAAAAAACACAACAGGAATAATTCCTTTAGGTGTGAAAGAAAACATCTTTTCAACAAAACCAAGAATTCAAGCCGGCCAGGAATTTCGTCATTTTAGGGGCGAGGTCATTTGGCCTTCAATGTCACAGAAATTTTTAGGGCACAAATGCTTTTGAGTGATTTGATGTCTACAAATAAATAACTTGACTTTCTGATAAGAAAAAACATGAAGATGACACAAATGAAAATTACAAATTAATCCATTTTTGTATAAATAAAAATGACATATTTTAAGATGCAGCCCATTATCATGTGTCAATTAAGCTACATCATGTTATCATGTTTCAGTTTACCAGAATCTATAAATAGCCATGTGTAATGTTAATAGATTTGCTTTCAGAAAACCTCATCACTTTCAGCAGATTAATGTAATGGCCAAGCCCAACGTGGTTGCCATGAAATTCAAGTTGACCGTGAAAATGTTTGTTTTTCAGTGCTGGACGGTTTCACGTCTGTCTGAAGGAGTTAAGTGAATGAAGGCAAAGTGAATTATACTCATAGTATTTGCATAAATTTGACCTCTAGTATATATTGCAGCCTGTTTTTATACAATGTACCATTTGTATAGATGTATTTTATTGTGTGTTTATGAATCAGATTTTTTTTTTTTTTTTTGCCTTTGCCTCCTTTGTTGCTGCCCAGGGCTGAAATCTCATCCGCTCACATCTGT